TGAGGACATGGTGGTCGCCTATGCATCGGTGCTGCCATGCCAAAGGCTCTATGACTGGGTCTTTGCGACTGTGAACAAGACTGAGCACATCGCAGAGGATAATCCATACAAGAAGTTTATCGAGCAGAGACTCGTCTTGACCATCCTGCATACGGCTCTTATACTTGCACTGCGACCTCTAGCACTGTTGCTTGTGCTTCGGTCATTTGGCTTGTTGCATTTCTGAATTGCGAAAGCAAGGCTCATCAGTGAGCATGTAAAAGCGAGCTCTCCCAGTTTGCTGTCAGAAGGAACACTTGCTCTTGATCTCTTGGCTTGAGTTGGTATCGCGGGGTGCAGGGCACTCGTTTTTTCGCTGCTAATGTGCCTACACATCGCAGATCCACTCGCAAGGTTCCTGTGTAAGACAAAGGATCTTCCAGTCGAAAAAAGGAGGCCATGGCGATATGGCTATGGGTCAAAATTGCGTACCCAAATGGAACCCTTGACTAAACCCTGCGGACCAATTCCTTGTGGTTTTTATTTTGACCCATACCCCTATTGATGCTAAGGTATGCAGCTCCATCCAATCACGCCCTCACGCAGAAGATGGAGAGCTTCCTTGAGTGCCTTTGAGCAATTCTCGCATACCGCTGCTTAAAGGGGCGATCGATTCGGTACGTCAGGCAAGTGGGTAACAACCATGGTGAGATAACCCACCAAAGCCATGGACCACTTGAAGCACTTGAAGGGGCGATCAGGTAGTGAGTGCTTAGTAAGCCTAGACTTGTATCCCACAAAAGCCCCCTGGTTTTGTTTGTCTCCCTTCGGTGTTTTTTCTTTCACGAGGCTTCCTCTCACCACTTAAAGCTGACGTATGGCCACTTGAGATGCTCGTCGCGGCTTCCGGCTCAGCTTCCCCGGTTTTCAGGGGGGTTCGGAGCCGGAGCACGGCCGCAGCAAAGGTCAAGATGGGAAACTGAGGCCCTGGCTGTACTCATAGATTCCGATCCCAACGTGGTTTCCCGGAGTCAGGGATCCGAAAGTTTTTTGACTTCGCTTGCTCAATTGAATTGGTTCAATTTGGAAGTTGGTTTGTTAGGTGTCAGCCCCGACAAATGAAGTCAGTATTTCAGCTTGCCAGATGGTATTGCCAGTGCAAAAGCAAAGGATCTATGCCTAGGGAGGGTTAAGAAGTATAGGAACTAGTCTATTCCTAGGGTGATCTGTGTCTATTCCTAAGGATCTATTTCCTAGGTAGGGCAAAAGTCGAGGATCTATTTTATGTAGCTGTTGTTCTCCACTTTGCTCCTAGAAAATCCGCGCTTCGAGTCGCCGAGGCGCTATGCGGGCGCTTTGACTCAAGATGAGCTCGAGCGCGCCCAGGCGCACTACGATCAAGCCATGAAGCACCTTGGCTTTTTTCAGGCCCCATTATACCACCCGAATAGAGCAGATGGCACGGCGAAAGAGGGGGCGAGGATAAGGCAGAGGAAGGGAACAGGGGCATTTTCCCACAGAGCACCACTCGGCCTGCGTTCCAAAGGGAGCTAGTGCTCTTCGCAAGACACCCCCGGCTTCGTTTATCCAAAGGCTGTGCGGCACGTATCCGATTCGCGCCCTGCGAGGTACGAAGCGCAGTTCTTCGACCAAGCGCTGCGGTGTGATGGGTCCCGCGGCGACTGCAATTCGCCCGCGCTGGTCACTGTTCGGGCGCTGCGTGAAGTGGCTTGGACTGGACATGACGCTTTTTGCTGCATCCCTGGTGTTTGGATTGGTTCTACATGTTTGCAGGTGAGAAAATGTCAACAAGGTTGCTTGATTTGCGAAGGCCGGAGAAAGAACTGAGGTAGGACAGCCTTGCATGTGGCCAAAAGTGCTTCTTTGGAGATAGGAACCAAACTGAGCTACCACTCAAAGGGTTGGTACAAGAGCTATGTATTGGAGTGGAATGGAGTGAGCATTGTGAGCACCCCAGCAAAGCTAAGGCGAGATTTTTAAGCCAAGGATGATCATCTCATTTGGGCACGAGCATGCCTTGAAAGGCCAGACGAAGCCTAAAACGATGCCCTTTTTCACATTGGTGTTTGAATCGTTTGAATCGTGTCTCTTTAAAATTAAACGTGGATGAGAAGCAACCGGAAGACTATGGGAAGACTACAGGAAGACTCGAGAAGACTTCATGAACATTGCCGGAAGACTACGGACTATGGTGGGACTACGGGAAGACTGCGGGAAGACAACATTACATGGTCAAAACCCGCACAACGACCTTGCAATATGGCTGTCGCTCAAAAACATGTGCCAAAATCTTGGTAAATGGACCCAAAGACTATCATTTGCGTAACCCTAGCTCTTTCATTTTGAGCGGTCACCCGCATTTGGTACTCGCAGTAGACGTGGAGCTTGCGATTTGCTCACCCGGGCCAAGCTTGTCGGGCCCAGGTCCACGTGGATCAGAGCGCTTGGCCAGTCCAGGCGTTGTGCCCCGGCTGCACCAAAGGCCGCGATTTGCAGCTCGTGCTGCTTGTAGCCACGACGGACACACAGACAGGAGCACAAACCGAAGCACAAACACAAAAACAAGCACAAACACACAAACCTGCAAGCACGCACACACGCACACACGCACGCACACGCACACGCGCGCACACACACACAACCCCCCTCCCTCCCACCCACCCACCCACCCACCCGCCCACCCACCCACACAGCCTCCCTCCCTCCCACCCACCCACCCACCCACCCACCCACCCCCACCCACCCACCCACACACACACGCACCCACACACACACACACCCACACGCACATAGTGTTGCATACACACATGACACGGCCAAGGCTGGGTGCGGCGGTTGTGGGCTTCTGGCTTTGGCGCTGCGGCTCGGTGCCTTGGCTCGGAGGTTGAAACCCTATGGGTGGCTCCTCGGCTTTTTGTGGGGTACCCAGACCGTCGACCCAGGTCTTTGACCCAGGGGGCTTTTTTAAAGGGAAACCAAAAGGACACTAGTGATTTAGGGCTCCCAAACAAGACAGACCCATATGGTTTGGCCGCCGGTCAAAGTAAGGCAAATTGCGTATGGTCGAAGGCGCCACAGATGTCAAGATGGCGTTCAACGTTTGTAGAAAAATCGTGCAAGCATGATCCGTGGAGAGGATCCAGGTGTGCAAAAACGGAGTGCCTTGTTTTGGGTTTTCGCAGACCAGAATTATCATGTCCCCAGATCACCCGTCCGGACGGTCGATCAGCTCGCAGCAATCCAGGATTAGGGGTGTTAGATATTCAACATGTTTTGTTTGTTATTCCCGTCTTTTTTAGGGACCCCCAAACTGGCGGCGTTCCTTTTGTTTTCCCTCTTTAAAGCCACAACACAAAAGGGTGCCCGGCAAAAAAGACACACCCGTCCTTTTGTATTTGTCTTATTTGCCTGCTTCTTCCAGCTGTTGTCACGGTTTGGGCATCAAAAGATAAGACATTTCGTCGCTGAGTTGTTTAGCGTCTTTTTGGGGTGATGAAGGAGTTTTAATAAAATAATAAGTCCCAGAGCGCTCGACGTCCCAGAACGCTCGTTGCAAGCCTTCGTCCCAGAACGCTCGACGTGTCCGGTGCTTAGGTTGCCGCCAAGGCAAGGAGCGAGAGCTTACTGGAAGCCGAAAGGCTTCCTTGAGTCGGCAGAGTGGGCAACGACAACGGCCAAATGCAGTACCTTGATCAAATGTGTGTTTGTCTTTTTGTTTGTGGACCCCCAGCCGCCTGGCGAGTTTCGTTTTTGGTTTTCCTTTCACCCAACCCCAAAAAAGATACCCGCAAAAAAGACGGACCCAAATTGCCTCCAAGGCTCATCTCTACTTGTGTCAGCGCGGGTCTTTTGTGGCGCCTCTCGCTTGAATCATTGAACCAAGGAACCAGCCAGCGGATTGTGGGGCTTTCTGAGCCATTTGGCTCGCGGGATGCTGGAGCTGGCAGTTACAGGTGGCAATGAAACAGAGGTCAGTCATGACTAGCGGCTTGGAGAAGATGAATACGACCAGTGGAGCAGCCTGGTTGGTGTGCCTTTTGAGTGCGAGGATGAAAATCGCGCGTTCAAGGCGCAGCATCACACGCGCTGCAGCATGATTGGGGCTGCTGGGGCAATCTAGTTGTTCAACATGTTGCTATCATTTTTGCATGGTTTTCCGATGCAGGGCCAACTGGGAAATGTGAAGAGTTGGTTGGCAAAAGAGAGGTTCTACTTCTCGACAGCAGAGTTCAGACAGTCCAAGAGAATTGGGGACAAACCGGAACTCCCCTTATGGTGAAGGCCTAACTCCGCCTTGATTTTGGCAAAGTGACACGTGGTCCTCGCAGGTGATTATAAACATCATCGAAGATTCATGGTGACAGCATTCTGGGGGGGACTACGGTGGAACTTATCTTAGAGTATATGGGTATGTCTTGTTTTGAGGGTACCCTTTTTGGGGGAAACCAAGAGAAAAAGCACCGATTTTGGGGATCCTTTAACGAAAGACACACCCAGAGGCAGCCGGTTGCTTGCGATTTCGCCATAGTGTACTGCACGTTTAACCAACGTCATCACAACCATGGTTATAAGGGGACCAAGCCCTAGTTGTAACCCCGGTTGTAACCTACCCGCCCACCAATTAACATGGAACCTGACTGGCTTCACCAATTCCTTTTCAGGGGAACAGGTCCGGAACGTCAGGTTCCAGGTGTTTTTTTTGGGTGGGAGGGTTCTCACCTGACGATGGAAACACACATTCAAGTACTTACAGGGGCAGGGTACTTAGCAAGTGGGTAATAACCATGGTAACCCACAAAAGCCATGGTTACAAGTTACAAGTCCCTTCAGTGGGCTACAACCAGGCTTACTAACCACATTACTAAGCACTCGACCGCCCCTTTACTAGGTTCCCCAGTGCCCTTTCTCTCCCCTTGGGTCGAGGGTTCCCCTACTAAAATATGACTAGAGCCCCGGTTCAGCACCCTGGATACGATCGCCCCTATCCGTAGCTCGGCGAGGGGGTGTCCGAGCCCTGGCCTTTCATAGTGGCAAGACGCCAGCGGAGCGCTGGGCGGCTCAGGCCGGGTTCGTGTTCCAGGGTGGTGCCCATTTTTTGGTGGTTTGAAAGGGAAACCAAAGGAAAAACAAATAATTTTGGGGGTCCAACCTAAAAAAGACAAACCCTGATAAAGAAAGAGATGATAAACAGGGTCTCAGTTGTTCAAAGCGAGTCGACCGGATCTGACCTTTTGATTTTCCGGTTTTTGGCTTGCACGTCGATCTCGTCCTTTTCTGTTTTCCTCGTCTACAAGCAACCATGGTACAATAGTCCCTTGAGATCCTGAAAGAAAGAAAGAAAGAAAGAAAGAAAGAAAGAAAGAAAGTGGTCCCAAGAGGTTAACCTTGTATTTCCAGGTCCTTTGAGCAAGTCGACCAGCATAGATGCATGCATCATGTTCACAGATATCTCATCGTCCGATAGAGCCAGTTTGAATCCTTGTGTGTTTTCTCATGTTTTCCGCTGAAGCCAGTCGGGACCGGCTTCGCTCTTGAGGATGCGAGCCGCATCTGGGATGCGGCACTCTGGTGTTCGCTCCACATGTCAGAGTGTGCGTCTCTCTTTTCCTTGGCTGCTGCAGCACGCAGTTTTTCTTCTTTCTCTCTTCAGCCAAAGGTGCACAGCTCGCGATATGTGTCAATCTTCTGGTTTAGCTGATGGGGATTGATCAAAAGGTCCTTTACATTCATGGGATGCCCATTGGGGGAAGTCACTAAAATGATGATATTTCCCACTAAAACCCATGGTCAAAACTGGGGGCCAGGAATATTGAGCAACCCACTGATCTTGCTGTTGCGGTGCCCTGTGTTTGTTCCCCAGAGGCATTACCAGCCTCTGGTACTTGACACAGAAGGGGAGCCTACAATTGTGCCTGCGGCTCGCAAATGGCTGTGGGTCAAAACCCTGTACCCCCAGTGAATCATCCCAATCCCCACTAAAATAGGTTCTAACATGGGTGGTGAATTCACCTACCAACCAAAATGGGATCCCATTGGTTTTGACCCATGGCCAAATGTCAGGATGACTTCAGCCAGAACAAGATTCAGGCGCTGAAGAGCATTTGCTCGTTGCTGTCAGGAGACGCATTCTTTGTGCAGGAAAGCACATACCCACTGGCAACAGGCGGTTTCATATGGCTGGCTGGTCGTTCGCGTATGCACGATTTCATATTGCGATTTCATTTGAAACATGATTGAAGTGGATGTCCCGTCTCCAATGAAGCAGGCACCGCACTGGCAACATTATTGTCATAATGTATCATAACACATTCTTCGTATTTTCAACCCAGCTCAGAAAGCATTTGCCATCTTCCGCCTATGTACTCGACGGGGCAACGAAACCCGGGAGGTGGTGGCAGCCACGATCGCTTTTGGCATGGGCATCGACAAGCCTGATGTGCGTGGGGCTGGAGTGGAGAGACGGTCGAGCTCTGCCGGCATTCGCAGGGCTCATTTGTGGGGTCATGATTTTGACGGTTTCGGGGGGTTAATCCTCATCAGAAAATGGGGTTGGTTCCCTTAACTCACCACTTAGGGGGTGACTTTGATCATGGTAAAATCATGAGGCCAGCATTTGACATTTTGCGAAGATGTTGCCAGGTGCAGTCCGATTCTTCACTGTTGTTGGGTTTTTTGTCTGGTGTTTATGTTTGGTTCTGTTCGTTTTTAGCAGGGGGCTGCAAACACTTCACTTTTTGCTACCACGTTTTCCCCACTGAACATGGGGGCTTCGAGCGAGGAGACTGTGACTTGTACTCTTAGCCCTTAGCATAAGAAATTGGGCAAGCGGCATCCCGAAGTTGTGCATGCTTGAGACAGCTTTTCGAACTTTGAATCAGACGTGAGGTTTGCTCCTCACTCTTGGAGACTCGTTGCAGTTGGCATGGTAATGTCAGGCTCAGATGTGGCAGAAGGCACTCAGAAATACATTTAGCACCGGATGTTGCACGCAACAACTTGACAATGTGTCGTGTTTTGTTTTGGCTGGGCAGTGCATTGGGTGAAAACAGGGTCTCAACAGAGGGGCCACTCGCTTGCAACGCAAATCCAAAGGCCCATAATTTTCCCAGGTAAACTCAAATTCTACGCTCTGGTTGGGTTGAAGCCTATCTTGGGCTGGGGTCATTATTTTGACGGTTTCGGGGGGTTATCAAATTTAAAGTCAGAAAATGGGGTTGTTTCCCTTAACCCACCACTTAGGGGGTGACTTTGATCACGGTAAAATCATGCGGCCTGCCCTGGTCCCGGATCGGGGTTCTTCTTCGCCGACGTCTCGCAGGCCGTGTGGTGCACTTCGGAGTGCCCAGCAGCCTTGAAGGCTACATGCAGGCGGGGGGGCCCCAGCGGGTCCTGGCTGGACACTTTGGTGGTTGACCCCACAAACCAAGCTACACATTGTTTTTTGTTTCTTCTTCTTTTTCTCCGATCATGATTTCTTTCTGGCTGTGAGTTTTTCGGCAACCACCTGAAAGTGATTGGTGGACATGAATCCCCTAAATGATGTCCATCAAAGGGTCCCCACTTGAAATTCATCGCCACACGGACGCGGGCTTGGCTCAGACTCCTCGCTGAGGAGTCTGGCAGGGCTGGGCGCGATGGCCAGCCAGGAAGCTGCATTTTGCTCTTCACGAAGGCATCCGCAGCTCTCTGTTGGGCGTTTCTCATTAAATGAGTTGGACAGGTCGCTTCAGGTGGGTTTGTCTGGGGTAGACTTAGGATACATCTTTGATTTTACCAGGTGACTCAAAGTGAAGCAAACAATATTAATAAAATATACATTTATATGTGGGCCTAACTCCAATCGTTGGTTTCCTTTTGGTTTTCCCTTTCAGCCAACCCAAAATACCCTCAAAACAAGACACATCTAGGATCATCTAGGTGATTGGTGTCCTTGTGGTTTCTTGTAAAAACCATCAAAGTGGACCACTATTTTGAGAAACTCGCCTTTCATTCAAGGACGCTTCATGATCTGGAATCTTGCAGCCGAATAGATTGCAACACCATAGGGAAGTCGAATTCGAGCTTTGTAGACGAGTCTTCTGGCAGGCTCATCGGCAAAATCGAGAGCAGGCGCGAAGAACGTCGCTCTGTTCAGCTTGTTGCGCGTGATGTGTGCGCCCGAGCATTGGCAATTTGGTTTGTGGTATATGGGTGTGTCTTTTAAAGGGGGACCCCCCCGGCAAAACAAAAGCTGGTTTTCCTCTTGTCCCTTGAACACCGCCACACATTACCCCTTCCCCCCCAAAAAAACAGAGACAGATCCATACCAATGCGATGTGTATATTGTTTCCGCCAGAATTCCATCAAGACGGAAAGTCCGAACTTGTATGGCACTTGCAGGAATCCATGCGACATGTTTTTTTTGAATCGGGGGCTTCCACAAAATGGAGTTTCATGTGCAGGTGCTCCTGCACCAGGACGTTTCGCCATCACTCTTCAGGTGCCAGTCGATGGGAGTGCTACGTGTTTGCTGCAGCATCTTTTGGGCACACATTGGGTGGCTTGTCTTTCTTGAGGGTACCCCCTTTTCGATTGGTTTTAGGAACACCCAAAATTGGTGTGGGAGACCGCTGATTCCCAAAAAGAGACAGGCCCAAAGTTCGCACAGTGGCCCTGGCTTGCGGTAGGCAATGCTCTGCGAGCTGAACTTGGAATGAGAAATGGACTGCCCCCGCGAAAAAACATCCAACTAATGGTTTCATTTAAGGGGACCCCAAGAGTTTCGGGAATCCCCAAACGGTTCGTTCCCAACACCCGGAACGGTCAGTCCCTACCCATCGCCCCAGCAAAATCACCAGACAAAGAAGCAGGTCTGCATTTCAAGCAGGCAGAAACTACCTGGCCCAAAGATATGACATGCACCGGGAAGACCAAAGCCGCCCCAACTCGGGAAGGAGCCTGGTTCTGTGTGATCTTCCACTACGGGCTGCCAAGATCATATTTTTTGTCTTTCTCATGACGACATGCAGTCTCCGTGCTGATGCAAAGAAGAAAGCTAATGGTACGCCTGGACTCCTGACAGACCAACAAGCGCAGAATTCCCGGGTTGGGTGGCCATCCATGTAGGGGTTGACTTTTTTCTCCGACAAACCACACGATTTGGTCTATCCATGGCTATCCCTTTCTTGGTGGGTTGATTGGGCGAACACACAGCGTTTGAGTCCCGGAAAGGGTCCGATTCCCCCGCGAAATCGGCACCAAGTCGTCGCTCAAAAATTCGTGTGTCCGATTTTGAGGAAAACGTTTGCGACCCCTTTCCTCCCAGAAAAAAAAGGGACGCCCAAGCCCAAATCTCACCGATTCCTCCGACCCGAAGTATTTGCGGGGTCCCAAAAAATGCTACCAAGGCTTCCCTCAAGCCTTGAAGTCTTCCATTAAAACACATCGGGTCCCGTTTGGAGGAACTCCCAAAATGCCCCCCAAACTCGTCTTGAAAATTCGGGCCCCATGTTTAAGGAAGTCCCAAACCCCGAAACAACAAAAAACTTATAAACAACCCAAACAAAGTCCCCAACAGATCCCAAATGGTCCCCAACAAAAATCCACCCACCGCCCTGGCATTTTCTTCTTCAAAACGAACCGAGGGCCACAAGAGAGAGAGAGAGTTTCGAGCTCCAGGAGCCTGGCGCGGGTCCAGTCCTCCGCCTTCTATTGCAAAAGCCGGCGATGCCGCCGTGCGCAGCTGCTGGAGTACTTGGGGGAGGAGGGGTGCACTGGAAAAGGGGAGCTGGGTGTGGGGCAAAAACAGAGATCCGTGGTGGAGGCGGTTCGGAGCTTTCGGTGTTTGGCGACGTGTTCGCTTTTTTTTTGCAGTTTCTGGTTGCGGCTTGTTGGGTTCTGGTCATTTTTGGTGGGCTGCAACAAGACAGCAAGTTGCTTGGCTACCATACCATGGTTGTCGTTGGGAAACATGTTTCCCATTTTTGCTTATGGTGGTTTAGCGGGAGATCCCCACTTCACTGCTAAAATTTGGATGCTTGCTCCCCTTCCAACGTCAACCAAGATACCAAGGTTTGGGAGGTTGTGTGTTTCCCAAGTCCAGGGGCCCGGGATTTGTTTCGGGTGAGTGACCCTCAGAAGAACCACCGCGGTAAGCAGACCGCCTCGAACAGGAGTCTTAAGCAAGGAATGCGGATCGAACATTGATCAATGCGACGGCGAGGGGAAGCGAATGCTCTTGTCTTTTCTTGGGCTCGATTTTCGAATTGCCATGTCAGGTAACCCTTAGTTGGTGGTTCGGAAGTTCGGATTGGCGGTTTGGATTTGGGTTGAACCCCTGGTTCTTGAAGAGGGTAGATGGGCAACCACCCCGGAAGTCCACCAAACCACCGGCAGCGATTCCTGAGTGGTCAAGCGCATCGCAAGCTGACCAAGCTGAGGCCTCCAGGACATGCGCGGTGAAGATATTGTGGCACTTGCAACTTTAGCTTGAAAGAAGCCAAAAAGCACATCTGCTTAACTGCATTCACGTGGGCGTGTCGTTTTAGAGGACCGCCCCCCCCCCCCCCCCGCAGTTTTTTGATGGGCTCCTTTTGGTTTTCCTCTTAAAACCCACCCCAAACAGGGCGCCGACTCCAAAAAAGAGACCCAAATACTTGCTGGTTCTCAGCAGGGAATGCGGGAAAACTCCCCTACAGACCATCCCTTGTGGCTTTCTTGATTCGGGGATTCCCTTCCGGTTCATTCCCAACACCCGGAATGGTCGTTCCCTACCTGTCGCACCAGCAAGAAAGGTGAGAGAAATGATGGTTTCCTTTGAGTTGTGCTTTACCACAACATAAATGGGTACACTCCCTCAGACTAACATGAAAGCTCCCAGAAGGCCGATCCTGTGAATGGAACCAAGTCTTCCATTTTGGGGTCCTGGGAGCTTCCATGTTGGTTTGCGGGAGTGTACCAACTTCAAACGTAGAAGGTACCAAGTCCAAACAAAGACGGTACCCTTTGAATAGCTGTGGATCAAAAGGGGTACCTGGGTCTCCATGGCCCTTGAAAAATGGGGTCATTACCCAGCATTTTGGGGTCATTGACCCATTTTTGATTCCGGGCCATGGAGACTCCAGGTACTTAAAATGGCTTGCCCTGGTACATGGAAAAGACTGAATTTCCTGCGGTTTGCACAAACTCTCTTTAGATTTGAGCCAGACCCCAAATGATGGTACCCCCCAACCCCCCCCCAACTCCGAAGACGAGGTTCCCATTTCTTGAGAAGGAGCCTGTCTCCCGCGTGGCCTTCGAACAGCTCTGCTGCAGCGACTTGGCTCAGCTGGGAAGGTCCCTGGATTTCAGTTGCCACCATCAACACCATGGGATTCAAAGAACCGCCCTTGTTTTTACCCAACGATTTGTCATTCAGATTGGGTCAACCATTCTTTTGGGGGGTGCCTTGGGCCATGGATCTTGAGTGAGTTGGTTGTCTCCTGATTTGTGTGAACTGCGTAGAATAGAAGTAATGTAAGTAACCCCGTCAACCAACATGTTCAAACAGCATGAAATAAAGCTTTGCAGCTTGACATTTATTGATTAATATTGCACATCAGCGGGGAATCATGACTATCATCCAAGCAAATGCACACCACGCAGAGACGCAGACACACAGACACAGACACAGAGACACACAGCCATACGGACAGAGTGGACCTGGACAGACGGAAACATGGACACACGGACACACAAAACAGACATCGCCACATTGACATGGCTGTGGGTCAAAACCAACGGTACCATTTTGGGATAGGTGCGCCGCCCATGTTAGTCGGGACTTTAGTTGGGATTGGGATGTTCACTGGTACGATTTGAATTTTGAAAAGCCCATGGCCACATAGACACAGACAGAGACACAGACACCCAGAGGCACCGACAGCTCACACTTTCAGGCCAGCAGCTGCCCCCGAGCGGCACGCCTGGCTTTTGCAGCGCTGCAGCCAATGGGCCGCTGTGTGGGCGTCGCTCGCTGAGGAGTTTCTCCCTGTTCCCGGCGGTCGACGGGTGAGCTGGTGGTTTGGAGGGTACCCAAATTTGCTTTTGAAGAGGCAGCTGTTCGGAGCTAGGATTCAGGACTCCTGTAAGAACATGGGACGGATGGGGGTTATGTTTGCATGGCAGGAACAGGCCAAGCAAGAAGCCCCAAAAGGCTGAGGCGGCCGGTATTCTCACGAACCTGTGAGTTGTTTGATTGGGATGCTGTTGGAGCATTGAGTTCACGGCTGCATGTGGCAATTCTGCCTTGGGGCGCAGCCCTTGAATGCCTTAAGGCTGTGACAACTGCGACCTTGCCGCAACTTGGCCACAACAAGTAATTACTGCTCGAATGTCATGTCTAATTAAATCTGGGCGACGCCGCCAAAATGGCGGCTTTCCTTTTGGTTTCTCCTCAAAACCACCGAAAAAGGGGCGTGCCCCCTAAAAAAGACGAGGTCCATCCATATGTTGAGTGAAGCTTGGGTTTCAAGAGTGGTTTTTTACCGACTGCCACGCGTTGTCGGGCATTTTGGCTGAAGCGTCCGGAGCGGTCAGCCGCTTGAGCTGCAGGCCATCAACGCGCAGGTGCACAAGGAAGATGTTCGTCAGGCACCCAGCGCGCGAGAGCGAAAGAGAGGTGGCTGTCAAAACCGTTTTGGGATCCCATTTTGGTGGGTAGGTGAATTCGCCACCCATGTTAGATCCTATTTTAGTGGTTGGATTGGGATGTTTGCTGGGGGCTAACCGATTTGGATTTTGAAAAGCCCATGGCCAGGTGTGTCTCGAAGCAGCGGGTCCCTTGAATCCCCATGATAAAGCCAACCTTCAGAAAAGACACTCAAATAGTGAGAGAAGTTGAAGTGACATCAGCTACTGGGTACTTAGAGTCAGTGATTCTCAAACATGGGAACAACCCACCTACCATGGCTATAAGTTATAAGTTTCCTAAGTGGGGTATAACCAGGCTTGAGCCAGGTGACAGTGATAGATTAGTCGCAAAAAAGTCGCATTTGGCCTTATTCCCTCTAGAGACAGGGTTCTTTTTTTGTTTCTCCCGTGGGTGTAAACATCATCTTGTTTCGTCAACATAGATTGACTTTCCTTCTGGTGGGGTGATGTTCAAGGGGGAAATGTAGGGAACCCGCGATTTGCATTCTGAGCATCCCCACAGCTGGTCAACCCACTTGAGGTGAGGAGCTTGCGCCTCCTGGCAGCATTTCTGCCGCAAGCCGCAAGTGAAGCCTTCCCGATGTTACGCGTGGAGACACGGAACGGCCTTTTGAGCGGTTTTGCCAACTCTGTTGAGGCCCTTGTACGCGGCCCCTCAATTTCGGACCTCCAAAAGTGGCAATTTTGTTGGATCCCACCAGTAAAAGGGACATCCAGTGTCTCCTGCTGCAGGTGATCTTCGTAAGACAACCTTGGCCCAACTTGGAAGACCGGAAGACCGTGTCACGGATGGGGAGCTCAGCATCAATATGAGAGTGTCGTTTTTTAGGGGACACCCCCCCAAAAAAAAAGAAGGTGGTTCTCCTCTTGGTTTCCAGTTCAAACAACAAAACACGGCCCGTTCGTTTCGAGACATGTTGGCGTGCTCGTGCCAATACTTCAGCATGCTTTGGCCAGCTTTGCCCATTGGTGGGGTGCAAATCCATTGGACTTGTTGAGTCCCATTGACAATTGAAGTATATAGTCTTTCTTTGCACCAGGTCCCACGTTGTTCCCTGCGATTCGCCCGCCTCCCCGCAGCTGTTTACTCAAGGAAAGCCGCTTTTTTTTCAGTGGCTCCCGTGCCTTGACCAAGAATCGGGTTTCCGGGGTCTGTCGGCCTACCGTCAGCGCCAGAGATCCTTTGACCCTGCGCCCATGTCTGGACCCCTGCAGCACGTTGCTGTTCGCTAGAGAGAGCCAATTTATCCTGTCACTATTTTCCAATGTGACAGCATGTAACCCAGAGGGTTTGTCTTGGTACTTCACTCACTTGTCCAAAGCCGACCTTTTGACCTTTTGACCTTTTGGTTTTCCCATTTTGGTCCATTTTTAGTAAAGGTCCCAAAAGGTGATCATCTTTGATTTCCTGGTCTTTTGGGCAAGTGAGTTCATGTTTACGGTTTTGGGCTTGATTCAAGGGGATCCGCCAAGTACAGATTCTTGAAATCCGGAAATGTAAGGTATCAACTAGGTCCCCCAGGATCGTGCCAACTTTTACCGTTTCTTTTTTTGGGGAGGGTTCCCCTACTAAAATAGACTACAGAAAAAAGGTACCCTTATTTTAACCTCTCTACTGGAGGACCTAGTCAAGGGACCCTTTGAGGATGTCACTTTACCCTTCAATTGACCCTGAAGGCAGCTCCCTTCTCTTAGGGCTGCTTCCACTTGCTCGAATGGGAATGAACCCTTTGGGGGATTCCCGAAAAAAAGGACACCATAGGGGATGGTTTTACTCGGAGTCATTCCCTTTCTCATTCTCTGCCTATCGGACCAGCAAGACTACTTAAAGGGGCAGTGTACTTAGTACGTGGTTAGTAAGCCTGGTTATCACCCACAAACGTCATGGTTGTAAGGTTATAACCAGGCTTGCCAGCCACTTACTTGACATATGGCTGTGGCTCAAAAAAGTGGTACCAAAATGGCACCCTGGTAAATGGAACCAAAGACTAAAACCCGCGTAACCCCAGCTCTGTAATTTGAGCCATACCCATATCGAATCGATCGCCCCGTTGAGCGGTGTGCTACGCTTTGCCAGTTGGACAGCAGGATGGAGCGGCTCAGCATCGCGAAGCACCGCATAGGGGACGCCCTCCGCAGCACTGTGCGCCTCGGTTTCCGATGCCTTCGGCTTTGGTTCTCTTGGCTCTGAGCCGAGTGCTCAAAACCGAGTCGGGTAGATGAAGGCTAGTAAGAGATAAGCCACTGGCCATAAATGGGTGCCTTCGCCGCCATTTTGATTCGTTACATGGCTCTGGGTGACCCACTTTTACTGCCAGGTTTTGATTATGACTCAACCCTCGAGACGGGCTTCTGAGGAGTTCCTTAGAGGCTCGGAGTGGCATTCCCCAGCTTGCGTTGCTAGTTTCTGGGGAACGTAACATATGTTGATGGAATTGTCCCGATGCGTAGATGAGCAGGCGCAGTGGGCTTGTAGCTGCTGGGGCATTCTGCTTCTGTGCTTGGACAATTTATCCTGCGTCTCCTCCATTGACACAAGCAGAGCCTCCTGTGTCAACAGGGCAACACTCACGCTTTGGATTTGCAAAGGTATGCCTACTTGTCGAAACAGGCACGGGAGGTTTTGACCCATGCTTCACGAGGCATGTGGACGCTCGAGGTTGTCAGGGGTTGCCGACATCTTGGCCCATGCATAGCAGCGTTCAAGTAACACACATGCTTGCCACCGGAGAACCATCGAAGACTATCAAGGGCAGGCCCACCGTCAGAACATCAGAAGAAGTTCGCCTAAGAGTCCCAATTGCCTAGATGTTTTGCAAGAATCCATAAGCACCGTCACCAAATGTCCAAGGAATGTCTTTACCAGTGCCAGCGGCGAGAGCAAGTTCTTGGAAAGCGGTACCCTCACGCCAGAGGAGTTTGTTGAGGCAGGCGACCAGCTGCCTGGCAATGACTCAGTCTGCAGTTTGCTTGCGGAGTTTTGAGGTAGCTGAGGGTTGATCAATATTCCGTTAAAGGCCCCCAGTTCTGACCATGGGTAACTTTTGCCATGTGGGAAATAAAATCTTAGTGGTTTTTCAACCAATGGCCATACCATCTTTAATGACCTTTTGATCAACCCCCAGCTTGACAGCGACTCATGCAGCACTGACTGGCAATGCTATTTGCGATGACCGATCAGATCAAGAATCGATTCACCTTTGTGGCAGGACAACTAGACCTGGAAATCTAACCTCAAATAGCATCGACATCTATTCTTGGGAATTGCTTACCTGCAATTCGCCAGCATGCAAAGTGCAGTGCTTCAGGGGAGTTTGAAAGATACTGGGGGTGACTGCTGCTTCTCTGAGTTTGGTGTTAAACTGATTTTCCGAGCTCTCCACGGGTTTTCTGCGGGCCCAAAGTTTCTGGGTCGCCATCTTGGACCTTCAAATAGCTTTGCCTGCGCCCAGGTAGGGTCAAACTTAAGCACTGTGTTCTTGATCAAGGTGGGCAAAGCAGGATGATCATTGACTCGCATTGAATTACGTTGACCGCCAACGGGCCATTGTGTGTGTGAAGCATGACATGCTGTATGCTGAAAAGTGGGGTACGCATGGGTAGCATCCTGTGACACTTTGTTGCAACTCGGGATTGCTTTCCTTGATCCTTCAGCACCCGGAACGCGATATGACACCGTATGAGGGTGCGTGGAGAGACAGACAGTGGCATGCAAAAATCTGCATGCCAGCTCAGCTGAAGTGAAACCTCGACATCTCGGTTCCCAGCCGTGGTTTTTAGGGTTTTAGGTTAGGGTTTAGTGGTGGTGTCATTTTTCATCCACTAAAAGTTTTTAGCTTGTAGCAGGAATTTTGAGGACCGATGTATCGTTGGCGCTTGGAGAGTGGCATCACAGCTCGCCGGGGTTTTCCAAGGCTGACCTTCAAGTTTCCGACGTGGCGATGGGAGTCAGGGGAGTCATCACTGCGCGCGAGCTACCTGCCGCAGGACAAGCAGTACCTGATTACGAGGAATGTGCCGTGCAGGGACCGAGTGAGAGCAACTTGCTCCAAGCGGTTCATTGCTTCTGCTCTGGGGACGATTCATTGCTTCTGCTCTTCCTGGAAGGATTCCTTTGCTGTTTTCTTTCACTCCTTCACATCTGTTGTTTTGATGCCACTGGAGCAAGCATTTGCAATAATGTGTAAATCAAGCATTTGACTAGCTCTTGATTGCACCCATGGTCACTTGGCAAAGGCGCTTGACTCCGCGCTTGACAAGATCAAGACCGAGGACCGTGCCGTGACTTTTCCAGCCTCGAAACCCGATCCTGCTTAGCATCTCAACCTGTAACCACTACGCTTTTGAGGTTGTTTCATGCCTCAATATGGTGGCGTCGCGTCAAATATTTTTTGACATAGTAGGTGCTTGTTTGGCAACCCTGCTCCCATCGTAAGCATCATCAATGCAATCGTCCCTTCTGTACACTCTGTCTGCACGCTTTAGAACGAGCCCAGCCAAGCTCACTACTTTTGGGAAATAACGAGGTGAGCAACGAGGTGATTTAGTAGAACTAACGAGGTCAGCAACGAGCTGATTTTGTAGAAATAAAGGAGTGCCCAGTATTTTGGTGGGGTTCCCTTTGATCTCTTCCAAAAGCGATTGCCTGGCCCGACAAGTTGTTTTTAGGACTTCATTTTTTGCCCTTGAAACGATGCCCCGGGCTTGGACAAGCAACTGTTCGATCCGGAATGCGTCTTTCCCTACACCCCATCACTTGTGTTGAAACCTTAAAAAGGTCAAGACGGAAAAATCAACTTTTCCCCTTGGAACGGCCCGGGCTTGGATAAACAGCTTTTCGAGCCGGAATGCAACTCATTGAGTCTTTCCTCACACCCCATCACTTGTTTTGAAACCCGAAAAGGCTCGAGACTGAAATCATTTTTCCGAGCCCCGAATTGATTTCGCACCAAAAAGCTTGCGTCTAGAAATCAACTTTTCAAACCCCGAAAAAAATGTTTTGGAACTTGACTGTTTGACGCTTTTGGAACTCTTCGAACCCCCGGGCAAGCTACGTCCGCGCAGAGGGTTTCTTCCTTTCCCTTATGCTGCGTTGTTGTAAGGCTAGAGAAGCTAGGTCCTAATTCCACAGCAGACACATAGCGAGGCGAGGCGAGACGAGGTGCTAAAACCCAAGCCAGATGTAACGAGGCGAGGCACTAAACCTGAAAACAAAATAAGAAACGAGGTGACGAGGTAAGAATTAATATAAAACGCCCAGAATCTGTGGGGTTTCCCCTTTGGCTTCCATGTAAAACAAAAAAGGGGTAGCTGTACCCTCAAAACACATCACACCCTGGATTGTCTTTTTTAGGGGAACCCCAAAAATGCTGGGGGTCCAAACAACTCCACACCCCAATCGTCCAGGACGATTGGCTTCTGCCGCCCGAGATTTTCCGAAGCCCCGCCGGGGAGCTCCGGGATGTGGATGACCTCGCGCCTGAAGGCCGGGGAGTCACGAAAGATTGGAGGTCCAAAAAATGGGTGTGGTGGTCAAAAATAGGTTTTGGAGTGTCCCTTAAAGGAAACCATAGGGGATGGGTTTACCCTTAAAAAATGAACGCAGAAATAGGCTCAGTTGGGAGGTTTCGGGCTCGGTTTCTGGTTTTCAAGGGATCTAGCGCTGGCAAATATGGCTGTGGGTCAAACATGGGGAAACCCCAAAATGGGTTGTCCGCTCGCTAAATGGAAACATGGACTAAAACCTGCGGTCCAATTCCTGATGGTTTGATTTCGACCCATACCCAAGGTCCTTTCATGCTGACAGAAGGGTGTTGGAAAACCATTCCTTCTGGGAACCCCTCCGCCCACTCTTGCAGGACTGTTGGAAAGAGGCTGTGTCGTTTTTTTGTTTCGAGGTTACTTGTTTGGATGGTTTTCAGTGCAATCGGAAGCCACTGGTGTTGGCACTTTGGGGGTTCCCCAATGTGCAGACAAGCCCAAATGCAGGTTCCATTGGTCCCTTTTGTTTGCTTCGTAAGGTCATACAGTCATGCGGGCTTAAACGGCTCTGCCTGTCAACATTGCTTGGCATTCTCTTGGATTTAGGCAGTTGCCATGCTACTCCTCGCCTATGGCGACATTGAGCTGAAGGCTTAGGGGTTAGGATGGCGTCTCAACTAAGCTTGGTGCGGCAAGTAGGGAATGTGGTATGAGCCCAGGCTTTGGTCCCCGAACGGCAACAAAGCACCAGTTAAAACTGGTGATTTCATGTCTCATTCCCATCCAAGTAGCAGCAGATGCGTGTTGTTGGTTGGAACCTTTCGTTTTCCGCGTACTTAAAGATCAGTGGCGAGCACAGCTGCATGGGTTGTCCTGTTCGATCTTTGTGGATCTAAGTTAACAGGATTTCTTGAAACAAAAACTCACAGCTGTCCTTTCAGGTAAGTTGGGTTAACCATAGATGGGTTTCACTGGTTTTGATGGGGGTTGTTCCATTTAAACCAGGCCTCTCGTTTTTTTTGTTCTTCAAAACATGCCACCTACTTGCATACTTGGCTACCGCAAGCCCGGACATGAAACGACGCGCACATGCACAACCGATGCAAGACCGAATCTTCCAAGCCACGCGCATCACGGGTTTTTGGGGAATGCCGCAAAGGCTTCCTAAGGCCGAAGGCGCCTCCGTCGGCGAGGCTATTTTTGGGAGCGAATGGCGAGCCGAGAACTGAAGGGCAATCTGCGCCCCGCACGGCAAGCTGCATCTCTTTCTTCTCACTTCTTGCTTCTTGACTCTCCAGCCGAACTCGAACTTGTGACCTGGTGCCTATTTGGAAGGGAGACCTGCTGAAAGGGGTTCCTCTTGCTTTGCTTATGGCAGGATGTGCAAGGCATGGCTACCCTGTGAAGAAAAGGATGCCGCTGTCACCAAATGTTGCCAGGTAAGGAGGAGGCAGGGCCCAGCCTCCGCTTAGATGCTGACGACGACTTCCTGGGGGGTGGGGGAAGCGGAAGCGGCGGCGGCGGTGGCTACCTCCCGGACTTCAGTGATTTGGACAAGCAGCTGCAGGAGGACAGGCTGGTTCAACGCCCACCTTAAAGTACCATACGACTGTAGCACCAGGAGGCTGGTAAGTGTTGCGTAAGATGTGTAAATCCATAGGGGGTGGCAAAACACCTGGAAAGCTTCTTCGAAGGACAAATGAACCATAAATAAGAAATATAATTATAAGTATATTATTATCATGTTGAATATTTATTTTGTATTACGAATGAAATCTGATTTGCAATCATATCCTTGTCCTATGATTATAACTTATTGTTGTAATCTGTTTTGTTAATACTAGTTTATTACAAATTATCTCTGGAATCTTCTTAGGTTGACATGTAACATCAGATATTAATTCAGCATATTTTAGTATTTATTTTTAATTAGATAAATATATTATGGATGGTGTGTACGTTATCTTCATTCTAATGGTGCATCATCTGTCTTTCTTTTTATATGTCTACATCTTGGAAGATCTATATTATGCTTCATATTTTTATAATCCTATTACTTTTTTTTCTGGAATTACTATTTACTTCTTCTTAACGGGAACAGCATTTATGGGTTATGTTTTACCGAATGGACAAATGAGTTTATAGGGAGTTACAGTAATGACAAATTTATTATCTCCCAAAAGACAGGTATTAGCGGTCGTCCAAGCGTGGCTTGGCCGATGCTTCGGAGAGCCTGCGTTTTTATTTGTGGCCCAGGACGACTATCCAGCCGCGGCACCTCTCGTAGTCGCCGAAGTGCCCGACATAGATGCTTCCCCAGAATTAGCTCCCCTTTTTGCTTTTTTGCTTTTTTTTGGGTCCCTTTGTTTTCCACTAACCAGGCAAAAAGATATATATATATATATATATATATATAGTTGTTGCTGGGGTCCTAATTCCAGCCAAGGATGTTGTCAAGACTCGGACCTATGCAGCCTTGCAGCATTTGGGTTTGTGACTTTTTTCAGGTTGGACCCCCAAAAGTGGTTCAGCGATGTTCCTTTTGGTTTCCCTCAACCAGCAAAGATACACCGCCAGAAAAGACGAGCCGCCCATTTGTGACATGGCAGTTGGGCCTGCGAGAAGCCACCTCAGCTGCTTTGATGTCTAAGGACCTGTCCATCACATACGACAAGTACTACCGGACGCCCCGGCTTTGGCTCTTTGGCTACAACGAGATGGGTGAGCCGCTCAAGCCCGAAGAGGTCTATGAGGACGTGCTCAGCGACTACAAGTCCAAGACGGTCACGGTGGATCCACATCCCTTGACGGGAACGCCCACGGTCTCCATCCATCCCTGCCAACATGCGGCGGTGATGAAGAAGGTGATACAGGACTGGATTGAACAAGGCCTGACCCCCAGACACGACCTGGCATCTTGGCCTCTTGAGGCTTTGGGGAACTGTTAAGTCGGGGTCAAAGTGGGAAAGGGTGATGGTGGGTGTGCTTCCTGCACATGTCACTCTCAGGCATTGTTTGTGTTCTTGAAGTTCATTTCAAGCGTCGTGCCCACCATCAACTATGACTTCACAATGGAGATTGAGTTCTGAGCTTGTCAGCAACGCCTTGGCAAGGACTTTCGATCGGTTGTTTGTTGACTGGTGGGGAGAAGTTCTGGATTTGGAACAAGTCACAAAAAACCCAAGCAAAATAACAATGATACTAACAATGATAATCATAATAATAATAAAGAAAACAACAAAGAACACGTAACACCAAGCCTCCAATTCCTTGGCCCTGGCAACACCGGGTTTCAAGTCCGGTCCCTGACGGCTTTGGCCGAAAGGCGCGCGGTTCACACCACGTCTCTGTGCATAGCATCCCTTGGCCGAAAGGCCAAAAATTCGGTGCCCAAAGCCCGGTCCAGAAGACGGCTGACGTGAGTACAGGTCTTCAGCGTGTTTTGGCCCAGAAACGCCGCGCGCCCGTGCCGCCGTGCCGCGCCGCGCCTTTTTGGCGCTCCATGTGTTTGTGTCCCAAGTCGTTAGCATGCGACATGTCAGCAGACCCATAATTTTTCAGATGTTCGGACCTGGCCGCTCTTTTGAAGCAGGGGATGCACTCCAGCTTTCACGGGTTTCTGTTACTGTTACAGAGTCTTGGCACCCTTGAAGTCCCACGGCGGTACTTTTGGAGATATAGCTTCCCTCTAGGCGAGCATTACCCAACAGAGACAGCTACAAGACCGATTCACACTCGTATTGAAGAACTCATTTGGGCGCATGGAAGCCACTGGCGTGTTTTGCCGATTGGCCATGTGTGCAGATATTATGGCTAAATAACGTACACGCAGACATGCGCACAAGTACTGTACGCATTATTGTTGCATATTCATTCGCACCTCCTTACTTTCAATGCGCATCATTCCTGTTCTGAACCTGTCTGTGTCAGCGCCCTGCCAGTACAGGAGAAGACAACCAGCCACGCTGTGATTGCACAGGTTTTGCACATGAGGATTCACGAACATCAAAGTGCTGAAATGTTTGCAGTTCCACATGTCTCCTGCATTGCATCCTTCGATGATCATCCCCACATACATTGGCGGAGCAGGGACGCGTTTGATTGGGGAAAATACATGTCCAAATCTCACCACCGGAGATATTTCTAGGGGTTGATTCCTTTTCTATTCTTTTCAACCATGGTTCTTTTCAGAACCCAGCCGTTTTCCCTCGGTTTCTGAAGGTTCTCTGGAAAGAAGGATTCCTGGAAAGAAGGATTCCGAAGCTATCCCTAGAACCACCCCAGTTTCTTTCTGACTTTGATAGCTCCTGGAAACACTCAACAAAATGGCCCAACATATTCTTTCCAGAAGCTACCCCTGGAAAATTTGGGACCGGACCTGGCTCGCTCCTCTTGGAGCATTGCGTCCCAGGCACATGCTGCAGGAGCTGAAGAAGGCTGGCCGGCCTGGGCGCCGCGCCTTCTTGGAATCAGCCAGGCCGGGGGGCCGAAACCGCGCGTGCGCCTTTTTTGTTGTTGTTTGTTTTCCGGTTTGGAGCTGAAACGCCTGTGTCATGTGTGTGTGTGTGTGTGTGTGTGTGTGAGGCTATACCAAGGCAACAAGGAAACGCAGAGCCTGCTGGAAGGGCTTTTTGTCCGTTTTTGTTGTTTGTTACCTGGGCTTATTTCAGAGATGGACCCTTCTCTATCCCAACTCGGCCAGCTTGGTTGAGGCCTAAGGTCGTTCCAAGCCCAAAGATGTATTTGTGGCGCAAGACTGAGAACAATGTTTGGACCAATGGCTGGACCATCTGGCACTTGGCTGTTGTTTCCTGCATCTCTGCTCGTGTTGACTCTACTATTGGGGCAAGCATCCCCGCCCCCTTAGAAATGGAATTTAGGGAGGGGGTGACCCCTGGAATTCCAATTTCCGTTTTACGGGGAAGACACAAAGAATGGAATTGGGTCCCCAGCCCTTTCTCCCTTTATTGGTAGGGATGGCAAGTTCCTTCTTCCCGAGAATTAGCTCCCCTTTTTGTGTTTTTGCTTTTTTGGGGTCCCCTTTGTTTTCCACGAACCAGACGAAACATACCTTCTGCGGTAGACTTAGGATGCATTTTACATGTTACCAGTGACTCAAAGTGAAGCAAACAATAAAATATACATTCTATATCCCGGGGTCATTATTTTGACGGTGTCTGGGGGTTATCAAAGTCAGGAAATGGGGCGGTTTCCCTTTAACCCACCACTTAGTGGGTGACTTTGATCATGGTAGAATAATGAGGCCAGTTGTCTGGGCCTAACTCCAATCATGCTTTGAGCGAATGCCACGGCACATCTCCAGGAAGTCCTTTCCGCGGAGCCGATCCAGCGATGACTGGCCGGGCAGCAAGCAGTGGTCTTTGTTTGGGAAATGCCGAAACCGCAAGCTGTTTTTGAATGGGCTTAAACTCACTGGGAAGACTAAGACTATTATATTCAAACATGAAGTGAGAGCTTGTTTTTGGCCCATCCACTCAGGAAAGTCTTCCGAAGTCACATAGTGTGTTTGGAACAGCCCTGGCCTGTAGTCGACGCGTACATTTGGCAAATCGCTACCCACGACACGACATCGTTCAACGTAGAGAATATCGCGCAGAAACTCCTTTCAAGGCAAGGAAGCACTTTATGGAGCTTGCATGTTCATCTCAGGACAGAGACAGCCAATGACTTGATATAGGCCACGCCACCCAATTTAATACATTTGTTGCACATGTTCTTGACCGAATTCTTCCCCTCTCCAACCCGTCGTGGGAAACCTTGAGCCAGTTGTCATTGAGGCAAAAGATCCTGGACTTTGCCGTTCACCATGACTTGGTACATCTCACCATTGTGCAGGGGGAACGAGACAGGACGCATCTCCCAACTTCCTGGTTTGTGGAGCATGTGGTATCAATCGAAGGCTGAGATGCAAGCAACACTTATGGCTCAAGTCGAGTTTGTGGGCAAGGAACTGCTTGCTCAAGCGGCAGAGTTTTGCCCACGGTGCTTCAGCTTTGAACTGGATGGCAGGAGAGCCTTCATCTCGCCACAGATGTCAACGAAAGGCTCGGCGTTCGATTTTGAAGTGTGACTCCATGCCCCGCCTGCACAACAAGCTGCTTCAATGGCACCTGACTCAGCCAAGTTTCTGCAGCTAGAAGCATTGGTATTTGTTTCTCTCTTGCGAGGGCAGTGCATGGATTTGCTTCCGCAAGATTGCCAAAGCCTCATGCAAGCCACGGCTCAGAGCCTCAACAGTTTGTGACTCTGCAATAGTCCAACGATTATGGCGTGAGCTCCTGCAGGCATTCCGCTTTTGGATTTTGGATTGCGGCTTTGGTTCTTCTACGTAAACAACAATTGACTGTGTCAGCCAGGCAAACTATGGGCTCCTCGTCCGTTCCTGGTAGTGTGGAACCTCAGCTTGCTAAAGTGAGTGGAGAGCAGGCGGCATTTTGTAAGAAGAGCTTGTTTAAGCTCCGAGTTAGATCTATGCTGAATTTCCCGGGCAACATTTGGCTGTGGCTCAAAACTGGTACCCAAAATAGTACCTCGGTATATGGGAACAAAGACTAGAACCTGTGCAACCCCAGCGGTTCAATTATGAGCCACATCCATCTCGCAACTGTTCCAAAGAGGCTATTGTCAGAGAACCCCTCAACACGGAGACGCAGAAACGGGTGTGGGGTTGTCAGGCAGCAACAAGGCCGCTTCAGGCAGAAGCAGCACGATTGTGCCACATGCGCAATAAGAGGTGTGTGCCAATAGCAAAAAAAACATGCCGCCCAATTGTTTGCCCGCAAAAAGCAGAGACCCGGTTGAGTGATGCTGATGCCTTCCCTAACGATGATGCTGGATCCGGTGAACAAGTTAAAAGTTGCTTGCAAGTCACCTGTGGCATATACCCGACAATATTACCTGTCACAAAATCGATGGGGGGCTACCCAATGCAAAACAGCTAGGGGAGGTCCCCCAAGCCATCATCCCGGAAATCCTGTCCGTTGCTCTTGATTGGGGCTCCCAGCTTCGCATGGGAGGCTTGTGTTGCTTTTTGTTGTGTGGGTACCCTTTTAGGGCTTGGTTTAGAGGGACACCAAAGGTAAGCCACTCATGTTGTTTTTCCTTAAAAAAGAGTAATTTGTCACTTTGAGGCAGTGTTGGGGATGATTGCTGAATCGTTTCGAGCTTGATGGCCCATCATCCCGGTATGCTTTTCTGGATGTCAGAACGGGCACACAGCCTACAACTCAAGGTAATTCCACGGTGCCAGCTTTCCGCGTAGCTTCTGAATCTGCTTGATCGCATCACGCACACGTCGACGAGAGCACAATCACATCTTTTTGTCGCAGGAGCTGGATCTCCCGCATCGTCGAGGCTCGAAAAAGGTTCCGCAACCGGTAACTTGAGTCCACGGCCTCTCAATTGAGTATGATCTGTGAAATGCATGTGGGTATGTCTTGGAATAAGGGACCCTCCAGGTAGGTGGTTTCCTCTTCGTTTCCCTTTAACACCTACCCGCAACGGGTACCGTCCAAAAATACACACCCATATTTGTGATTCATATTTTTTGAGAGAGGCCCCTAAGCGGCTCTGATTTGGGCAGGACGAGGGTTTGACAGAGTAGTTCAATTCAGTTATGGCCCACCGATCCAACTATTTGGGGCAAAGTAGAAGACTCCCAGTTTTCATTCTGTTAAAGGAACGCTGAAATGGACACCAACCATCTTTAGGCGTCCCCTGTCTTGAGAAACACATGGTTGTTGTTGGGAAGCGTTTTACATTTTTGCTTATTGTGGTTTAGTGGTCGAAATCCCCACTTAACTGCTATGATTTCATTTTTTGCTCCCCTTACGTCAACCAAGAACACCCACTTGAGGCTTTCACTCAGGCGGAAAAGATCGGAGTGTGCCTTTCTCGCAGTACCAGGTGGGATCATTGTGCCGGAGCCGCCAGAGGTGTTGGATTCGGCAGGGTGCTTAAGGGCTTGCTTGGATGTTCCTTGCCAACATCAGGGAAGTAGACTAGAATCGTGGCTAGAACTAGGGCAACTGGCAGGTTTTACCCTTATAACCATGGTTATAACCTACTTAAGTTGGTTGAACATCCAAGTAGGCCTTGCGCTGTGAGAAGGGTTGGCGTCGGGTTGAGCTGGCACGCTTGTGTTTTGCTTGTGTGTTGGTGCTCGCTAGGTTCGGAGTTTTGACAGGGTGCCATTTTGGGTACCTGTTTTTGACCCACACCCAGTTTGTCTGGAAGTGCAAATGGGCGTGCCGCTGGAGAAAGGCTTCATTTCAGCTGTTTGTTTGCTTTATTTGCCTGGCGGAACAGACGGCGTCATTCACAACAAAGACATGGCAAGCTTTCAGTCGGGCTTTAGACCCGCCCCTTGGCCGAGCCCCTAAACTCTGTTGGCCGTTCGGGGTAGCCTGTGCGTTTTGATGTCGCGATCGAAATCCGCAGGTACTCATTTCTGCGTGGATCCCGGCCATCCCGGTAGTTTTTAGGTTGTTAGGTTTTAGGGTTTTGTGGGGGGTCTCCATTTAATCCACAAGTGGCTCAGCTTTAGTAGGGGATCTGAAAACGGACAGCCCAATTTGCAGGCGACACCGTTTTGTCTCCAACACAGTGGGTTTTCTCTTGCCCGCGCCCTTCGATCTGGCAGATTTACTTCTCCCACGACAAACGCCGAGCGAAGACCAAACAATTCCTGACGCGGAGACGAGCGCTCAATCCAAGTACTCGTAAGGTATTTAGGGTTTAGGACGGCTTACCAGCTGACCCCTGCGTTTGAGCGCCAAGTGTCACCTCCAAGTAGGCGCATCAGGACTGCGAAACAGGTACTAGGTGCTTCGTGGTCATCAACTTCAAACCTCCGATTTCCAAAGCCGTGACCAAATCAATGTTCGTTGCACTTGAGACCTGTGCGTCAGAGCCAGGTTCTGTTGGCCACTGAACTTTGTCTTTGTCTTGAAGCTGTTTGTCGTCCGCCCGCACTGACAAGGTGGCAGATCCCACAGCCGCAGATGCTCGCAACTCAGATCACGCTGGCCCTGTTTGACCCGCCCTGGCCTGGCAATTGGGTTCTTAAGGCTTTTCTATGTCATGTCAACTTCACCACCCGAAATGGGCGAATAGGGACCTGAGCTATCAAGCGGTGAAGGAAGGGACAACACACCCAAAGTCCATTCTACAAACCGGCGACATTCGCAGATTTTTCCTCCGAACAACAACTCGGGGAAACACGTACTACGCTCGATTCTGCCTACGTTGAGGCACCTGAGAACCGCTCTGACGATGACATGCCGCTGGTGCAAGTGCAGGACACTGCACTGCAAATTATTTGAATCGGTATTGTTTTGGCAGTACCTCCTTCTTTGTGGTTTTAAAGGCAAACCAAAGCGAAAGCCGCCTCTATCATTTTTTTTGTGGGGTCGGATTCCTACAAAAAGACACGGTACCCATACCATATGTGTTTCCTGGCGTGCGAACGAGTGACAGTGGCGGGACTTCAATCAGACAAGCACAGAGTTGGCAGGCATGTGGTATTAACATGTTGGCACGGCTCAGGAGTCAAGCGCTGCAGCGGTTACTCCCTTGTTCTCTTTCTCTCACTGATTTGTTTGTGTGTGTGTGTATGTGCGTGTGTGTTTGCACGAAGCACGAGGAACGTTGATCTCAGTTTGCTTGTAGCTTCGTCCCTTTGCGGGCTCCTGTCTTCGCTTTCCAGATATTGGATTCCTTACTGTACACATTAGATTGGCTGATTGGCTCCACAGATATGGAATCCTTCCAGAATCTTCCAGATTTGCTATTTGGTGGCTCGTGTTTTTGGAGGCCACCCATTTTTTTTGCGGGTTTTACAGGGAAACCAAGAGGAAGACCGGTGTGCCAGTTTGGGGGGTATTCCAAAAAAAACGCCCCGCCCATTCTGCTTGTTGGAACAGGACGAGAGCGCGACCCTGTGCAGGCCAGGCAACGCATGTCCAAGCGCCAATCCGAGGCTGAGGCGGGAGTCGACAGCGCACGGAGAAATCGTCTGAAGAAAACCCTCCATGGGTGAGGTTTCGGGGTCCTGGATTGGCCGATTCTCCTTTTGCAAGATAGATTATCCGATGGCTTCCATGTTGGCCGACAGGAGGTAGACATATGCAATGGCTTGGTCCACTCCCTGGACCCCCAAAGGACCAAATCCTCTTCTTCTTTTTTTCTGCCGTGCTTCCTTTTTATGGGTCAAAAGCAGACAAAAGGAATCGGTGCTTTGGGGGTCCTTGGCTTGGACAGGATTTTGCCACTCTCCTTGGTGGTTCCCAGCCATCCGGTTTTAATGGTTCTTTGTTTTTCGTTGGCCTTAGCTGGCAAAAGTGCTTTGGTGTCCGAATCTCACGCACAGGCTAAAACTTTTGGCCGGGAAACCAAAGGGACCGTCCGACAGGAGGTGCGGTCCCAGCCGACCCCGCAGCGCCGGAGGCCGGAGCAAGTGAGCCATTGGCCGGCTTTGGAGTTTGAGCTTTGGTAGTGTGATGGTTTGGAGTTTGAGCTTTGGTACAGTAGCCTTGGTAGAGTTTTAGAGTTTTAGAGTTATGGTTACCCATGGTTTTGAGGCTTGCTTAGTCTTGCACAGTCCGTATTAGATGAGAAGGCCTGTGCTCAGAAGTCAGCAACATCTGAGTGTGTCGTTTTGCAGGAATCGGACCCACAAAATGGTGGGTTTTCTTTGGTTCCCTTTGAAACCACCCAAAAAGGGGACCCATGTACGCAACTGCGCATTGTGCCATTGTAGCAGGTTTGCTTTCTTGCCGAACAGGGCTGCTGGCTCGGACGAGGCGCAGTGTGCGTGTGCGTGTGCGTGTGGGTGTGGGTGTGGGTGTGGGTGTGGGTGTGGGTGTGGGTGTGGGTGTGTGTGGGTGGGTGGGTGCGTGCGTGCGTGCGTGCGTGCGTGCGTGGGTGGGTGGGTGGGTGGGTGGGTGGGTGTGTCTGTGTGTGTGTTTGCTTGTGATAAGTTGCTGTTTCTATTTGCTTGCCTCTCATTCAATTTTCACGGAGGCCTTTTGCCAAGTTGAATGTGATTGAATGCCCAGGGATTCGTGCGACACATGTGCAGACTGAATTTACCATTTATTGATTCTTTAGAAATCTCAGGGCTCCTTGAATCTCAGGGCTCCTTAAAAGATGCATTTTGCCCATTTGAAGCACGGCTTTTTTCCGCCAAAGTAAAGGGACAAGGCAATGTTCAGGTGTATAATGCAAGGATCCCTGAATCTTGGACCAGAACCTTGCTTGGTCTATCCCAGAAGGATCAGACAGGTGGTTGGCCCGCCTCCAGAACACCGCTCATTCCATCATGGTTGTCTTTAAGTTATGAATTATCTTTGGGTCTTTGTGGCTTCATAGGGGATATATATATATATATAATTATATAATATTCTATATATACATATATATATATATATATATTAATATGTATATAACTACATTGTGGCATGTCAACCTGTTCTGTATGAGCTTTTAGAATAATTCAGGTTTTTGCAGATTCCCACCACCCTTGGCTCATGCGAATGTGATTTTGAGGGCCAAATCGGACAGCACCATCTCGCGCGATTGGGAAGTGGGCCTTTGTTTTGACCAACCTCACTTCAATCAGTTGCACTCTCTCCCCTCGAGGCAGGCAGAGACGCGGCCCAAGTGCAGCTGGTCAACGAGGCGACTGCATCGATACATGGAATATGGAGATTTTGCTGAAACGTTTGATTTTTCGGCATTGCCATGGACGCGGCTGCTCCCCATATGTCGATATATCGCTGCATGTCCATGTCAGAGTGAGCTTTTCTTGCTTATTCTGGATCAAACTTGGTCACCACCCAGATATGGCCCACAGGTTTTGGTCCTTGTTTCCATTTACCGAACGGGCAGCACATTTTGGGGTTACCCTACTGTGGATGGACAAAATCCTGCACCACTTTGAAGCCATGGTTGAAACCATTGCTTGCTTGGTATTTGCAGGGGAATCGAATCATTCCATGGTTTCTTAGGTGGTGCGAAATGGATTTCGTCCACACACAGTGGGGGGGGGGTTCCCCTATTGAAATAGACTACAGAAACTAGACTACGGTTGGCCCGAAAGCATAACATCGCAAGCGAGGTCGGCCCAACGCCTGGGACATGCGCAAGTTGCTCTGCGCAAGTTGCTTTGCGCAAGTTGCTTTGTGCAAGTTGCAGTGTGTGCAAGTTGCTCTGCGCAAGTTGCTCTGCGCAAGTTGCTCTGCGCAAGGTGCTCTGCGCAAACTGGTCTGTGCAAGTTGGTCTGCGCAAGTTGCTCTGTGCAAGTTGCTCCGCGCAAGTTGCTCCGTGCAAGTTGGTCCCTGCAAGTGGCTCCCTGCAAGTTGCTCTGTGCAAATTACTCCGTGCAAGTTGCTCCCTGCAAGTTGCTCTGCGCAAGCTGCTCTGTGCAAGTTGCTCTGTGCAAGTTGCTCTGCGTAAGTTGCTCTGCGCAAGTTGCTCTAGGCAAGGCGCTCTGCGCAAACTGGTCTGTGCAAGTTGGTCTGCGCAAGTTGCTCTGCGCAAACTGGTCTGTGCAACTTGCTCAGCACAAGTTGCTCTGCGCAAGTTGCTTTATGCAAGTTGCTCCGTGCAGCTTGCGAAGCCCTCCCGCAGACCAGGGGGGAATCGAACCCGCGACCCGCCGGTCCGGGAGCAGGCGCGCGAACCACGAGACAACTCCCGATGACCAGCTCGAACAACAAAAGTCGCAAAACACCTCGAGATTTTGCACCTCGACCACGCCGATCCCCAGGGGGTCGCGCGAGCAGCGCAGAAATCGTAAAAAACCTTGAGTTTTTGCACCTCGACCACGCCGATCCCCGCAGAAGGTCGCGCGGGCCAAAACAAAATCGCAAAAAACCTCGAGTTGTTGCACCTCGACCACGCCACCCCGCCGCCCTAAGAAGAGATTGTAACTCCTCGCAAGTCAATTGCACTTGACTCCTTGCACTTGCAACTTGCACTTGACTCCTTGCACTTGCAACTTGCACTTGACTCCTTGCACTTGCAACTTGCACTTGACTCCATGCACTTGCAACTTGCACTTGACTCCATGCACTTCCAACTTGCACTTGACTCCTTGCACTTGCAGCTTGCACTTAACTCCGTGCGCTTGCAAGTTGCACTTGACTCCATGCACTTGGCTCCTTGCAACTTGCAACGACTCTCATGACTCCTTGCAATGACTCCTTGCAATGACTTTCATGATGATGATTCCTTGCAATGACACCTTGTAATGACTCTCATGAGAACAACTCAAGTGAACCCAGCGGAAGAACCCTTCACGATGCTTTCGGGAAAAAGGGTGCCCTTATTTCATCCTCTCTACTGGAGGACCTAGCCTATGTTTGCCTGACACACACAAGGTCAACCGAATGCGTTCGCCTCACAGGTTTCGGCTCTCAAGAGCCTGGCCGAGGAGACACAGCTGCCAGCGGAAGGCTTGGGAAAACCCGCCTCTGGTGCATTTTGCCAAGGGATGTTTGGGCTTTAGCTTTTTGCCAACGAACGGGTTTTCCATGAAACCACTAAAAGTTAAACTTTTAGCAGGGCCAACGATGGTACTGTAAGAGGACCAACCCCAGTTACCCTAGTTAAAACGATGGATATAACCTACTTACCTGACGGTGGTTGAATCTGGGCGTGTCTTTTTTGAGTTGGTACCTGATCTGCTTGATGGTTTGAAAGGAAAAGGCAAGAGGAAAGCCGAAACCATTTTGGGGGGGGGTCCCTTAAACAAGATGCACCCGTATGTTGAAACATAATGGAGGTTCGTTCTAAGCCCCACGTCATAACCTAGACCACCAAAGGTTTTCTTTGCCGTTGTACCACTTGTTCATGGGATAAAGGCGCAGAAGGGGTCCATTAGGGGTCCAGGAAGATTAGTCATGGAGGAGGCGTTCATTTCTGTACTAAGTTCTGTACGTGTGATTTGCATCATTTTTGTGTGGGGTGCGCAAGAAGGCGGAAAGGCGAGCGCAAGGCTTCATGAAGTTTAACTGGTCGCTGCATCGCTTGTGACGCCCTTGCGCTGTCTTGCGGCCCCCCCACTCCGTTTTCGTGCGTTACCGCTGCAGCCGGGACTGTCGGCTCAAGTAGCGCAAGCATCCTTTCACCCGTGCGGTACAGCTTGCTTAAAGGGGCATTGTACTTAACAAGGGGGTGATAACCATGGTTTTAACCCACTTACAAGTACCATGGTTACAAGTCTGCATAGTGGATTACGACCAGGCTTAGGCTTACAAACCACTTACTAAGTACACCGCCCCTTTAAGTAGCAGCTTTAGCAATTGTTGTTTACTAAGAACGAAAATACATGCTCAAAGAAAGGTTAAACTTCGTGAAACGTTGCACTTTCGCTTCCGCCTTCTTGCACGCCCCACACAAGATTGCTGCAAATCACACGTGCAGCACTTAGTACAGAAATGAACAGTTCCTCCCTGATGAATCTTAATTGACGGGTGTTTAGAAGGAACCACCTACATTTTGATTAACCATACTGGGCTCTGAATATTGCAATGAATTCGAATAGGGAACTCTTCAGGAGCGGTTGGCGGACATGCTACCTGGAATAGAAGTAATTAGAGCTCAAAATGGTGAAACCTTTTTGGTTGGACACCGAAAGGGAGATCAAAAGGAAGCCCTTGCGATTTTTTGAGAACCCCTCAGATGGTCTGCAATTTCTAAGAGAGGATGCCACACGATGTTTCAGCGGGGCTTGCATGCACAGCTTGGCATATGTTGGCATATTTGTTGTGCTACTTGCCCTGAGTAAGCAAAGTGTGTCCAGAACATTCGTGTTGAGTTGTTGGGATGAAGTGTCGTTCTTATTTTTGTCCGAATAGCCGACGCTGAAAGCGTTTGCCTCCACATCCTTGACACAATGCGCCAATTGAAGACTGGAGAAGCACCCCGCTTGGAACTCGTGCCGTGTTTTGGTATTTTTTTGGGGCTGTCAAATTTTTGCTTGCCCTGTTGGACGCTCTTAACATGCACCCGAGCAGGCCTTGAGGCGGTACTTGTACAGCTTCGTGCTGCCCGGGCCCTTTTGGAGGCAGACGGTAGATGGGTTTCGTCAATCAGGGGACAGCACGGCGGGGAGAATCTTTTGCTATATTCTAATGGTGGAAGTACATACCCCTTGTTCATACCCCTTAGTTCCCTGGTTTCCAACCCACTTTATAAGGGGTATGTAAAAGGGGTATGTACAAGCACCCCTGGATATTTTTGAACACAGCCAAGGGTTGAACTGGGCAGAGCCAATGGGTCTACCTGGGTTTTATCACCTCCCAAAACCACATGAGTGGGCACAGGCATTCTGAGACGGCAAGTTGGATGTGCCACAACTCCGCTTCTGTTTTTTGTTTGCCTGGCTATTGACTCCTTATTGGACCATGTCTGACCCAAAGCGCTGGAACATCTTGACTGGAAACAGCGAGGCTTCCGCAAAAAATCACTTCTCAGCTTCTGATCTGGGCCGTAGCCCTGCCACTTCTTTCGCCTCGACTTTATGTCCAGCTCAGCTCTTGTTGAGGTTTGGACAGTCGTTACATAGGGTTGCGGGGGCACAAGGAGAGTGAGCAGGGGCGCACTAGGATTTCCTTATTCACGTGATGGGCGGAGCTTGGGTTCAACATGAGCTTTGGTGGAAATTACATGCTCGCTCCTTCTGCCGCAAATCCTTTCCGCAAGCAAGAAGGCACTGCTCGGCTTCGTCAACTCGGAAAGTGGCAAGCAGGGTCGAACACACACACTCAGCGAGTTTCACAAATCGATTTGGATTGTGACATTGTGAAAGTTTTACAGCGTTTTTGCCGCATAGCAGTTTCCTGCGGATGCTGAGAATCTGAGAAGCATTCAGCAATATTGTCTGACGCGATTTGCTCCTTCCAGAGGTTTGATCAAACTTTTCCTTTATTCAAGGCCCCCAGTTTTGACCATGGCTAACTTTTGAACCAGGTGGTTGAAATAGTATTGTGTTTGCAGTTTTCCAACCAGTGGTCATCCTATGGAAAGGACCTTTTGATCAACCCCCATGTTGCAACTGTCCTCAATGCACTGAACTGGGGTGGACTTAGGATACATTTTACATTTACCAGTGACTCGATGTGAAGCAAACAGTAAAATATACATTCTATAACTGGGCCTAACTCTAATCATGTGAAGACTTGTTCTCGGCCGACTGCCAGGCCAATCGGCCAGCTTCCCCGCGTGCCGCGAACCGGCCAGCTTCCCCACGTATCGCTTCGCCAGCATCGGACGTAATTAGCCTGGGCCTCGCTGGGCCCTCGCGTGCTGCTTTTCGGGGAACCCCCCCCGTGCCATGGACACCTAGAGTCTGTTTTGCAACCATACCCTAGAAAAAACAACCCAAAAGAAGGAGGTTGCAAAATAGACCCTAAGGGTCCATACGGACCCCCAAGAAAAGAAGAAGGATGGTATCCCAGCCCCGGAACTGGAACCGAAATCACCCCGAACAGCGGCCCCAACCAAGCCTTTTCGCCGAAGAGGTGAGCTGACTAAAAGCCTTACGCGTATGGTCAGGTTGCCATTGGCGGTTGGGAATTGAGGTTCTGGTTCTCATCTCACCGCCAAGAGGGGAGCTGAAATGACTCAGTATCCACGCGATAGCCGAGGCGTGCACACTCCAAGCCCATACGTGGAGAGGCAACTTGTCGATGTCAGGCACGCCGGAGTGCTCGGACGATGTTTCAAGCGTTCAGAGTTGACGCTGGATGAAAAATAGATGAACAACGTTTGTTTTTGGTGTCGACACTTGGCCTACAAGGGAGAATGAGCGCAGGTAGAGTTGTCAGATAGCTTGAGTTGACCAGACGTTGCCTCAACAGCGACTTACCTTTTACATGGTTTAGCCTGTTCGTTGCCTGACGAGCGGGATGGTCGCGTCAATCATAAGACAAGCAACGTGCTGTTTGCTTTGAACATAATGTCAGCCAACAGACAGCTTCACCCCATTAAAGGGGTCTCGTGGCGGCTTGGCTCGCAGCGTTGCCGCGATGTCAATATGTCAATGCGGGGATTGATCAATGTTTAGTATTCCCTTCGGCCCCATTTTTCCCCAAATTGACCATGGGTAACTTTTAAGTGGTTTTCACAAAACCCCCACATGTCCGTTTCCCAAGTGGGTATGGGTCAAAATTAAACCACCACGAATTGGACCGCAGGTTTTAGTCCATGTTTCCTTTTCCCAGGGCAAGCCATTTTAGGTACCGATTTTTGACCCACAGCCACATGGAGGTTGATCAAAGGGTCCTTTCCATAGGATGACTGGTTGGAAGCCAACTAAAACAATCCGATTTCAGCCACGCCTTGAAGGGAAACCCAGGCATGGGGTCGGCGGATTTCAGCCACATGGAAGTCACGCCTTTGGATCAACCCCTAGCCTCGTCAGGTCAGCCGGCCCGAAGGCGCTGGCGCTGGCGTGACCCCGGCGCATTGGAGCTTCGTGCATCCCGCTGGTGGTATGGCTTGTGGTACACAGGGCGCCTTAAAATAAATTCAGTTTGCCCAATTGAAACAGCTTTTTCAACAAAATAAAGGGAAGCCACCATTTACAAGTTGCAATGTTCAGGTGTATAATGTACGGATCCCTGCGTGGGTGGATTGACTACTTTTTTAGGAATCCCGTTTTGGTTGGCTTCAAGGGGAAAGCAAAAAGACAATCTCGAATTTGGGGGGTCCCCTGAAAAAAAAACATACCACATGTTGTTTGTAGCCGACATGTTTGATTTGTCATCTGTCGTGTTCCTAGATCAACTCCTACCATGGCTCCTCCCAAGGACATGGTACTGATTTGGTGGCAGGCATGGAGATGTTCCGTGTGCGCATGCACCAGACTTCAATGGAATTGATAGTGCACATACACACTGTCTATGCGGGAATCTGCCAGGATACCAAAACATATCCTAGCATGTTGATCAGCCTGTCTCAATGAATGCCAAAATCGGAACATGGCAATCCAGACACCGGGGAACACGGACGACCCCTCTAGGTCACTGTTGCAATTCCATACTTGAGTGTCTTGGAGGAGGACCGCCCTACCTGGAGCAAAAGAAGAGGTAGCACGGAGACTAACATAGACTCTGTGAAGAAAAAACACATTGGCATTATATTCATATACATATATTATATAATATGTATACACATAAATGGTGTTGTAGTCGTTTTCAAGAATGGTATTCGCGCTAGCAACCCTGTGGGTCTGGGGTAGACTTAGGATACATGTTGCATTGTACCAGTGACTCAAAGTGAAGCAAACAATAAAATATACATTCTATAGCTGGTTGCCTAACTCTAATCATGGGGTTTCTTTGAGTCTTATCCTTGGGATCTTCATGCCTGGTTTGCCTTCCAGGCAGCGGCCTGAAGCCAAGGCCGTGCGGGTCCGGGGCTGAGTCGGCTGAGCCGGCTGAGTCGGCTGGGATGAGGTCAAAAAATCGGATGGGGGGTGTCGAGTGGTCAAAGGGGTCAAAGGGGTCAAGGGGTCAAAAGGGGTCAAAGGGGGGCCGGCGATTTCGCTCGACGCGATGGGTTTTTGGGGGGTTTAGTCGGGTTAGACAGCGAAACACGTTTCTGCAGTGAAGACACTGATGGAGACTTGCCACTGTGGGGGGATGATTGAAAGGCCCCAAACATGTTTGTCGTGTTTTTTTTTTTGGGGGGGGGGACAACGAGAAAAAAAAGGTATGGAGGCAGTTTGTCTAGACTTGGCCAGGGGAATCCCTTTACTCAAGTTGGCACAGTTAAACCACCCATGATTGAGCATCAGGGGGGTGGACGGTACTAAAACCGATCGGCTGGCCTTTTTCAGGAAGGCGTTGATGAGTAATTTGCAGGCACAGTCTTGTTTCTGGGTTTCGCGGTATCACAAGGCAAAAGCGTGCTCTTCGGGTCTTGGCCAGATGAAAGAACATGTGGGACCCTGATGTCTTTCTTGTCTCCCTTCCTGAGTTCCTGGACTTTAAACTTTTTGGGAAGAGCATGTTGGTAAAAAAAGAGGTCCGAACTGTTTTTGGCCAATCCACTCAGAGCTTCTTCGTTGTGATTTGCTTCTGGTGATTCCGATGTATTGCCTTTGGGTGTTTTTGTTCTCCTCTCTATTGGTTGCCATCCATTTTGGTTCTGAAGGTTGGAACAGCTCGGCCTTTGATTCATGGCGCCTCCTGGTCGGGATTCGGAAGTCACGAACGGCTCCCAGCCATGCGGTTCCTTATCCTTTTAGCTTCTCGGTGTTTAGTGGCTGGGTTTGTCCATTTAAGGTTGACCCCATATTAATCAACCCCAGCTTATTCATAGCGGGTCCCTGGGTTTAGTGGGGAATCATCACGTTTGGAGGGGAACACCCTAGAAGTAAACCGCGGTTGATTCATATGGGGTCAACAACCCACAAGTCAAGCTTCCAGTGGATGTGAAATCGGACAGCCCGGTTCCTTCGGCGTTTTCCCAACAGCTGAAAGGGCTATGGATCCGGTCTCTGCCCAGATAGGCGACAAGGGGTTGTTTGGGGCAGCTTTCAGGGAGAGCCTCGAGGGTTCCAGAAAGGTTCCGGGGCTGAGGATACCACCCGGCCTAGTTTTCAATAAACAGATGCTACCAAAAAAACAACAACCGACATGTTTTTTTTTTGTGGCAAAGAACAACAACACCAACTTGTTGTTGATTGAAACAAACGGGGATCTGTATAAGAACCATCAGCGCGAGAAAAGCAAGAAGAAAAAAAACAACGCCGAGGGCCGAGCTGCCGCAGCCCGGAAGTTCTCCCGGCAGGACCGCGAGGAGCGCTTGCAGTCGGTCGACCGCTGAACCAAGTTGTGGAAGGAAAAACACTTTTTTTGAAAACACTCCGTTGTTTTGGGGTGCGGTAAAAAACAGATTCTTCTTTCTTTCTTTGTTTTTGGGGTGGGTGGGTGGGGTACGTGCGGTATGTGGTTGTCAGAGCCAGGGTGGGATAACCCAGAAAAGCCAGGTTAGAACCAGGCTTACTATCCATTTGCCTGACGTACCGAATCGATTGCCCCTGTAGGTACCCCGGTGTTGGTGGTTTAAAAGGGAAACCGAAAGGGAAAACACCATTTTTGTCGGGGGGTCCCTTAAAAAACGCACGCACCCGCCAATCCTTGGAAGGTGACTGACAGCTTTGGGCAAACACTTGTTTTTTTGCAGCAACCGATTCGTTGAGCTTGGATGAGCCATGACGAACCGTCAAGATGTCGATTCTCAAGGTGTTGCATGTTCGGTGAATCTGCTTGCCAAAATAATATACTCCCATGAAAATGAAAACTGGCAACTTGAAGCGTTACCGCCTCGAGCTTGCCAGTGACTGTCTTTAAGTGACCCATTTTTTCCGGACGATGTGATCTATATTGGGTGTGTCTGAAACTTGGAACCCCAAGAATAGGTGTGTGTTTCCTTCGGGTTTCCCTTTGAAACAACCCAACAACAACAGCCGGCCACGGTTCCAAACCACTGGTACCATTTCGAGCTTTTCAGTGCACCACCCATTTTTTTCTTAATTTTAGTGGTTGGATTGGTCAATGTTCACTGGGGTATTTGGGTTTTGACCCATGGCCAGGTGGCCTAAAAAACCGGGCCGTTCTTGGAACGCCCCGCCGCTCGCCCGAGGAATGCTCGGAGCTCCTGCAGAGGCTCATGGAAGCTGCCGACTTCAACTCCAACCAGTCAGGCGAGAGAGACCATAGGTCACCCGAAAGAATGGGGAGTCATTGAGCCCATTTTTAGAGGCTCATGGAGACTCCAGGTAGGTTTTTTTTTGGGGCATAGGTGTCCTTCTTGGTGGTTTTGCTGGAAGAATAGAGGGCGATGCCTGGTTTACCCGGTGATTTGATCATCTACCAGGGATATCCATCTATTTCCCCTAAAAGGACACCTATGGGAGAGACTTCCGAATCGAATCAGCTCTTCTGAATCGATCTGTTGAATGGAGGGGTTTCACTTGAAAGCCAGCCAAGAACGGGTACCTTAAAAAACGACACCCCCCAAATAGGGGCCCTCAAAATGGGGGAAGTGTTCCTCGGGTTTCCAAGCCATGTCCCTTTTTGGAACCTAAAAAGACGAAAAGTACACCCCCAAATAGGGGCCCCCCATTTGGGGGCCCTGTGGGGGAGGTGTTCCTCAAGGTTTGCGAGCTTGAATCTAAAGGAACCTCCCAAAGTGGATGGATCGAAATAATGGGAGCGCGAATAATGTATGAACTTTGATTTCGGAAAATCCAGTGTCCCCTGAATGAAAAGTGTTAATGTGTCCCCTGAATGAAAAGTGTCCCCTGAATTTTGGGACACACTTTTTGATTAACTTTGATTTCATGTGGCCCCTGAATGAAAGTGTTTGAAGGGTTTTCTGGTGAGGCGAGGAATGAAAGCTTGAGCTTGCGGAGCGAAATGCGAAATCAAGATGAGAAAGATGACGTTCTTCAATTGAGTGGGAGACTTCTAATGGAACGGAACCATGGACGACATTCCCCCTTCTCGGTGGGTTGAGGCGTTGTTTGTCTGCAAGTTGACCTGAGCGAGCCTAGGCTGGAAAAGAACGTTTCAACCAGTTGCATAGTCAGCTGTAAAGATGTACCATATGCGATGGTTGCTTCTGTCAGGTATCGAAGATATCACAGCTCTCCAGCCACATGACATGCTTTTGCTGTGAGAGAAAATAAGTCACAATCGAAACCCGAGTAATTGGAGGGTAGTAAGAGACAATCCCAGCCATAAATGGGTGCGGATATACGCTTGATAAATTCTTTACATGGTTCTGGGTAAACCATTTAATTCGATTATGGCTAAAATGGTGCCAAAGGCGGATATGTAAGGCCACAGGTAGCACAAAGAAGCACCCCCCCATCCCCCCCCCTCTCGAAGCTGTTGAATGGTCGGGGTCCAATGGTAGTTCAACGCTTTGTGTGTTCCTTCAGCGATCCAGGCACACTGGTCGCCAATTCATTTCTCTCTTTGAACATTGAGCCAGGCTTGAGCTTAGCTCCAGCCGCCAGCAATGCTACCGACAAAGCGGGAGGTTAGGCCAGTCAGAGACCATGGGCTTTGGGCTACCCAGGAGGCACGGACAAGTTCAAGAAGCTTCTCGCGGAGGCTCGGATCCGCTCGCGAGTCATTCGAAGCGCAGAAGTCGTGCCACCGTGCCACGGGTGTTTGGTTGGCTAGGTTGTTTTGTCTAATCGCCAGGGCATGGCGCAACATACCAGGGACCGCAAGTTTTGTCCTTATTTCCATATTTATTTATTTATTTATTTATTTTGGGGGGAAGGGGGTTCCATTTTGGGTACCTACATAATTTTGACCCACTCCCATCTATGTTCCGAAAAGGACACCTATGCTAAGGGCAGACAAACTGGAACTGTCAAATGCGCTGAAGAAATGCAAGCAGCGAAACACAAGTCGAGCACTGCCCAAAGACCCCAGAATCCACCTTGAACCAAATGCTGAAATCGGGGATCTTCATGGCAACCAGTCCCTGGTGCAGACACGAGGCTAGGCCGTTGCCGTGATGCCAAGTCTCTTTGGCTTAGCACGGCTCAACCGGTGACCTTGGTGTGCCTTCCTTTGGTTGACTCACTCGGTAAAAGCAGACCAAGAGAGACGACTGATCCAAGGCTGCAGCAGGTGTGCCTCGACAAAAAGGGGGCTGCCTGACGCAGGTGTTTGAAGCATCAACAAATTGCCGAGGCACAGTCTCTCACTCTGATTTCTGTGCTCTCGCTCTCTCTCTCTCTCTCTCTCTCTCTCTCTCTCGGTCTCTCTGTCTTTGCGTCTTTTGGCACCTGCCTTGGCCATGTGGGTTTGGCACTCAGCTTCCTTGGTTGAGTCTAGGCGAAAAACCTGGCGCCGGCCGCAAAGCGGCCGCAGCTGGAAGAGGCGGGTGGAACGCAGCTGGAGGGAAAGTCACCGCAGGTGATAGTCCTTGTTTCCATTTACCAGGCTTCAGTTTTGGGGGGCTACGCGGCTACCCCATTTTTGACCCCAACCCACATGGGTGGCTCCTGTTTGTTGAGGTGACCCTGCAAAATGGAGGTTGGTTTTCCTCTTGGTTTTGGTATTCCCTGAAAAACACCTGAAAAATAGGGGAACTCTCACAAAAAGACTGAGTCACATGAGGGAGCCCTTTTGGGGTTGTTTTCAAGGGAAACCAAGAACAAACACAGGCCCAAAAGAAGACAGACCAACATAAAAAACATGGACAAACGCCAGGGAACTTAAGGTTAGTAAGGGACAGTCCCAACCAGAAAAATCGGCGAGGGAATCTGGCCTAATTCATTACCATGGGTTTTTTGGGTAGACTACTTTAATACCAGGTTTTGATTATGACTCACGGGCATTTCAGGACCAGGGTTCGACAACAGACACTTTTTCTAGCCATGTTGAGAGCAGTCAGTTGCCAGCGGGTTTAGAGAATCCTCTTATTTGGATGCTTGGGATGAAGTTCGGGACATTTTGGTTTGGGCGGGGGGGATTTCGGACGGCTCCCTCCGGAAGCCACGCAAAGCAGAGCAGGCCGGCATGTTCATGTTTTGAGCTTCTTTGGTACAGAAGATTATGAGTTACTGTAGATCTAGTTGCGAAATCCGTGCAGGCACCGCGAAAAGGAACCGTGGTTCGAACCGCCACGTTTGTTGGTATTTGCATTGGGGAATCGACTCATTCCAGGGTTTCTGAAAGGTGGTGCGAAATGGATGTCGTCCATCCACAGTAAGAGCTTTATTGCAACACCAATATTATGTTTGCGGAGTGAGGGTGATGATGCCTCTGTTTCTGCTGTTGCCTGAGCCACTGGTGTTGCATTGCTCCTGAGTCAAGAGTCAGCAGTATGCTCACGTTGGCAAATTAGGTAAAATTTGGATGCCCGAGCAGTCGCCCAGCTGGCCAGCTGGCTGGCTGGTTGGCTGGTTGGCTGGTTGGCTTGTTATTTTTTTGGGTGTGTCAATTTTTCGGGGTACCCCCAAAATTGTGGTTTTCCTTCGGTTTCCCTTGAACACAACACCAAAACCCAGGTACCAACTCCGAAAAAGACGACCCATAACCCCGTTCGTTGCTTGGAAGGGCAGCGGCTGGCCACTTCCGCTTTGGAGGTGCTGCAGAAGCACTTCCTCGCCAAAACCCCTGGCCGGCACCGAGAGCGGCTGCGCCAGATCATCGCCGAGTGGAAGGCGTCGAGCCGGTGGTGCCCCCCCAAAAAGGGGGCGATCGAGGCAGGGTACGTCGGGTAAGTGGTTGGTAAGCCTGGTGAGATAACCCACGAAACGGAGACTCTCCGTGGCTTTTGTGCGTTATAACCATGGGTATTACCCACTTGCTACGTACCTGATCGCCCCTTTAAGTGCGCATATACAGACTAGCGAGTGCGAGCACCCGATCCGGGCATGGCAACCATGAGACCGCCTAAGAACGAACTGAAAAGAAGGCAAGCATATAAACTGAGTCAGAAGTCTTTCACAAAGCAGGTTGGCATAAGAACACGGTAATATAAGTTCCCACGTCTCCCGGCCATGGCTGGGTTGCCCCCAGCTCTCCTTGTCCTCAGGCGGAGGGGCTTTGAATGCTAAGGCGTGTGGCTCAGTGGGGCCTACTGGCAAGGGTGGCACGCAAGTCATTCGCCTGGGTTGACTTTCCTGAGTCATGGTTGCTTCTCTTTGATTGGATCGGTTTGAGTACCTTGCTGCTGGCACTGCTTCTGCCAGACTATTAAAAACATTCGTCCCTGGGCATCCGCCCAAACGCAGAACTTACTCGGATATTTGATGCCCAAGTTTGCAGGTACACTAGATGGACGAAATCCATTTCGCACCACCTTCGGAAACCCTGGAATGATAGTCGATTCCCCAACGTAAATACCAACCACCGTTATGATTTTCCCAGGGTTTCAAAGTGGCGCGAAGGGATTTCGCAACCACCCACATGACAAAGTCGAGAGATCCGTAGACGTAGGAAACGGTGTCGGATGCAGGGCTTCCTGGCAACAAGCTAAAAGTAAAGCGCCGGGGGGTTTAAGGCTGACGTTCTTGGGAGCCGTGAAGTGCTCCTGGGCTGACCAGGCACACCCGACTTTTTGCCCATAAATTGGTGGCTGCCACAAACCACTCCCACTGATGAAGGGTCTGGCGCCGCGGTTTGGCCCGCTTTAGCGTATCCAGTTTGCTTCATGCCGTGTGTGCGTTCTGTGATGGCAGGCACGGTATTGCGTTTTCACGGCCTGGTGGATGCTCAGAGCGGAGGTGTAGCATTCAACCATTGTGTGGCATAACGAACACTATTGAGCATTGCATTTTGACCGTTAAAGATTCCAACCAGAGTTGTTCCTTTGTCTTGCATGGTCGTGAGATTCACATGATTTGTGCATTGTATACACTATATATATTTTTAGGGTTCAGGGTTGCCGGTGGTCTATGGTCCAAATGGGACATGGCTGCGACCCACTCATCACGTAAGCAGGTCAAAATACCACTGGTCAAGGTTAACTGGGTTGGTGCCCTATGTTGGTTATAGTTGTATCCTATACCCTCCCACCAATTGACATGGCACCTGACAGGGGGTCTCTTTAAAAGGAAAATTGTCTTTCAAGACCCTCCTGTCAGGTTCCATGTTAGTTGGTGGGAGGGTAGTTACCTGACGTTGGGTGAACAGCCAACTAGGACATACTGTTACAGAATTAGACACAATTAGATGCCTCTTTTTGCGTCCTGTGGTGTTTCTGGCAACGGGAGTGCTTCTTGGCTGCTTCAGGCTTGCGGAATTCAGTGCGCCTCGGTGAAAGACCAGAAGCCGTGCTGACAGCCAAGCAGCCAGATCCTTTTGCTGGAGCAAAACGCTCGCAGACGAAGCGCGTTTCGCATGCGGTGTGCAGCGAGCTTCAAAATAAGAGGCTCCTCGATCCCATAGTCCGGGAGGTGTTGTTCATCGCCTCGCGCGCTAGCTTTGATTGGACACCTTCACAGGGGTGTGGCTCAAAAATTGGGCTCTCAAAATAGAACCCTGGTAAATGGAAAAGTAGCCCAAAACCTGCGTAATCGCTGTTTAATTTTGAGCCACACCCACAGATTGACTCTTAAGATGTGAAAAGACTGGAGGCCGGCTTTCCCAACTTGGGACTGTTCGCGACTGGACTTGGATACTGGCAAAGTCGCTGTTTGGATGAGCATGCTCAAGTTGAGTTACTTGGGTGTTTGGGTGTAGGGACCAAGTCTCACTTTCAAGAGGTGTATCGCTTGCTTTGGCTCTGGCACTGAAGTCATGACACATGAACTATGGCAGACATATCGATCGCTCGTGTCCCAGAAGAAGAGTTCGTGTTTTTTATTATTATGTTATTTTGTTTTTGTTTTTTCTTCCTCAAGCTGTTGACAACTACACCAAGTCGTAATCCAAAGAAGGTGAAGATGGATGGACCTTGCAATCCAACAAGGCTGCAAGCCAAGGAAAATGAGGCGCGAAGAACAACTTCTCTCCATCGAGTCTCCAGCCCATGGCGAGTGCCTGTCATGGCTCTCTTTTCCTCCCACCAATGGCAAGACTTGGCGTGGCTCATCTGGATCAGACAAACCCACTAGCAGGGATGCCGCGGAAGCGCGGATGTGGACATATTTGTTGGGTAATATTTGGATGTGGTTTCTTTCACGGGGAACCCTCGCACAACCCAATCCGCTTCCCCGAGATCCCCGCTAATTTCTTTTCCCAAAAGCTGGCGAGCCCCTGGGTGCATCTCTCTCGGGCCAGCTGGGATCAAATCAAGAAGTGGCTCCCTTGGGGGAACCGCCGAAATAGAGTTGGGGTCCCTTTTTGTTCCCCCTCTTTAACCTAATCCCACCTTTTGGTGCCCCCAAAAACAACAATTCAATCACAAAAAGGCAGCATCCACCCCCCCAAAAAAACAAAAAACAAAACAAAAACAAACACAAAAAGAAAGACAGCCCTGCCCGCAAGCAAAAGCTCCCAAGGCTTCAAGCTCTGCTTGCGCTTTCTGCCGGGCTTGTGGCAGGGACACCCGTCGCTTGCGTTCACGGGAATGAGGCATGCTTAGAGGGGCATTGTGCGTCAGGGAAGTGGCTAGTAAGCCTGGTTGCAACCCACTTACGAGACTTATAACCATCGCTTTTGTGGGTTATAACCAAGCTTGCTGACCACTTACCAAGTATAATGCCCCTTTAAGTGTGAAATTATTGTTTCGTAGTTTCTCGGGTGAAACTTTCCAGGAACCCGGCCGCAACTGTTGCGGATCCCTCGCTTCTTCAGCATATGGCTGTGGGTCAAAACCCTGTACCCCTGGTAAACATCAAGATAGGTGGCAGATGGATGTTCATCCACCCCAAATTGGAGCCATAGGTTATGCCCCATGGCCATATGTTTTTAACGGTGCAACATGAAGCAAAAGGTTGGCTTGTCAGGTTCAGGTCTCCGCGGCGGAGGCTGCTTCAAGGACTTTGCTGCCTGCTGCTCCTGCGCAGGGCTGCTTCCGCAAAGCGCCGCCCGGATGAGATTCGAAGGAATTGCTTGGCGCGAGACTGCACCAAGCGGCTGTGGGTCAAAACCAATGGGATCCCATTTTGGGGTAGGTGCACCACCCATTTAGAACCTTTTTTAGTGGGGATTGGGATGTTTGCTGGGGGTACGATTTGGATTTTGACCGTTTTGATAGCAGTGCGTATAGCAAGTTCGTCTTAAGCACGTGTGTTGTTTGCATATGGGTCAGCAGTGGCCTGAGAACCGCTGCTCAGCTTTTCCAGTTCCACAGCCTGGAAAGCTCCTCGCCCCCAGGTTTCGGCTTCGCAAGCGAAGCCATAAACCGATTCCAGCCACAACTTGTGCTTTGGATTTCCACTGGGCGCGGAAAGCTCGCGGAAGGGCGCGGAAGGCCAGTTTTCAGGGGAGATGTTTTTTGTTTGTTTGCATCACCTCAACATCATACACGGGTGTGGCTCATTTTTTTTCACAGGAGGGGTTACACTGGTGTTGGTCCATGTTTCCACTTGTCAGGGTTCCATTTTGGTACCGGTCTTTTGAGCCACAGCCACATGTATATATATATATATATACATAGAATGTAGTCGCGGCACATGGTGCATGTGGATGCGTTCATCAGAAGTTTGCCCAGCATGTGCGACAAAGTTACGTCCGATTTCTGAGCTCAGGTATGCTGCAGGAGGAGGCCCAGAGAGGGCAAAGTTGGGCAGAACCCCGTGTGTGCCATCCCTCCCTCAAGGGGGTCTCTATGGCTGTGGGTTAAAAACCAGTGGGATCCCATGTTGGGGTAGGTGAATTCACCACCCATTTTAGTCTATTTTAGTGGGGATTGGGATGTTCACTGGGGGTACGGGGTTTTTGACCCATGGCCATATTTCCAATTTTTGTGGTTTTAAACGTCACCTTTTTGGCCCATGAAAGGTGAGTATCCCTTTGTGGGGGTGGTGTTTTAAGGGGAAATAGAGGGAGCCCTGTCAAGCTTCCACTGCATTTGAAGCCACAAGTATTTTTGGCATTTGCCGGGGTAAGTTGACTGCTTGAATAAATATTTGGAAGCGCCACTAGCCTCGCAAAGCGCCTGTCCAGCAAAACCCTTATGTTCAGCCTGCATACTCACTGAGTGAACAAATAGCACCCGCGCTCGTGCTGCTAACTGGTGTGGTAAATGCGAGAGGAGGAGCTGCCCGAGTACGAGTTTGACATTCTGCCAAGCGATCGCTTGCGTGTGGGAATCCACGAGATCGTAACCGGCTGGTTCTACGTGAAAGGCCTCATGGATGACATTAAACGTTGTTCTCGCATAGGACCTTGCGACTGGCAACAGCTGGCCGGGTTGCGTGACGCTGAGGCAACTTCACGCTGGGCTCCTTGGGGGATGTTGCCTATGCCAGCCGGGAGATGCTGGCAAACGCTTGCGACAGCAATTTGCCGACGCTCCTCGTTGCAAGGCACCTGAGCTTGGAATGCGGATCTCTCAAGCCTGGCACAAGCCGTCCAGTGAGACACAGACATGTGGAACAGCAGACATGGGGTTGTCAAAGATATGGACCCTTTTTAGGACCTGGTACGGCACAAGGCAGGCCTTTGAAAGGGGATACCTTTTCAAGCCGGGAGCGCCCCTACTTTTGACAAAGCTTCACCTGTTGAGCGGCTCATGTGACTGAGTCCACTTTCGTGAGGCGTTTTTTGGTCCTTTCCAGGCAAGACATCCTCACGGTGAGCGCCCCACGTGTGGGCTCAGACCTCAGGAGTTGCTTTTCGCTCAACAAAATGAGGCAGACTCGCAATTCGCCCTCTAAAGCCCCGCGTTTGCAAAACCACTGCAAGGATCACCCTATTAGTAGCTCAGCAAATTGTTTGCATTGATTAAAATGAACACGAGCAACAAGTCAACAGATCCAATTATGTATCCATCTACAGTAATACAAGGATCAATTTCAAACTATGTGGCATCCTAGGGGGCAAAACAGCCGCCCAAGGGAGGGTTCGATTTTTCCCGCCAATTGGACCAAGAAAAACAATGCAACATGGGATCTTTCAAGCCACGAAGGATTTATCCTTTGGGACCCGTTTGCCTGGTCAATTTTCCGGACCCAATGTGGAACACCCAACAAGGTTGATTAGGACCATGTACGAGGTTGTCAAAAGATATGGTGGGGTCCTTGTGGGAATCTGATGCCGCCTTGGGTTTATAATTTTGACAACCTCCCGCATGAAATTGCCATCTTCACCTAACACCAGCTAACACCTTAAGCACCGCCCAGGATTTCTTTTGTGCCCACCAAAAAACACACGGCGCCACCAAAAACATGTTCTTCTTCTTGACGCCTCGTTTTTGGTCACCAAAACTAACGGCACCACCAAAAGAAAGTTATTCTTGTTGAGGCCTACCAAAACTAACGGCACCACCAACAAATAAAAAACAAGTTCTTCTTCTTTAGGCCTACCAAAGATCGCGCCACCAAAAAACAAGTTCTTCTTCTTGAGGCCTACCAAAAAAGCTTGGCACCACCCAAAAATAAGTTATTATTATTCTTCTTCTTCTTCTTGAGGCCTACCAAAAAAGCTTGGCACCACCCACAAATAAGTTCTTCTTAGATTCTTTTTCCTGAGGCCTGAACATGAGCTTCCAGATCCTGGCGCCGCAGGGCTGGGCCCACTACTGCGTGCAGGCGCTGCGCTTCGCGGGCTTCGGGCCCACGGAGCCGCCCTTCGACACGACAGCCGCGCCGCCCATCCGGCGGATGATGCAGGCGCCGCTGGGGTCGGGGGTCGGGTGGGGTCGGGTGGGGGTCGGGTGGGGTCCTTCCATTGGCTGAAATGAATATTGTTGTTCTTTTCCCCTTGGTGGTTTTAAAAGGAATTTATCGCCACTGGAAATATTGTTTTTTTTCTTCCAGGGGTCTTAACCAAATGGAAGGGTCGCTGGGGTCGGGTGGGGGTCGGGTGGGGTCGGGGGTCGCGTCGATGGATCTGGTTGGAAAAGCGGGGGGTGCTTGGGGGTTCAAAGGCAGATGGCGGTTGCAGGGGTGTGCTTGCAGATGATGCAGGCGTCGGGAGATGGGGTCGCTCAGGTCGCTGGGTTCGGGTGGGGTGGATGGGGTCGATGGTCGATGGTGGATGGGGGAGCTTGGGTGGCTTAGGGATGGGTTCGGGATGGGTTGGAAAACGGGGGTGCTTGGATGCCTGAGCGCAGCCGGGTCGATGGGGGCGATGGTGGATCTGGTTGGAAAAGCGGGGGGTGCTTGGGGGTTCCAAGGCCATCCGGGTCCATTGCTTGATGGTTTTTAGGTGGGTTCGGGCAGGGAAAACAGGGTGGTTGCTTGGGCTCAAAGGCCATCCAGTTCCTTATAGATGTTTCAGGTGGCTGAGTTGGGGAAGGAAGAAACGGGCTTTCGGATGTATCCGTGTCAAGCAAAACAAGTCAACCAACTATATGCCAATGATGAACATATGCCAATGTGTGGTCCCGGGAGGAAGACCCAACACAAAAAAAACGGGCACGTGTCTTGGTGGCAAGCCCAGGCATCCGGTTCCTGAGGTCTTGGGTTAGAAGGTCGTTTTTTTTGGGTGGGGGTTTTGAGGTTGTAGTTTGCACTAACCCACTCGCCATCCGGTCGTTTTTTTAGCTGTTCTTAGTTTTTTTTAGGTGGTTTAGCGGTAGTTTCCACTAACTCTCTAAAAGTTTAAAACTTTGAGCAGGGGATCTGAGGACAGCCCGGAGTGTGGTTGTGTTGTTTTTGAGGCTCAGTATATTTTCGGGTTGGTTTCTCAAGGGAGACCAACAGGAATCCGGCATCACATTGGGGGTCTATTTTAAGACACACCCATGAAATGTTGACTTCGGATTGATTTGTAGGACCGTCCGTCCCAAGCAAAACATATGTAATGTAATGCCTTTAGCGAAAGTCCCCTGACTACGGTCCTCCGGATTGATCCGAAGTCAACATGTGGAGGCATTCAGTTCTTTGGCGGGTTTCGGTTCTAAAAAAGCCCGGAATAGGACATGATACCTTGATGTGTTGAGAGGACAAGGTGGCTAAACCAGAGAGGCATCAGCCGGGTATATTGCGTGGCCGGTCGCATGGATTGTTTTGACATGGCTTTTTGCATGCATGGACAACGTATCTTCTCATTTGTGATTTGGGAGATTTGGGATCACCCCATCGTTGTTTTTGAAGGGGATATATGTTACTTTGGATCTTTGTTGCGGGTTGGTTTGTGCGATTGTTGCCTGCTTCTGGCACGCTCATAGATCGGAGGATGTGCAGGTTTTGCCATTCATCTCAAGCCACTTTTCTTCGAACTACACAGACAATCACCCAACGCGCGACCATCGCTTGCATCCTCGTTGTTTCAAACTCCACAAAAGGCTTCGTTCGGGTGGGTCCGGCTAGCCATAAAGCGGAATATTAGTATCTTGACCGGACCAACCTTATCAAGTGGCACTGTTGCATTGCCCCGCGACATTGCATCCTTCTCCATACTTGGCCAACCTACCCTCCTGTCCACTAACATGGAAGAGGGTCCAATTTAAGGGAAAATGGTCTTCCAGGACCCCGTAGTCAGCTTCCATGTTAGCGGACAGAAGGCTAATTGTAAGGGTCATTCCATTTCAATTTTGAGTTTTCATGCCATGTCATATTTGGCCTGTAGGGGGCCTCGGCCTCGGCTGGCTGCATGTGTGGCATTCAAGGCGACAAACATCGGATGCTCACTCAGGCTTCCCTTGAGCAGAACACGGTGCTTGACATGGACATGGAGACATGGGTGATTGATCTCGGGAGCCTCGGCTGACTGGGACTGTGAGTCCCTGGCAAAAGCGTCTCGGGAGCCACGTGCGCAATGAACTTTAGTCACTCACAACTTGGTGGCTCCCAGCCATCTGGTCCCTTAGCTTTTTAGCCTTTTAGTGTTTAGTGGGGGATTTCCATTTCACCCACTAAAAGTTAGTCACTTTTAGCGGGGGATCTGAAAACGGGCAGCCCAGACAAGGATTTCCCGCATCAACCAGTGCCAAGCGGTCTCTGGCTTGGACCGCTGAACCTTTTTGTGCGTGGAAAGGCCACCAGCCATCTCGAGACGCTACCTATAGCAAGTATCATACTGTGGACGAAACCATTTCGCACCCCAACGGAAATACCAAGAAACCTTTTGGTTTCGATGGTTTCCCTCAATTTCCCCTTTTGGACCTCCAAAAGTGACAGTTTCAATGGACACCAGTTACTTGATCAACTTTTCAGAGATACATCCAGTGACCCCTGATCATAGCAAATCATCTTTGGAGTCCGAGGGTCAGCTGCAGTGAGTGGCGGGTCTCCTACGGCCAATCCGAATCTCCGGCGGAGCTGCTGAAGAGAAGTTTGATGCCGGCTCAATGGCCTTTGAGCTGCACAGTTCGATGGAAAGGTCCGCAAGACATGGGAAGACCATTGGTTGGAAAACCACTATGATATTTCATCCAGATAGGAACAGTTACCCTTGGTGATAGGCCGGGGGCCCAAGGGAATATTGATCAACCCCCATGTTTGCACAAGAAGACCTAGCTCTTGCCCCCTTTTGCTGATTCATGTTCTTTACCGTCAAGACAGGCATGCTTTTCGGGGGCAGAAGTAAGTTTGAAAGGGTTGGCGCGTACTGCTTCCAGTCGAATGCAATTTCCACCTGCACTCAGAGGATCCTGGTTTGCCGGTGATTGAGGAGCTTGGATAGGCCACAAGCGCAAAGCTCTGGAATTTGAGTCTTGCTGCTCGAGGGAACCAGGGACGTGTGGGTAGAAGATCTATGCTGATTGCTCTCTAGCTTTTGCCGACCCGGCTGCGCATGGCTGCCATTGCCACTCAAGGGTCTGCCGCTGTCTAAGGCTTGGCATGGAGGAGCCTTCTCCATGCGGCTCTGTGGCAGTAAAGTGGACACCCTCTTCCTCCGTGAAGTTTCCCTGGGAGGACACTTGCAGAGCTGGTGCTTGGTACAGCTTTCTTGTTTTGCCTCATGCTTTGAGATGCGTTGTGCGGCTTTGTTTTGGGCATTCAACTCGATGAATACCCACACATGCATGAAATGGCAGCTACGATGCCCACAAATCAAGCTCACTGACTTGTAAGTTTCAAGATGCTTGCCTCATTTTCATTGTTTTTTTCGTTGGCGAAGAAGCCGGAATGTTTTTGGCCGTCTGCTTGATTTTGCTTTGGCAGGACCAGCCATGCCTGGCCGCTCCCACGCCATGCATTTGTGCTTCGATTAAGACTTGCAGACGCTCGTCCAGCAGCATCGCCCATGCTACATGCTTGTTTCAAGGCATGCATATTTATGTCGGTGTATTGTCAGAAGTGAAGAAGAGGAGTGTTCGATGAGTTACCCACTTGGCCATGGGTCAAAAGCCCGTACCAGTGAACATCCCAATCCCCACTGAAATAGGTTCTAAAATGGGTGGTGAATTCACCTACCAACCAAAATGGGATCCCAAAATGGTTTTGACAACCACAGCCACTTAACTTGTGGCTCTCCGATCTTATCCTGCGCAATGGCATCTGAGGATATTTGACCCATCCCAGCGGAGGGAAGCGCTGTGCAAGTGGCCTTTTGGCAGCGTGCAGCGACCAGAAATCGCAAAAAAAAAAACAAAAAACACGCAAAGCAGAAAACATGCGGCGCAACTAATTGTAGCCGCTCAAGTTTTTTGTGGTGGTGGTGGGGCTGAGCGTGTTGTTGCCAGTGCTAGCCGCTCAAGTTTTGTTGTGGTGGTGGGGCTGAGCGTGTTTTTGCCAATGCTAGCCGCTCAAGTCGGGTTATAGTGGTCTGAGGCCCCACATAAAACCATGGCCAAAAAAAGGTACCCCTGTTTGACAACCCATCTGCATTCTTTGCCTCACATCTGTCATGCACATCCCAGGCTGGGAAACAACCTTTGACCTCAGCCGGGTCTCCTGCGAGGATTGCCCTTATCAGCCGGACTGCCCGCCCACCTGCCACTCGGAACTGGGGAAACTGGGATGGCGTGGCTGCTTCGAAAGTCTCAGGCAGCACGCGAACGCGCGCACATGCAAACATGCATAGAAACATACAAGCGCACAAACACACTAGCACGCACGCACACACATATACCTGCATCTTCCATTTGGTCACTTGTTTGGGGGCTCTGTTTTTTTGCTCGTTTCAGATTTTGAGCGGAAAATCACAAAATGAGCGGAAACCTTGATTTGGCATGATTTGGGAATTTTTGTGAGCGAAAATCGGCGGGATTGGCGGGAAATGAGCGGACAATTGCGGACACACACCAGAGCCACTTTTCAATTGAGCGTGTTCTTTCTAATTGAGCGTGTTTGGGTGAAATGAGCGTTATTTTTGCTCGAAACGGAAAAATCCAGAAAAAAAGTGCCCACGGAAGACATGGGTATACACATGCGCATACACATCCACATAATATGCATGCACATATACCTTTGCATGCATAAATTACACTACACTACATTTCACATACATACATTACATGTCATGTTGGTACACTACATCATAATACAGTAATATATCATATAACCTTACATTACATAACCACATTACATTACATGAAACCACTAATGCATACAGCATACATGCATGCATGCATACATACGTACGTACGTACATACCTACCTACATACATACATACATACATACATACATACATACATACATACAGAACTAGATGCATACATACAGAACTAGATGCATGCATACGGAACTCGATGCATACATACATACATACATACATACATACATACAGAACTAGATGCATACATACAGAACTAGATGCATACATACAAGGGAGGAAGCATGCACACAAGATGCAGCAACATCTGCCAACCCAAGATCAATCAGCCAACAACTTGTGGCCATTGCGACACCTCACATGGCCACAGCAGAATCGACTGGTTGCGACGCTTGACCAAGGTGAGGATGCCTACACACCTTGCATGTGCTCTTTCTGGAATTGCACATGGGATGAAGGCAGCAACAGCTGTGCGCAGTTCGATCCGGAAGCAGGCCAATTGTCCTGCTACCTTTGCGCCAGGTATCTTGGATGCCACTGAGATTTTTGTTTTTTTCAAATCGCCAAACTGGGCACCTCTATTTGCATCTACCCCGTCCTGCTTTGATATGTGGGTGTGGCTCGAATTCAGCTAGGGTTGCGCGGGTATTGGTCTTTGTTTCCATTTACCTCTTGGTGCCATTTTGGGTACGACTTTGTGAGGCACCGCCATGTTTCGGTGCCTTTTCACAGATCGTTCTTGATGCGGGCCCGGATTCTTATAGAGCGGAAACAGGAAACCACCCTTGACCTCCAAACCAATCCAAACCACCTAGGGGGAAGCTGACTTTCTGCATGCGGAAAGCTATTTGCAAAAACCCAGTGCTCACACGCGACCCTAAACAAACAAATCAGGTCCCAGTCCGTCTGTCTTTTCGGGTGTAACGGGAACGTAGGGAAAATATCCAAAGACGTTTAATGTTTATCTGGGACATTTGCTCACAAACCGCTCATGTTCGATGACTGAGATGATCTGGTTTGCCTACTCGTGGAATACACCCATATGCTAGGTCAGCTCACCTCAACATTACAAATCATTGGGTTCTCGCGCGACCTTTTTCACATGGCCGAACAAATAAAAATATGGGGGCGGGTTGCTTGTTGCTGTGCAATTGATGTGTGGCTTTTCTTCTTTTTTAGAGTTGCTACAGTACCCCTCGTAGGTTTTGAAGGAAACCAAAACTCCCCCCAGCTATCCGATTCCTTAGGTTTTTAGGATTTTGGTTGGTTTAGTGCTTGGGTTTCCATCCAACCCACGAGTTATTCGCTTTTGGCAGGGAATCAGGAAACGGACAGCCCAGGAAAGGAAAACCACAACTTGAGGTCGCCTAAAACAATTCACGACCCCAAATTCAAACACTCTGCGGTTGGCCGATCCCCCGTGCGTGATCTGAGGCAATCCCATTGCCTGGGGCTAACCGCGACTCATGTGGAGCCGCCCCTGTGGTCATACCTCGGCGATGATGATGTGGGTTGGCTCATCAACGTCACTTTCAACAGGCCGAAAACCCGATGATGTTTGTGTGTTCTTCTGCTTCTTCCTCTTCTTCTTCTTCTTCCTCTGCTTCTTATGTTGTTGTTGTTTGTTTGTTTGTTTGTTTGTTTGTTTGGTTGGTTGGTTGGTTGGTTGGTTGTGTGGTTGTGTGGTTGTGTGGTTGGTTGGTTGGTTGGTTGGTTGGTTGGTTGGTTGGTTGGTTGGTTGGTTGGTTGGTTGGTTGGTTGGTTGGTTGGTTGGTTGGTTAGTTGGTTGGGTGGCTGGTTGGCTGGCTGGCTGGCTGGCTGGCTGGTTGGTTGGTTGGTTGGTTGGTTGGTTCGTTGGTTGTTATTGACATCGCTACGCGATCCGCCGATGCCAGTGGGGTGCAAGGGATTTTAAGACCTTTTTCATTTTTTTTCATGGAAATGATGCTGGGGATGCTGGACATGCAAGGGATGCAACCACACAACGTACAGGAACAGACCCAATCTTCGCATCCAAAATTTCAATACCATCAGACACACAAAATTGACCAAACACAGAACATACTAGAGATGTCGGGAATGCTGGGAATGCAGCCGGCTGGCCACAAAAAGTGTAAAAAACAAGGTTTTTTGCAATTCCCCAAAATCAGCAAGACCAAGAGCAAGAGCAAGAACAATAACAAGAACAAGCACAAGCACAAGAGCAAGAACAATAACAAGAAGAAGAAGAAACAGAAGAAGAAGAAGAAAAAAAAAGAAAAAGAAGAAGAAGAAGAAGAAGAAGAAAAAGAAGAAGAAGAAGAAGAAGAAGAAGAAGAAGAACAACAACAACAACAAGAGCAGCAACAGCAATCCGCCGACGCCAGTCGAGCGTGCGTGTAGATGGCAGTCCGCAACTTTTGGGGCTGCCATTTTTTGGGCATGGTGTGCTGGGTGTCCAAAACCCTGTATTTTGTCCAGTGTTTTTGGGGCTTGCGTGCTAAGAATCTGCGTTTCGCCTAGGTCTCTAGGGGGGGGGTTCCCTCGGACACGCAGGATCTGCATCCCCGGCATCATCAGGATTCTCTTGCTGCTATGAATTTGTCTCTTTTTTTGCAGATACAAATGGGGTTTTGCTGTTCCAAGCGATGTTGGAATTGGCCTGTTAGGGGTCTGGGTGGGGCCAAGTGCAGTGATACGTTGCTTGTTCTTGTTCTTGTTCTTGTTGTTGTTCTTCTTGTTATTGTTGTTGTTCTTCTTGTTATTGTTGTTCTTGTTCTTGTTCTTGGATTTGTTCTTGTTTTTGTTGTTGTTCCGGTTGTTCTTGTTGCTATGATTGTTGCTCTTGTTTTTGTGGTTATGGTTGTTCTTTCGTTTTTTTTGTTTGTAGTTCTTGTTGTCCTGCTTGTTCTTGTTATTGTTGTGATGGTCGTTGTCGTGGTTGTGCTCGCGTCGTTGTTGTGGTTTTGGTGCGTTTGTGTGTGTGTGTGAGGTGTGCAATTGTGAAAAGTCGTATGATATTGTGTGTACTGTGATTTACAGTATTGACATGTGAGCCACAATCAAAACCCGGGTAAGTGAAGGTTAGCAAGGGACGATCCCAGCCATATATAGCTGCGGCCGCCTTCTTTGTTCTTTGCATGGTTCTGGGTCGACCATGTTTGTAACGGGTTTTGATTGTGACCCATGCGACTACGAATTGCAAGCCTGATGCCCCTACATTCATGCGCATGACGTCGCCACCTAGCTTCTTTTCAGCCAGGGATGTGGGAAATGACCACTGTGATACAACAGAAAGATAGAAGGGGGGAGCTTCCCTTGTATCACAGAAGTGGGGATAAACCTTGGTGGCTGCCATACCCTTAGCATTTTAGCTTTTTACTGTTTAGTGGGGTTTTCCATTTCGCCCACAAAAAGTTAAACTTTTAGCATGTGTTTGAGGACAGCCTAGAAGCCACAGCCCTGTGTTCAGCAGTTCAGCCCGTTGCCAGGCTGATCCGCTTCGGGCCGTTGATGGACTCGGAGCCCAGCGCGGTGCACTTCGGGTGCCAGAGCGAAGCTGAAGCGGGACAAGATCCGCCGGTGGTGGTCCAGTTCGACTTGAGCATGGAGTATCTGCACATCCGCGAGGCCTCGAAGCAGCCAGGGGATTTCAGCCAGGGAGTTGAGTCAGGGAGTTGAGCCAGGGAGTTGAGCCAGGGAGTTGAGCCAGGGAGTTGAGCCAGGGAGTTGAGCCAGGGAGTTGAGCCAGGGAGTGGAACCAGGGAGTGGAACCAGGGAGTTGAGCCATGGCCGGTTCCAACTACTTTCGGATTTGTTAGTCGGCTTCGCTTGAATGAGATCGACTCTCCCTTTTCTGTGTTTGGGCTTACGGATTACAGTGATACCTAAGCAGTGCTAGTGAACCACTCGATCTGGGCATTTCGTTGACGGATCCAGCAGGCACAGTGACCAACAGCAACCTGTACTCCGAACGATCGCCTGATGGATTCTTGGTTCTTGGATCATCAGGCTGCACTGAACTGCTTAGTGCACTAAGCACCGCAGGACGTCTTGGTGGTCGATGCTCACGCAGTGCCGAATCCCTTGAAGCTGCGCCGTGTGCTCAGTTTGCTCGGTGAAGGACCCACTGATCATAGGATGCTAAAGGGCATTCCTTACATGTGGTGAAGCAATACTACGGCTCTGCCATGTATTCTTGCTGATGGAAACAAACACCACGGCCTGTAAAACCGGCGTTTCCCGCTGTTTTGCAATGAGATCGCACTGCAAACATTTGCAGTTGAGATGTTTTGCACCGAGGATTCTGCCAACTCACCATCTATCCTGGGGCAATTATAGATCCGCCGGGCCCACAGGATCTCGCATGCGGTTGCCAGAGCCTTTTGGGCCAACAGCAAACCGGAATGAAATTGAGGGAGGACATTCCCAAAGAAAGAGACAGCCGCCCTTGTGTAGTTCCTTGCATTGTTTTAGAGGGTGCAGTTTGCATTTTTTCCCGAGTCATGACGCAAGTGGCATTTCAGGCACACTCTGAATCTGCGCAGCTTGCCGTGCAAGGTACTTCATCCCTTTTAGAGGGACGTGGACTTCGCATTGGTTTATGCTTGGAGACACCGTTGCGCCTGATCTACTGACGCTGTTGCCAGACAACAGCGCCGCTTGTCTTCGACCGTTGATCGTTGGCCAAAACAAACAAAGGTGTACTGACATGCGCACGATTACTTTTTCCAATGTATCGGCGCCTTCCGTAGACGCGTGCGGGATGCACATGTTAGGTTTTGTTGGAAACATATGCCTTGTCCAGGCTTCACAGTCCAACCCTATTGACAACATGTGCTTATGAGCCTTTCACTAGCCAGCCTTTACCACAATGAGTGGTGACTGAAGACCATGCTGCGTAGGATATACCCCAAGTCTTCAGATCCTGAGATGCAATGTATTAATTCTTTGTGACATGAAGAAGCCTCGCGCATTTGCTGATGGCATAGTTTTTGCTCCGTGCAATCGGAGCTCTTTGGCGGCTTTATTTTGTCTCCTTCAATGACTTTCCATCATCCAGCATAGCTTCTTGTCGCCACCTTTGGTTTTCAAGAGACACTCATGGCCACACTCGCCAGCTTTTCGTGCATTGTGTGCCTTTGAGTGTCCGGCCGACTCCCAGCATCTCGCAAGGCGCCACAACTGCATGTTGCCAGGCTCCATGGTTGGCTTATAATGGGGGTGTTGGGCGAGTCTTGTCTCTTTTTTTGGGTGGGGGTAGCCTTTTTGCGGGTGTTCCAGGGACACAAAAAAAAAACACCCTGGAAGTTGCGAGGCCCGGGACATAGCACTGGACGTTACGGTGCGCTTGGGCTTCAGCGAGCACATTTCCTTGGGCCCGGCCATCAACGGGCTGGGGCCCCGATCTCCAAAATCCATCGCCGGATGCGCGGACGGACGGACGGATGGCGGCATTTCCAAGTGGATGGCACGAAATCTTCGAGACCGTACCCACGCGTTTTGCCAGTCTTTGTTTGTTTGAAGTGAAGATTGGTGGCTTTTTGGGGAGTACGCGCCACCGCGGCTTGGGCGAATGACGCGTGTCGAGCGAGCCGGTGTGGCGCCAGCTTCAGGTCCGTGGTGCTGGTGGCTTTGGGCGGCCAGGGGTTTTCCTCGGGCCCGGAGAACGAGCTGCTGCAAGTCTTCAAAGCGGCCTGGCCGAAAGGGGAAAAGGGATCCATGGTAGGTAGGCCCCAAAATGGCGCAACGGGTCTCCTGATCGTTTCTGCTTGAACACCACAAACAAGGGGTGCTTAAAGGGGTAGTGGGAAATGCCAATGGTGAGGTAGCCCATTAAGCCGTGGTTGTAAGTGTTTTGAAGTGGGCTATAGCCAGGCTTACTAACCGCTTGCTAAGTACCCTGCCCCTTTAAGTAGCCAGCTTGCAGTGCTGCTCTTGAAAACGGGAGCTCACTGGAGGAGAGGTGTGCATCACTTTGACTACCTCATTGGTAAGAAGCAAAACCTTGGCAGCCAAAAGCTTCCCAGTAGGCTTCCCCTTGGTTTTGGACTAAGTGTGAAGGCCCAATATCACCTAGTTGTGATCGAGCAGAGCAACCTCCGACTTTTCTTTCCTTGAGGGGGTTGGGACATTGGCCATGGAACTGTGTGTGGAGCATTCCAGGACTAGTCTGAATCAATCTTAGTTGTCCCCCTTCCTGGCTCATAGAGCAGCCTCAGATTAGCGGTAACCAATGATTAAGCCCCTCAATCTTCTGCTGCGGATGCTTTGTTACCAAAATGGCCTTGTTCTTTGAGGATCAGGTGTCCAAGCCACAAGTCGAAGTGTCATTTCACGTCTTCACATCCCTAGTTGAGACGTGATTTTCCCATTGCCCCCCTTTACCTTGGTTGAAACACGTCACCAGCTGAAAGCTGCCCGGGTCATTTTTCAAGGAATGTGGAACAGTTCAACGTATCAGGTCTCGTGGCCGTGTTTGTCCAGATGAACACGTGCGGTGTGCAACACGGTCAAGCGTGGGGTGTGTGCCTGTTAGCATTGAGGCGGATAGGCTCAGAATGGATGGGAGCATTCTATACTTGGAGCTCGGCGGTTTACTGCACCTTGGCAGAGATGCGATTTCGCCCGAGCCCACTTGAAAAGGGGCGATGGGGTACTTGGGCTGGTATGCCTGGTGAGATATCCCACAAAAGCCATGGATTTGGTTCGTCTCGGTTCAGTGGGTGATCTCACCAGGCCGACTAACCACTTACCCGACGTACCCTACTTCCATAGTCTCATGCTTCTGGCCTGGGAGTGCAAGGGCGGGAAGCCAAGTGGTATGCTTTGAGCTTAGGAAGCATGACCAGTTCTACTCCATTGGCATTGGAACAGATGCCGCCCTTTCGGCGGCAAGAGGGCATGCCTCGCATCCGCCATTTCAGACTTCTTGAGCCGACTTGAGAAGATTATGTGCTGAGGCAAGGGCTTGCGACCATAGCTGTCCTTTTTAGGTTATTTGATTAGACATAGATGGCACTGGTTCAGGTTTTGTTTGATTCCATTTACCAGGGAAACCCATCTGTTTTCACCCAAAACCATTATGCCTGCAACGGGTTTCTTTCGACCATGCCACGCTCTTAAACCAAAAACAAAAAATCGCGGAGGTTCAAGACAAGGTGGGCAACAACTTTGCGGGATTGCCCACTGGCATCTATGCCTTCCGGACAGCGCCTGGGAGACAAGAACCGGTCGACTAGTCACCTTGAAACCCCCATGCCTCCGGTTCGCTTAGGCTTTTGAGTCGTTCTTTCCGTTTAGTGGTTGGGTTTCCGTTTAACCCACAAGTCAAACTTCTTGCAGGGGAGTTGAGGACAGCCCAGGATAGAGTCGCATGATGTACGGCCGGACAGAGATACTGCCAGTTGCTTGTGCTAGTCATAGAATCCTCCAAGGCTGTTGCATTCGCCTCACACATACCCACAAGCTGGCCTGGCGCCCTAGTCATTAGGCCGTCCAATCGAGCATGCAGAGCCATGTGCAGAGACACGCGATCAGATTTGTTCGTGTGGGGTCAGCCTGTGTTCGGTGGTAGATGATCCATGCCTTTAGATTCTACAACTCAGGTGCCCAGAGACGCGACAGTGCTGAAGCTTTCAGATGGCATCTCCGCCGCTGCCATTGCAACCGCCGCTGTTTTCACCGCCGCCTGGCTAAGGCAACAGCACGGTGAGGTTTTCTAGACCGGAGTCCTCGGAGAGGGCGATGCTGTTTGAAAACGGAACATACATGTTCACAATCTCATGGCCAGTCCTCCTAGGTAGGTTGATTTCGCGGTTTTAGCTGGTAGTTCAGCTTATGTTTCATGAACAATCGCAACCTTATAGTTACGCCATGTATTGAAAGCAAGCCATGCCCCTGCCACGAGTCACTTGCTTGGATGTTCAACCAACTTAGTAGATTAGCATTGTTATAAGGAGACCATCTCCAGTTGCCCTAATTATAAGCACTAATCATAACCTAACCTGACGTTGGTTGAACATTCCACCCTGCCTCCCACTACCATGGCACCTGACAGAGGGTCCCTTGAAAAGGACATTGATCTTCCTGGTACCCCCCACAGATGCTACTGGAGGAAGGGTAGTTGATTGACTCTGTAATGTTAACCCCGTTTTAATAAACCCCTGTTTGATTAATAGGGGGGTGTCCCCTTTTAGTGGGGGATTCAGACCACTTTTGGAGGGAACACCCCCCTAATAATGGGAGGGGTTTATTAATCCTGGGTCAAAAAAATAGATGGCCCTGGTTTACCTGGTGGTTTAATAATCTACCAGGGATATCCATCTATTTCCCCTCAAAGGACACCTATGTTGTTGGCTCTGTCTTGTCCCAGGTGGTGCTTTGTGCAGCTCTTGCCATTGGCGTACTGACGCTTTGGCGGCGGAGAAAGCGGAACGCCGCCGTGGAGCCTGCGACGGAGGCGTGGTTTACGGATGATGCGAGAGAGAGAGAGGGAGGGAGCTTTCTGGACCTCACTTCCTGAGTGCCGGTTCGGACTTTGTCTAGGTCCCCCAGTATTGCCCTTTTGCCCTTGTTTTGGGGAGGGTTCCCGTACTAAAGTAGACTACAGAAAAAAAGGGTACCCTTACTCTAACCTCTCTACTGGAGGACCTAGTTGTGCTTCTTGGGGCTGGACCATTCTATTGGCAAATAACCAGTTTGCATTTTTTGGGGGGCCATCCGCTCGGGAAGTGAGGGACTGAGCCACAATCTGTTCTTGAGCAGACTGACAGCTTGATGTGTGGTGAAGCAACAAAGCCGCTTCTTTACGGCATTGCCGCGATCATGGCGACTTGTCCAACAAGACTTCTTGATTTACCAGCGACCCAGTTCTCACAACAACATGGACAGGAACAGCAACCTGTCCCCGTGTCACACCCCTGCATGCAGGGGTCAGGAGTGCTCCAAAAATACATAGCATATTTCGACTTGGGACTGAATACGAAGCAACCATGTTTGGCACTTAAAGGGCCGGGTACTTCGCAAGTGGTCAGGCAGCCTGGTGATAACCCACTCAGGAGACTCATAACTCATAACCATGGCTTTTCTGGGTTATGGCCATGGTTGTTACAACCACTTGCCTGACGTATCGGATCGATCGCCCCATTTGAGCAATGGTGCAATTTGTTGTGACCCCTTTGGCTCGTGGCCTTTTACACATGCCGATTGTTGCGCTCTTCGGGCAGGAGCTGGACACGGATGAGTTCGAGGGCATGAAGGAGCCTTTGGGTCCATCAATTGAGAACCATCATGTGAGCCGCAATCAATACCCGGGTAGATGAAGGTTAGTGAGGGGGGTTCAACCAGAAACGGTTGCAGCTAATTCTTTACGTGGTTCTGGGTAAAACATTTTAATACCAGGCTGATTATGACTCATGTCCCCTTACAGGTTGCGAAATCGGTATCATCTTGTGTGGCAGTGCGAAAGGTCCTTGCATTGAATATTGAAGGGAGCGACATTTTGTCTTGTTTGCCTCCGCATCGCATACTTGGCATTAATCCGGGCTTTGCCAGCATGGTGCTCTCGAGGCTTCAGTCAAACATTCAGACCTTTTCGGCAAGAGCTGGCGCAGTCTCAAAGGTTTCGCACATGTTGATCTGGCGTCCAAATTTGGCACATGGGGTAGTTGCGCACATTATGCACTAACCGGCACGTTCGTGTACCTGAGCCAACGACGGATGCAAGATAGGTACCCAACCCAGGTCAGACAATTCTGGCCACAGCCTTTGTTTGAAGTCTTGGATTTTGGATATGTTGGCATTCTCACTTGCTTGCCTTTCAATCAGGCATCCTTTAGTGTAGTCCGTGCGGAGTCCCCGGATTCAGACTCTTCAAATCGCAACAACACCAACAACGTTCAGGTCGAGGACCAATTTGGGTGTCTTTTTTGGAGGGTATCTTCTTTGGCGGCTTCAAAGGTATATACCATCAGACCTCCACCACCATTTCGGCGCTTTTTTTGGTGTAGCCCTACTTTCAAGCCACCCCCGGGCGTTCGAGTGCGCAAAGCCTTGGCATCTCCGGCGCCTAGGAGATGCAAGACCTGGAGACTTGGACCGGCACCGAGGACCTGGAGGAGCTCTTGGAGGAGTTGTGACGGGAGGGCGGGAGGGCGAAGGGGTTCGCAGAGGTGCGTGTTGCTTGGGTGGGAAACCCCCTTCAGAATTCCATCTCCACCTTCGCAGAGGTGCATTTTGTCAAGGGACGCTAGAACTTTAAGCTTTTGGCCAACTAATGGGTGCTCCGTATTAAGCCACTAAGATTTGTTCACTTTTAGCAGGGGAGCAGAAAGCAACCAAGGATTTGTTTTTCCGCGAGGCCCCAAAGCTTGCTGCTTTGATAGGGGAACGAGAAATGGAAGGACCCCTGGAAAACACTATGTAAACTGGTGGTCCCTGCTTGTTGTTCTGAAGAAGCTCTGGTCTGAAGGAAACAACTGTAAGGACAACGCACATGGGCGTGTCCGCAAATGGGGACTCCCTTGCAGAGTTCGAGAGGCATTAAACTCGCCAATTGGTCTTCTAGCGACAGTGGATTTTTTAACCCATCATCTCATTGCCAGTCCATTGGTCCTTGGCTTCGACCCCAAGTTTCTTGCTAGTGCTCAGTAGGGAAGCCATGGCCATGACCATGCTGAAAGGACCAAGAAAGTGTTTCATGTTTGGTCAAGTTCGAAAGAACAGGGACAGGCTGTAGTGCCCAATACGGTTCAAGTCAAAAGCATGAACATCATATAGTCCAAGAACTGTGTTGAATCTTGGCCAATGCCAATGTGAGCAACGGGCAGTATCACCAGGCGATCAGTCATTCATGGCTGTTGACCATTTGATCCTTTGGGCTATGAGATGAGGATCGCATCCGACTGGCAGCACAGAGTCATGTGCAGTCATTTCTGAACTGTGCTTGGAACATGTTCTCATGGGATGAGAAGGTTGTTGCAGACTTGGAAGTGTAACGTCTTCCCAGCAACATGTTTGGGTATGCGTTATGACAAGTACCAGCACAACAGTTAGAGCCATATTCGCTCTACTCTCCTTCTGGTACTTGTCATGAGTCGAATTTGGGGGACCCCAATCCTTGGAACACAAAGCTCACAAGCGTGCCGTCGCAAAAAGCGGCAACTCACACGCACACAGAAAAACACACAAACACACGAAAACACAAACACCCAAACACATATCAAACAAACAGAAAGCACAAGCACACGAAACAACACCAACACACGAAGGTAGAAGCACAGACAAACACGCACACAATTCCACACACAAACACAAACACTAACACAAGCAAACAAACGTAGAAGCACACAAGCACGCACACAAATGCACACAAACACAAACAACGAACAACACACACACACACAAACACGCGAACGCACAAGCACACAGCACAAGCAAAGAAGACACACACACACACACCCTCACAGAAAAACAGGAACGCACAAGCGCACAAACACACAAGCACACAAACACACAAGCACAAACATACAAGCACACACACAAACAAACACACACACACAAACACAAAAACACAAACACACAAATACAGAAGCGCACAAATACGCAGACAAATACACAGTCACAAACACAAACTCACGAACGCAGAAGCACACAAACACGCACACAAGTACACGCACCCACCCACACACACCCACCCACCCACCCACCCACCCACCCACCCACCCACCCACCCACCCACCCACCCACCCACCCACCCACCCACCCACCCACCCACCCACCCACCCACCCACCCACCCACCCACCCACCCACCCACCCACCCACCCACCCACCCACCCACCCACCCACCCACCCACCCACCCACCCACCCACCCACCCACCCACCCACCCACCCACCCACCCACCCACCCACCCACCCACCCACCCACCCACCCACCCACCCACCCACCCACCCACCCACCCACCCACCACACACACACGAACGCACAAGCACATGAACGCACAAGCTCACAAGCTCACAAGCACGCACACAAACACAAACACACACACACACACATCAACACAAGCACACACACACAACCCCACAAACAAACCAAAGCCACAAACACACACACGCAACCCCACAAACAAACCAAAAACACAAACACACACACACACACAGGCACACTGCTCATCGCCACGCGTGAGGACTTGAAGGCAGTACACCATTTTACCCGACCGGAGGCCAAGGAGGAGGACGCTAGCCAGCGAATAGACACATGGCTGTGGTTGTCAAAACCAATGGGATCCCATTTTGCTTGGTAGGTGCACCACCCATGTTACTTGGTGGCTCCCAGCCATGCCCTTAGCCTTTTAGCCTTTTGGTGTTTAGTGGTAGTTTCCATTTCACCCACTAAAAGCTAAACTTTAGCGGGGGATCTGAGGGCAGCCCAGGTTAGAACCTATTTTAGTGGTTGGATTGGTTGATGTTCTTTGGGGGTACGATTTGGATTTGAAAAGCCCATGGCCACATGAGCATCCGTGGCCATGTTAAGTAACCAGGCAGGAACCAGCAGGGATCTGGGATCATGTTTCTTGCACAATCGGTGCCACGAGCCTGTCGCACAGAGATCACTGGTTTCCGGATCCATGGTTTTCGAGCAACATAGAATCGACCAGCACAAACTCTCGATGCCAGCCTTAAACGACACCGCATCTATCCAAGCCAATTCATAAATGCAGCTGCTCAGATGGAGACTTTCTCTTGCAGCTGGATTCTTGCCCCAGCTTGAGTATTATTTCCCATTTTCTGTGTAGAAAAAAAGCATCAACGCAGCACAAGTCTTGAAAAGCAGAGAGCCGACTCAAAACATGTAACAATTAGTACGTGTAAAGTTATTTCAGATTGTTGCCAGGCATCGAGCGTCTCAAATGAAACAATTGTTGCTGCAAAAACTGAGAGAAGCACTGGTCAATCTTGGTTGTGCGCCGGCAGGAGATTCAAGTTGTCACGTACCAGCCACCCTTAGATGACAGCTACTACGTGACTCGGCTGCATCCGTACAAAAGACGCAGGGTTTGGTTGTGTGCAAGCCGTTGAGCGAGGAAGAAGGTTCATGAGCACTTATTTTTTCTATGTTTCTAGACCTCGCATACATGGGTGTCAGCAGAAAAAGCAAAAACAAATGGCACTGGGTTTCCTTAGATCTGTCAAATGGCCATGGTTCAAAACCAATGGGGTACCATTTTGGGGGTTTTCGGTGCACCACCCATTTTGGAACCTATGTTAGTGGGGATTGGGATGTTCACTGGGGGGCGGGGTTTTGACCCACAGCCAAATGTCTTTTGGCAGCAATCCGAAGCTTAGGCCACTGTTGCGCCGCCCCTTTCGGCTGAGAGCAGCACGGTACTGGAGCCGGACATGAGTGTGGTGCACCAGGCGAGTGCGGGTGTGGGTCATAATTAATCCAGGGGACCGCAGGTTTTAGTCCATGTTTTCCGTTTCCCAGGATTCATTTTGGGGTTGCCCTATATTTTTCACCCACAGCCACATGTATTCCGCTGAAGATAGCCTTCGAACATTTGGAAGTCCCTCACCTTCCGATCGGAAATCGTCCATTTGAGGGTGGGCGCCCAGCAAACCAGAAGTGATGGTAAAGGGGCCATTCATGCTAGGTGTGGCTCAAAATTAGCCAGGAGGGGCAAACCGCAGGTTTTGGTCCATGTTTCCACTTACCAGGGTTCCATTTTGGTACCGGTTTTCTGAGCCACAGCCAATGTGGGAAACTCGCTGGACTCCAGACATGCTGATGCCTCGGATGGTTTCGTGTGGGCGATGCCAGAAATTCGTTGTGCTGATTTCTGCGAGAGGCCAGACCCCAGAGCGCGAAGGTGGTTTTGAGCGAGGGCCTCAGATGTTCACTCGCGGCAAGCAGTTCAATGCAAGATGGAGTTATTCAGTTGATGTATGGACTCACTAAGATGGTTGCGACATCCCTTTCGCACCACCAAACAGAAACCCCAGTTTTCTGAGGATTCCCTTATAATTTGCAGCCAACAATGGTTTCCACCATGGTTTCAGAGTGGTACAGGATTTCGTCCATCCCCGGACTCGCCGTGGGTGAATTCTTCCGTCAGAATGTCTTGGCGCCTCTGGTCAGCCAAGGCGAGGTGGTGCCGCCGGAGGCGGGAGCGGAAGCTTTGATCCGGGGAGTAGTTTTTCAGCGCTCAAAGGGAACCGCGGTCCTTTTTCATGCTGTTGATTGTGCCAGTGTGGAAGATGTTATGTCGCAAGCTAGCCAAGTTCATGTTGAGTCTTTCAAGCATTTTTGTCAGCGGATGGTTTTAGCACCTTTGGGCAAACAGGTCTGTAAACTTGTACTGAGAAGCAACTTGACAGGACCATGCTCCAGACATGGTCATGATGTGCCCCTCAGGTGATCGAGTACTATGCCTTTCCTCCACCCTGGACGGCTGAAGAGCTTGCATGCCCTCCTTCTAGCCTCTTGACGAAACAACCGCTGGTGCCAAGTTGAAACTGGCAAAGCAAAGCAGGTTTGGGCAGCGTGTGTACTCGAAACCGTTCATCCAGGTTTTAAGTATAGGATGGGGCCTGTATCACGGGGAGTGTTGCGGGTGCTTGCCCATGGAAGTTCAGCAACTGTCTTCACACACACATAAAAGCGCAGTGTGGCGAAGCGTCGGATGATTTTTCCTGGAATGCAGCACTTGCGGTCAGATTCTGTCTGCATGCCCAGAGCTCTTTCTGGCTGTGTCTTGTCTTGGCAAACTCCATGGTGGGTGTGGGTTCCCCGGAAACCAACCCCAAAAAGGTGCCCTCCTGTCCACTAACATGGAACCCCATAGAGTCCCTTTAGAAGGATTATAGTCTAAGCCTTGCCTGTAGCAGACTCTTTACCACTAATTTTCCTCAAATGTACCCCCCCAATTGTTTGGTAATTTACCCCAAACGTTGTGGGTAATTCCCCCCCAGTTATCCTGGCTCAAAATACTGGCCCACGACACTCATGCTGCCCAACTTTCCGGGAGATCAAGTCAAGTTGACGTTCCACTCAACCCCCAAGAAGTGGAGCTCAGCTTTTGCAGGTCGTTGGGTTTCCACTGAGCCCCCAGAAAGTTTGAAAGCAAACATGTTGCAGGGGGGGCGTTGCTGCCACCTGCCGAACCCGCAAGACCGACACTTCCGTTCCCCGAAACTCGGTGAAAGCACCGCGCGAGGTCCGCCCGCACTGCTCGAGCAGCTGAAAGCGCCCTTCGGAGAAGTTGGAGCGGCTGGCAGGTGGCAGTTCGGTCCCCGCGGTTCCAGGCTTCACTGGCTGAAGTACACCGCCTTTTTTTTGTTCAAGCAACTTGAGCTGCTGAAGTAAACAGTCGTTGCTTTTTTTTCTCAAGCAACTGAAGCAGAAACTTAGGCGCTTCGGGTCATCTTTTTGGGGGTGAACTCAACTGGGTTCCAAGGCGTCTACCTTGCTTGGGGTCAACAAAAGGAACCCAGCTGCGTGGATGCTCGTTAGTAAGTGGAAAAGGCCACCTGGATAGCCCACTAACATGGTCAACTCCACTTAGCGGGGGGCCTTCTAAGCGGGTGTCAACTGAACGGTGACCCTTCTATCTTGGCGAGTCGAACACCCACGGCCACTTTCTCAGGTGCTGCACGCTGCAAGGAAGCTTGCTCATGGGGTTTGAGACTGGAGTTTCCGGATTGCTGCGATTTGCGGCCTTTCAATTGGATTGCTTCTTTTGGTCAGTCTTTGCCACCGGCAAGACATCAACACACGCAAGCCACTCGCAACTCCCTGTTTGCTCTGTGTGAGATGACACGACTTGTGTGGTGCTTTGGGCCAGAGGCTAAAGGTGCCACGTCGACGTGTTCGCTGAGGCCTGTCAATCCTCCTCAGGACGGAGCCGTTCATGCGAATGAAGTCTGGATGCAGTATTGGGTCTTCAGCTCTATCATTTGTATTTCGCTCTTGAAGGTAGGCTTTGCCAAACGCCCAGCGTGGTATGCACGCTCAAATTCAAGTTGCCGTTGCGGAAAGGTTTGCCGACTCAGATTGACTGCATAGTTCCCTTGACTCGCAGCGTCAACTTCTGTTTTTTTTTTTTTTTTTCTAGAAGCCCGCCTGGGATACCATCTGAGACATATTGAGTGTAATATATCTTGTTTATAGCCGTAGACCCCAGGCATCCTGGTGAGTGACTCAGATTCGGCACCCGAATAAAGCAAATCTTTGTCAGCTGAGCACAGGAGCTTGTGCCGATCTTGGAGTCTGACGTGGGCAATGCGAGCCCTCCGCGGTCCAGACCGGTGGCCAGTCAAAAGGTCAGATCCAGCGAGGGTGTTTCATGGGCATTCTTCTCAGCGCCCGTAATTGTGGCTCAAAGTGTTGTGTCTCAAAATGGCTGCACCCCACCTCCGGAGCAAAAATGAAAATAAAAAACCTCTGGCACAACGGTGTTCCTTTGCTTTCCCTTCAAAACCCATCAAAAAAGGCGGTTCCCCAAAAAAGAGCGAGAAAGGCGCCACCCACGCGCGTCTTTCATGGGCCACGACTTGCCTGGATCGATCTCTGAGGTCTCCGCGCACGAAGGGGGCAGGCTGCTGATCCGCAGCCTCTACGAGAGCTCCCGGCCGACCTCCGCGCCGAAGGCCCGGAGGCCGCAGAGCGCGCCCTCGCTGCGGGTCCAGGCGCCGTGATGTGTGACACGTCGGCCCCAGGGTTAGGGAGCCAGGCTCACCCAGCGACTCCTAGTAACCTGTATCGCTAGAGTAACTGGCCGTTGGCGACGGTTTTTTGGGGAAGGCTTGGTTCCCAAAAAAGTGGGAACCAGATTCCTGTCCAACGGTTTTAACGGTTCCGGGCCTCTTTTTCACGTTTCCGGGCCTCTTTTTCACGATTCCGGGCCTTTTTTTCATGGTTCCGGGCCCCAATTTCACGGTTCCGAGTTCCGGGCCCTTTTTTTGTGGTTCCTGGAACCAGCGGTCAGTTACCAATATGGCAGGTAACCAAGCTGGTTCCGCACATGGAGGTAGCTGGAAGCACTGGAAGTTGTTCATTTTTTCTCCATGGGGCCTAAGCAGATGGAGGCTAGAGGCCCACGGAATTGCATGAAGCAACCACTTGTTCGGAGGGATTTGCGCTTTCGGAAGCCAGGAGAAGCTTCTGCAGAGCCATGGCGCCGTGGTTTTTCGGGAGTGCGACTCCAAGCTGCAGTCTCATGACGCTCACTTAGATCCACGCAGCCGGCCGCAGAGCGCGTCGCGGCTCAGATCGCCGAGCGCTGCGCAGCTGAGACCCGGAAGCGCCTCGCGGCCGCAGAGCGCAGTGCGCCCAAGCCGACCGCAATCGGGACTTCGAGCGAAGACTGGCAGACCTCAGAGCGCTTCCAGGATGGACAGCCACGCCGCTTGACTAAGTCTTGGGGCGCTTCGAGATTTTCTGAAGGTTGACCAGTATGTCACGCCTCATTCTCAAAGGACGCAGCCCGGTAAAACGCCAGATTTGAAGATCTGTCCGACCCTTCTTTCTTTGTTCCTTCCCTTGCTTGCCTTATGTCAGACAATCTTTCTGAGCACTGGCTGAAACCGTACCTGGGATGTCTCGAATAAAACACTGCAGCCGAAAGAGCAGTCCATTGTATGATGATGGTGAAATGCGTTTTGATCAGGTACGACTGGGCAGGAGTTCTTGCTTGCCCATCCACACCCAAAAAACAGCAAGTCCATTTTGGTTTTGATGATTCCGCTGCATTTATGATGTCGTACGTTTCCGTCTACTTGGCCTTCCAAAGGTCAATTTGCCGGTACATTCCCACTGCCTGACTGCCGGCAGAATGAGGAGTTAGTGAATGTTCTACGGCCAAGTTGCTTGCTGTATTCTTTGAGATCCATGTATTTCAAGCTGTCACGTCTTGGTTGTTGCTGGAGGCAGGGTTCCACTTTTGGACTACCCCAGGCTAGACTGAAACCCGCTGGTTCATTCTCCTAAAAAGGAGAACCCCTGAGTTTACCTCCATCTTGTAGTCAAAGTGGAACCCTGGCTGGAGGGGTTTTATATGTTTGAGGCTTCAACTTGCCTGCAACCCCTCAGAGGTCCCTACATTTCCCGTTTTTGGTGGTTTTAGCCACATCATCTTTTCGACCCAAAGGTGAGTGTCCCTTTGGTTTGGTGGTGATGTTTCAAGGGGAAACATGGGGAGCCCCGCCCCCTTCAAGGCCCGCAGAAGAGCTGCGCGGGCAAAGACCGCGCAACTCGGACAGCAAGTCGATCTGAGTAGGTTGAGTTCGTCCAACTATCATATAGCTTCATTGTTGGCGGAGTTGTCGTCTGCTCTCATTTGTTTGTTTGCTTCAATGACTTGTGGAACCACCAGCCATCCGGATCCTTAGTTTTATTTTTTTATTTATTTGTTTCATTATTTTTCTTTAGGTTTGAGTGGGTTTAGTGGTTGGGTTTCCATTTAAACCACGAGGTATAACGTTTAGCAGGGGATCCAGCCCAGTTAGTTCATCTATGAAGATAGTTTCTTGTCGACTGATGTTTCGCTTGATTCAAGATGCCCCAGTCCGGGTCATGTTGCTGTTATCTTGCTGTGCACGTTTTTGTCGACATGCTGAAGGTGGGTTGCGGTGCATGGCCATTTATCGCAGGTCGGTTTGCGCAGGAACCATTTTCGCTGGCAAGTGCTCGCCTCTCGCCAAGTCGCCAAGGCCCCTTGCTGCAGTGGAGGAGCCGATGGCGCTTGAGAGGAGCGAGCAGATGGAGACGTCGACTCCCAATGCTGACAGCCGCAACGACTCCCAAACCAACCAGGAGAGCAGCGTAGCGCAGGCCCAGGGCATCAGCGAGAGCCCAAAGGAGAACGGCATCAACTTAGAGGAATTGCTCCTTTGATGTGAGCAATATGTGCTTGTGCCAGATGTCGAGTTTCTACTTGGCCGAAAGCAGCAAGGAGAGCACATTGTTGAACAAGAGCTGTTTCCGTGGAGAAGCATGGGTGTTGCACATACAAGTTCCAAACAATCCAATATTATTATGTATCGAATTCGCCGTTTTGAGGCGACAGCTTGGCCTGGTGAGAGAGATGCCAGCTGCGATCACGCGCGCCTTGTCCGCATCTGTTCATGGCACGGAACAATTTATCAACGTAGGGCCGCCCTTTGTTCTGAATGTGTTATTGCTCAGTGGGACAAGCGCAAACTCAAGTTATGAGTTGCTTCTGTTTGCTCAGAAAATATTCAGAGGAGGTTGAGGCCTGCAGATAGTTGCAGAAACCAGGGGCTTCCTGATCTGTTATGCCCAGCAAGAGCATTTCTCTCTGGGGTGTTTGACTCAAAATCCAGCAAGCAGCCTGCCGCGCAGCCATTTGGGTGTGGTTCAAAATTGAAGAGATTGGGTTACGCAGGTTTTAGTCGTTGGTTCCATTTACCAAGGTGGCATGTTGGTACGTTTGTGTTGAGCCACAGCCGTTTGTTGTAGTTTTCTGAAGCCTTTGCCGCTCAGTAGTGATCATGCATCAGGACAGCATCCCTGGAGAGAGACAAGTGCCAGGAGTGAGTAAGTTAGTACTCGTAAAAGTGCAGCAGACGGAGGGTTGGATTGCATTGATCCAGCACACCATCGTGTTTGTTGCAACTGAGGCGACCACCGACCAAGACTGTCGCCAAATCCCAGGCTGGGAATCGAGTCTGGTGATCAATTCATTGATAGAGTCTAGGTCCTCCAGTAGTGCCCTCTTGCCCTTTTTTGGGGGAGGGCTCCCCTACTAAAATAGACTGCAACAAAAAGGGTGCCCTTATCCTAACCTCTCTACTGGAAGACCTAGGTATTTTTGGTTCTCAGCGATCAGTCTCCGACAGTACTACTTGAATTGCAGTCTACTTCCAGTTCGCGGAGGACAGGGGGACCTACCCGCAAAACGCGTCACAGTCCATCGTGGTGAGCATCTCGCGCAAAAAAAAAGGAGCAACACACACACACACACAATTTTAGCAGAATTCTCGATCTGGGTATTGAAACGGGTCACACCAGCAATCTCGCTGCGTCGCTTAGTGACTCGATGCTCGAAACAAGGAAACAAGTAGGGCCAGGAATCCGCCGCGAGATTCGGGGCCCGGGAAAATCCGTTGCCCACGTCCCCTCAGCGAGTTTCGGCCTGCCACGTTTCGTCTCGGACGCGTTTGGGCGCAGGCCGCAGGAGGAGAGCCTTGCGCAGGACCAAAGTAGGGGTGGGAATCGGGAAGGTTTCCTTTGGGCGCCCTGAGGCGTGTAGTTTCCTGCGCAGCAAGCTAGCTAGCTAGCAAGCAAGCAGTCCATGTTCAGGCAGAGCTTGAGGAAAGAACAACAAGGTCAATATATGGGTATGGGTCAAGACATACATCACCCGGGTACCGCAGGTTTTAGTCGTTGCATGGTTCCATTACCAGGGTTTCATTTTGGGCACCTTTTTTTTGACCCACACCCATATCAGTCGAAGGAAGAATTGCAATGGCATGAGGCAGTGGTCTCAGTGGAGTAGTTTCATCTCTACTCTTGGTATGGTAGCAAGAAACTTTGTTTTTTGCAGACCCCCAGTAAAAATGAACAGAACCAAAAAACTAAAAAACCAAAAAACATGCCAAGAACAGTGAAGGTTTGCTGAGATGCGCAAGCCCCGCAGGAGTCCGATTTGCACTCATGGGAGACCACCTTGAAGCGGAAGGCCGGACCGGCGCAACGCTTTGCCACAGCTCATTTTGCAGCATATGAAGAGGTTTCAAGGAACCCAGCGATTCATGGCATTCAGGACAGTTGCATTTTCTAAACTCGCAAGCTTAGGGCAAGAAACAAGGCAGATACAGTACAGATGGGTGTTTTTTTTTTTCAGGGGTAGTATGACTTACCAAAGTTGAAACGCGCAGAGTGCTCAGTTTGTTCATGCTGGCACCTGCCATTCTCTAGAAGTTTCGAGCTGATCAGGTTGCTGTGCTGCAGCCTGAAATCGCAATTGATGGCGACAACGAGGAGAGCGCTTCGCTGGGGTCTGAGTTCTTTTTTTGTGCTCGAGCTTTGAGAGGAACACAGCACCAACAATGTTTTGCCAATTTGCAGATTTGAGTGCGTACCCCTGTGGATCCATTTATTTGTGTAATGGGTACCCAAAGGAACCACCCTTCAAAGACAGAAAGGACCATGGCTGGATATCCACTACTCTACAGTAGGTCTACGCATTCTTTGTGAGTTACGTTCTCAATGCGATGATCGTTCTCTTGGATGAATTCTGAAGCACTTTCTGTGAAAGGGCTTCATCTGCACACGGCAGCGATATTTGAGATTCTTTTCGGGGGCTGTTCGGTTGTTGCAGAAGGCTGCTCTGCACTCGCGATGCTGGCTTGCGTGGTGCGGCCCCCGTGTGTGGATGTCGAAGACGTCAAGGCGAAGCTGATGCCGCGCTACCTGGTGTTGGACCACGCGGAGCTGAGGTGCTTCGACGGGACCGCTCTTTTCTGTGCCTCGAGCGCCCTCAAAAGAGGGTTCGTGTGCAGCGACCGCGTCGTGTTGGTGACGCAGACCACAGAAGTGGTTACTGCAAGGCTGTGTTTAAACATGGCTTCACCAGGAACCCAACATTCTAGCCTATTGAAGTTTTGCTCAAGTGAGCAAAGACTGAATGAGCGCTCTGGGAAACAGGGTCCCGTTCTGCAGTTGCCCCGGAAGCGAAGTAAAACACCTTAACGCCTTTTCGTTATGTTTTGCGGGCGCGTACACAGATGAGGAACAACAAGGATACCCGGAGAAGCCATGAAAAACAATTGGTTGGAATAGCCGTTTTTGTTTTTTTTTTGTGAAAACCCTGTGTTGTTGAGAAGCTATAAGAGGCATGGACAACGCCCGCAACTGTTGCTAAGCCGAGGTTCTGAAGCGGGAAATTTGCAGGCTAGACCGCGCTCAGTCGATACCTAACCGATATTCATGCCTAACCAACTGCCGGTAGCGCTGTGTCTTTGGTATGCCATCGTCACACCAACTGCTCGCGTTCCTCTTCCTGATGACCGAACTGCTTTTGAGGCACACGAAACCTGTCCGCGCGCCGCTGTCTGCCGCCTGCTTCCTGTGCACTTAGCTACTCGTAGCCCCAAACCATTGTAAACCGAAGCTGGGAAAATGAAAACGATACTAACCGATGCTGGTGTTTATTTGAGTACGGGGCTTTCCTTGGGGTGTGGCTCAAAATGAAGGGCCTAGGGCAAAGAGCCAGGTTTTAGTCTTTGTTTCCAGTTCCCTTTTGGTGCCATTTGGGTATTGCCAGTTTTTCACCCAGCTGGACTCTCGTTTCCATGGGCTGACCTGAAGAGGTACTTGGGGCATTGTAGTGGTTCGCAAGCCTGGTTATAACCCAAAAAACCACAGAAAAAAGTCCCCCAAGTGGGTGATTGCGCCAGTCTTGCGAACCACTTAGTAACAACAATGCCCCAAGAAGCCTCACACCCATCCTTGTCCTCCCCTGGGGTAGACTTAGGATACATTTTACATTTCACCCGTGACTCAAAGTGAAACAAGCCATGAAATCTACATCCTATAACTGGTTGCCTAGCTCCAGTGAGGTCACCTGGGGGCATCGGGATACCATGGACCTGGCAGGCTGGGACCCTGAGAGTTGGATCGGGTTGCAAAATCGAGTTAGAGTTCGCACCACGAAATGAAACCATGGGTGAACCCGCGGTTGAAACCACAACGTCGGTTGGTCGTCTACGTCAAATATCGTCAAATACACTTTGAAATGGTTAGCGTTGCTTGGTAATTTAGGTTGGTTGGAATCGAATCAGAAACCAGGGCTTCTCGCGTCCACAGTATCTAGCTGGACTCGGACTCTCCACATTTGCCTTTAAAGAGGGAGCCTTTCGGAGCCGATCGGAGTGGTTATAGGACATGGTAGCTACATCTATTGGTGGCCTTTGGGGACATGTGTCCCACGGATCGATCCTTTGCAATTGATATCCTCGTCTTCAAAGCCAGGTGGCCGTCCCCATCCTGGGTGATGCAAGACGTTTTTGGTGTTGCTACTCATGGATGGATAACTGCTACCCATGGATAACCCCCAGCGTAGGCTCTTGGTTGGTCGTGTTACGTTGCTTTCCTGGTCTTGTGTTTGTTTGCCACCCAGTAAAAACAGCGATTTTGTTCCGAAGCCATTCGAACCTTTGCTGTCACCCCGTTATATTACCCTGTGGATCTACGTGCCTGTACAGTGGGCAACCAAAGGAATCACCCTTTAAATACCATAAGGACAATGGCTGATTACCCAATATAGATAACTGGGATCCACTGGGTTATACCACCACAGGAAAACTTGCTGGAGAAGCGTGGCTCAGATGTCCAAGCCATGAGCCACTCGTTCTGCAGTTCGACCATGCGGACCATGCGGATTGAGCTTCAAGCGTGTCTTGTGGGTGTGTCTTAAAATAGGGGAACCACCAAAAAGGTTGGTTTCCTACTGGTTTCCACTTAAAACCATCCAAAAAGGGTACCATCAAAGAAAGACAGACGCTTGTGTGCCTGAGAGCCTGGCTGCGTTGAATCCCCTGCCGAAAACAAGCACACTTCCAAAGCTGGTAGCATCCTTTCGTTGTTCAGAGGGATCAACTTGCCCCACGGAAAATTGGGATGTTTCTTTCTAAGGCAGAGGTGAGAATCAGCATGGAGCATGCGGCAAAGTTGTTGTGTCAGGACACAATCAGGGCAAAGAGTGGATTGCTGTTTTTTTTTGCTTTGGAACATTTGCTGACGCATTGTCGGTTGGAATGATCATTGGAGAGGCGGATGTGAGGTTTGGCATCCTTCTAATTCCGCGTTGCACACTTGTTCTCAGCTACTGCCTGCGGATCATCCCAGATGATCCAAGCAGAGACCGGTGCTTCGTACCGAGGCAACTTGTCTCCAAGCCATCAGTCTTACCTCTGCAACTTGGCCAGTACCAGACTGATGCAGCCGCGAGCCGGCGCTTTCTATTGAAGTAGTGCAATTGTGCTGCTTATACATTCACATGATTGTTTTGCGGTGACCACTCGTGCCACTCATGCTTGCCAACAACTCGTGGTCGCCAAAAAACAACATTGGCCCACGCCGTGTGTATGATGTACCTTGTTTGCTCTACGTTTGGTTAAGGACGCGCGGGTGTTTCTCAAAGTTGGGCACTCCTGCAGGCAGTTGGTGTCCTTTTTGGTTTCCTTTTGAAGCCATCCAAAAAGGAGTCCGATTCCTAATTTGAGACACAAGTTTGGGACCCTTTTAATTGCGCCCTTTTGGTTTCCCTTTCAAAACCACCCGAGTTTTCCAACTCCAAGAAGACAAACCCTCGTCGACACACGTGGCGCCTGGCGCTTTTTGGCTTGCCGAGGGGAGTTCCAGGCGCCAGAGGTCCCCAGGCGCAAGGCGCGGAAGGGAGATCCGCTTTTGACATGTTGGGAGGTGCGCCTCAAGCTGAAAGGACTATACCCTGCGGTTTCCCCAGCTGTTTAAATTCCTTGGTTCCTTGGTTGTTTGGAGGCGCGGTTTCATGTCCAACCACTTGTGAGGTGGCTCCCTCTTGATGTTCATATGGGGTATGGGTCAAAATTAAACCAGGAATTGGACCGCAGGTTTTGGTCCATGTTTCCACAGGGCAAGCCATTTTGGGGTTACCCTATTTTTGACCCACAGCCAAAGGACTCTGACCTGCGCAACCGCTGTTTATTTTTTTGAGCCACAGATATGGGTGGCTCGTCTTTGGAGTTGGTTCCAAGAATGGTTTTGTCTTGTTTTTAAAGGAGCAACCCAAAAGAGGCCCAAGCCTGTTTTTAGGTTGGGGGGTGGGGTGAGGTGGCCTTGAGCTCCGTGAGAGCGAAGAAAGCTGGGTCAGTGGTAGTGTCGGCGGTGAAGTCTGTGACGCATTTGGGTGTATCTGTTTTTTGGGAGTGGTTCCCGTTTTGTTGTGTATCTGTGTTTTTGAGTGTATCTGTTTTTTTTTGGAAGTGGTTTCTTTAAGGGAAACCATGAGGAGAACCGGTGCGTCATTTTGGGGGGGTTCCCCCAAAAGGAAGGACAGACCCGTCTCCATGGTGTTTCCACTCAGGGTGTCCGAGCCAGTTCCCTGAAGGAACCTCCGAAAAGTGCATGGATCGTTTCAATGGAAGCCACCAAGAAAGTGATCAATTTTTGAAGGAGAAATCCAGCGACTTTTTGAGGTTTCATGAGTCACAAATTTCTGAAGCGCCAGCTTGAGCATGAGTTCCTTCGTCCTCGAGGAAGAGGACAGTTTTACGGATGGCTGGGTATCTGTTGAAGCCCGTTGTTTTAAGTAAAGCGCTGGGGTTGGGTCTGAGACACTCTGACACCGCACGCTGCCGGAATGGTGGGGGGATGTGTTTGGGTTGATCAATATTCCGTTCGTCCCAGGCCATGACCATGGGTAACTTTTGTTCATGTGGCCGTTTAGTGGTGTTCCAGCCAATGGTCATCCCATGTTTTACAGACCTTTTGATCAAGACATGCTGCCACGTCACGTCACCTTGTCGAACTTCACCCCAGCTGCCAGAGCTCTGCAAGCGGACATCACCCATCTTGCTGATGCCGAGCCTTGCAACATCAGAGCCTGTAACCATGCCGGCTGGGCAACACGCTTGGTGTCCTTCTTGTTTGCTTTGTCTCACAAAGACAGCAACTGTTTCTTGCAGGGCTCATTTTTTGGGGGGGAAGCCGCAAACCGGTTTCTCGCAACATGGCTGCTACCGCGGGTCACGAGTTCGCTTGCCGAATCATTGGCACAGGCTGCAGATCGGCAACAGGGCAGCCCGTTGGCGCGGCGGCACATGGCGCTGGGCATCAGAAGCCGTTCAAGCATGCAAAGGCTAGGAGACAACAGTCGGTCAGGGCACGGGGCAAGGGGAAGGGAAGGTGAATACTTGGTTGTTCGGAGAGCTCAGTAGGTTGGTAGTTGGTAGTAACCGAAGTTAAGGCTGCTTATAAGTCTCACTAAGTGGAGCTAGTCTTGTTATTAGTAGGTTATACCCCAGGCGGCTAACCACATTCTTTCTTGACCGAACATCCAAGTACACTGCACATCGGGAACCTTTTCCACGTGCCAGGAGCACTTCCATACCAAGCCTACCAAGCCGATTGGATTTGGACGATGATGATGATGAGGAGGTTGAGTACATCGCCGAGATTGTAGACTAGTATTTGGCATCGCCTGAACCACTTCAACACCTGGAATTCAGGTGAATTGATGCGATGGCATCTTGAAGCCAGGGGCTATTTGCATTTAGACCCTAGAACTTGAAACCAGGAACTTCTTGGCGACCGTATTCAACACGAACTCGAGCCAACCCAGATTCGTGTAGCATCTTGCCGGGTTAGTCGTTTTGAAAGATTGTAGTTGTTGGGCTCGTTCCTGGGCTTTGGGGGGTTGGTTATATTTTGATGCGTTGAGGGGTCCGGAGATCCTGTAGCAGCAAACCACAAAGCATTCACAATGGATATTCGATGTGTTGTGAGGGAAACAGCCTTGCATACAGCCGTAGCTTGCCGCCGGCAAAAAATCCCACAAGTTCACCGCAATTCCAACTGTAGTTTGGTTGCAGAGAGCCACAAATCGGCTACAACCAGCTGCCAAAAGCGACGATATCCACGATTCCCCGAACAGAACTATCAATATCTTTCAGAAAGGGTCCGTTGGCTCCTTCCCCGCTGGGTATTAGGGTCGGACCAGTAAAGAGCAACCGGCTGAGAGGAGAAACAATGCTATCCAGCCAGAAAGCAACCAGAATTCCTCAAAATTATGGCGTTTGTATAGACACCCGCTGTTTCATACGGCAAGATTTGACAAGCGTCGCAGCAAACAAAACCCGTTTACCCAAAGGCTATGAATCTTCAGTTCTTGAAGCGGTGCAGGCTTGCTGTGTTTGACGAGGGCTTAAAGCCGCTCGTATCATATCTTCACTTGAGCTCTTGGACTCCTTGACTGAACTGCAATCTATTTCTTTTGTGTTTGATTGTAGTTTCTCTCTCTTGTTTTTGTGTGTCGTAGTTGTAGTTTTGCGTGTTGTAGTTTCTCTTGTTTTTGAGAGTTTGCTTTGAGCGCGGCTCGGTTTATCCGCCAAAGGCGGATCTGGCACGGGAGGCCGAGTTACTTGGCAAAGCCAGGTTGAAAAGTGCCAAGCCAAACAGATGCGAGTGATGGCGTTGATGAGGTGACCCTGGTCCTTGTAGAGGGCAGATGGGAAACCCCTCCGGAAGACCGCCAAACCACCAATCCAACTAAGTGGGAGCTGATTTGCTGAGGCATTTTTGCGATGCGGTCGAAAGGCTCTGCACATCGCACCATTGAAGTGTGGCGCAGCGAATTGTTTGCAGCCTGCTCGCGCAGCTACGGGCTTAACTTGAGCGAATTCTACTGATAGATCTTGAAAGATTCTTTGTACCTTCCACTCCAGATCTTGTGTCGATTCTCTTTTGTACCTTTAGCAATGCCATGGGATCCGGATTTAGTGCCACGCGGTTGCACACTGGAGCATCCATGGTTTGGAAACGTGAAGGGGCCACACCCCAGTAGAGCCGCCGTGAGCCAGTGCAATTCACTCCCAGGCCTGATGGGGTCAATGTTGGCGGCTGGTTCTGCTTGGAGGACTGGTTCTACTCCCAGTCCAGTGGCAGCAAGGCAGGACACCGCATCAGGTTTATCCTCCAGTGGAGGGTGCAGGTTTTAGTGGCTCTTGTACGGTATCTGCACGCACATGGAATTCCAACGGCCGCTATGCTCAGCTTCAGTTCGCACGTGTCCATCGCAAGCTGAGTTGAGTTGAGTCCCAGGTGGGGCACTTTGTGGCTACACCCAACCCAGCTGCTTTTCGGAATAGATCGCAGAAGATTGGCCAGTTCTGCTGCCCCAAGTTCGTTTCGCCCCCAAAGGATGGTGCATGAGGTTTATTGCAGATCAAAGGTTTCGCGTATTTTTTAGCAGTCTGCTTTGGACAGCTTGAGGTTGTGGCATGTCACCCTTCCAGCGCTTCTGTGTGTGTGTGTGTGGTTGTGTGTTTGTGATTGAGTGTGAAAGTGACAAGTGCATGGGGATGTTGGCCCATGTTCGCCGGGACCCAGCAACGCCAAGGACTACAACAAGGATACCTTTCAGCTGGATGAGAAGTGCTTTGTGGGCCATGTACGGACCATTTTCCCACAGCTCACCCACGAGGATCCGGCAGCTACCTTGACGTCTCTCAAGATGACAGCTGTTTGACAGTCAACTGTTGACTGGAAAAGGGAGCACGTCGGAATTGAAAGATCCTTGTGAGAAGTTGGGATCGCAAAGTAAGCGATGTCCTTGTTTGCGAAAAGAGAGACCGCTCACGACTGGTATCTTCCTACTGACAAGTGGAAGTGCACTTTCCGCTGAACAGTTGTGACTTTCGAGCCGGAACTGCAAAAGCGCACTTTGCACACTATGGACATTTCGAGTCGAGCCGCGGAAGCGCACGAGTAGCATGCAATTTGCTACTGAAAAGTGGGGGCCTTCTAGCCAGCGCGGCAGAAGCGCTTTGCGTTCAGACTGACAAGTTGAGACGTTGCAGCCGGAGTTGCGGAAGTTGCGGCGGAGCCGCGAAAGCGCCACTTTGCCCGTAGTTTCTGCCTTGGTACGGCAACGTTGCGACTTTTGAGCCTCATTTGCAGAACTCAGTGCCGACTAAAAAATTTGCGTTTTGTACGGCAGTGGTGTCGGGGGTTTTCTTTGCTGAGACATTGGTTTCGCGAAGACCTCAAGGACCCGAGGAGTTTGGATGAACCCAATCTTCAAACCATGGTCAGAGCTGAAAAGGGCCACATATCGCGCAGATCTTTTTTACAGGGATGAATGACGGCTTCCCCATTTTTCAACTTTTGATCAATGCACGTCAGAGCGAAACAGCATGTGGGTGTGGCTCAAATTCAACAGGGGTTCCGCAGGCTTTGGCCTTTGTTTCCACTTACCAGGGCAACCCATTTTGGTACCTAGGTCCCCCAGTAGTGCCCTTTTGCCCTTTTTTGGGGGAGGGTTCCCCTACTAAAATAGACTACAACAAAAGGGTACCCTTATTCTAACCTCTCTACTGGAAGACCTAGGTACCAGTTTTTTGAGCCACAGCTTCATGTCAGACTGTCAGGAGGAGGCGAGGCTGCTGCGGCCGTACTTTGGTTGTGAGACGGACCTGGTGAACCTGCTGTTGCGGAGTGGTCTCAAGGAATTCAGAACTCCAGGGCTGCTTAAAATAAATTCATGTTGCAACCATTTGAAATGTGGCTTTTTCCATCGAAATAATGTTCAGGTGTATAATGTAAGGATCCCGGAGCTTGTATCCATGGGCTCGTGTTGTGAGACTCAGTCACGAATCAATGGTCTCGCATCCAGGCCTTGCATGGGTGTACCAACACCAACACCAACATCAACACCAACAACACGAACAACACGTCAGCCTTGGAATTCAGTTGGAGGTGAGACAGGTTTGACAGCTGGAGCCAGCGTGAAAGGCCGGGCATCGGCGAGGCGAGTGGGACGCCCGAATGGGAAGCGAGTGAGTGCCAATCAGGTCAATCCAGCTGAGTTTAGTAGTTGCTTTCTTGCATTTGTTTTTGGCTGTTCATATCGAACCCATCCAGACAAATGCGGCTAAAGCCGTGCTGGATGAGCTAGCAAGGCAACTCAAGAATTTGCTCATTGCCCTTGCGGCAAATTGAGCCATTCGATTTCCAAGATACGCAGGGATTGAGACATACTGTGTTTTCCCATGCTTTCTTCGGTGTTGCAGGATATCGCCCATCCACAGTATTATGCTAAACTTCACTGAAGCACGATTGCACAGACCCAGACACCCAGGCACAGAGACACCCAGACAGAGACACAGAGACACAGAGACACACAGACACACAGAGACACACAGAGACACACAGAGACACACAGAGACACACAGAGACACACACAGACACACAGAGACACACACAGACACACACAGAGACACACAGAGACACACAGACACACACACAGAGACACACAGAGACACACAGAGACACACAGAGACACACAGAGACACACAGAGACACACAGAGACACACAGAGACACACAGAGACACACAGAGACACACAGAGACACACAGAGACACACAGAGACACACAGAGACACACAGAGACACACAGAGACACACAGAGGCACACAGAGACACACAGAGACACACAGAGACACACAGAGACACACAGAGACACACAGAGACACACACACACACACACACACACATGTTGACATTTGGAACAGCTCAACTCGCCTCATGAGCTCAGCAGCTTGCTAGGAGGAGCGCATCCTTGACCTTTTCTGGAAGCATCGTCGATGTTGCTCGACATGGACGCCTGAATGCTTCCAATCTTCGCCGTCAACGGAGCAGTTCATAGAAGATGCCTCCTGTGAGGGGGCCAGCGTAGCTTGAGCTCCTCTCATGTTCGCATCATGCTTTGCTGAAGTATGGAGATGGAGCTCCTTTGAGGTTGATCACGGCCAAACATGGCAGTAGCTTAACGTCATGGAGCATGGAGCATGGTTCTTTGAACTGATAGGAATGCTGCAGTGTCTATGAGAATCCAAAGCAGTCTTGCTGTTCCATGTGCTTCTTTGACTCGGCTTCTACACTAGTCAGCTTCCCGCTAATTGGAGGTTTGGAGCCGACTCGGTGGTTTGGTCTTCCGGGGTTTCCCGGTGGGACCCGTAACCAAATCCAAACCACCGGGCTCCACCTGAACGCCTAGACTTGGCTTGAGGCTATGTGACTCCCATCGACTTGTCCCGGATCCGCACTTTGGGACTGCGTTGCTTGGCGGATCATTTGACGCCAGGCGGCCAAATCACAGCATCCCAAGACAGTTATGAGGGCCTTCAACTCAAACAACCTCAAATACTATGGTCTTGGGACACGGGGTCACATTGCATCACACTCAGACTTTCTATCTTTTGCACCAGCGATATATCATGCCACAAGTTTTGATCAGGACATTTATTGTGTTTTTTCACCCGGCGTTGATTGCATGGCTTAGCCATAGATGGGATGCTGGTTGCAGCTTCTTGTCTCAGCAGGGTGGTCTGAGGACTGCAAGAACTTGCATCTGAGGGAAAATCCGCTTGCCCTTGACTTGGTGCATCAACTACGAGACGCCCTACGTGCTAAAAGGTACCGCGGTCTGCATTCTGGCTGGAGGCTGTCGGAGAAACGATGTTCTGTACTTAATTAAATGATTGCAGGCAAAGTTGATTTGATGCGGGTGACTATATCAGTGTAGCTGATTGCTTTCCTGGGATCCCTCATTTCATCATGGTTTCACAACCAAGAAGGCTTGACAAGGGGCTCCTTTTTTGTCACCCTTCAATCTTGTTGTTGTTAACCCTGCCTTTGGAAGGGTTGAACGAAAAGGTTTGGAGGGCGAAGCAAAAAGGGAGCCCCTGGATAAGTCTTGGGGGAGAGCTCCCTGAGGTGAGACCCGACACAGCCATGTCGTAGCATGGGGGTTGATCAAAAGGTCCGTAAGACGTGGGATGACCGTTGGTTGGAAAACCGCAAGAAACAGGATTTGATACTGTGGATGGACGAAATCCTGCACCGCCTAGGAAACCCTGGAATGATGATTCCCCCTGTAAATACCATCCGACAATGGTTTCCATATGGAGTAGCTGAAAGCCTACACCCTGAACACGGATTGCAACAACAACCTCATTCACATTATTTTAGGCTGAGTGCTGGATCTAAGATTTGATGTTTTTCTGATTTCCCGAGTCCACTACGCTGTGACGGCGCTTCTTTCGCATTTTTATTGAACCCTTTGCTTCAGGGATTCGTTGTCCACAGAGCGCTTGCGCCTTGGTGATTCGCTAGCCCGAGGAAAGGATTTTGCCGGCCGTGACAAGGAAATCATCATCCACACCAAGCCTTGCATCGTCGAGGATCCCTTCGAAAACGATCCAGCGTTTGATCCGAAGGGTATGAATCTGCCATGCGACAAGCGGCTTGGCATTGATGGACCGAGCGTCGGCTTATCAACAGCCCATGTACTTTCACCCTGGTTGCAGCAGCCATGGTCGCCTGTCGATGGCCAAAAGAGATGAACTATAAATATTCCCAGGTTTGTCATGCCCATTTCCTTTGAGTCCACCAGGTTTTCTTGCTGCTCAGTGAATGAGGGAATGAATGAACGGCTTTGGTCCCCGAAGAAAGGAAACCACCAGTTGGGATGGTTTGTTTCGGGGTCATTCCACTCATTCCCTGTGTCTCTCAGACCAGCGAGGACAAACATGAGTTACCCACGGTCATTTTGGGTCCGCACGGAATATTGAACCCGCATCTCACAGAAGATGTTGCATTTGTTCCCGGTTTTCCTGAGGTGGCCGTGGGTAAAAACCAATGGTACCATTTTGGGGTAGGTGCATCACCCATTGTAGAACCTATTTTGGTGGGGGTTGGGATGTTCACTGGGGGTACGGGCTTTGGATTTTGACCCGTGGGTTGTTGTCTTGTTTCCCTGCTGGTGCTCAGTGAACGAGGGAATGAAATGAACCCAGGCTTTGATCCCCTTAAAGGAAACCATGATATAATGGGATGGCTGTTTTGGAGATCATTCCACAACTCTCATTCCCTGTGTCTCTCGCACCGATCGCATTGTGTTTCAGCTTTTTTTCCCCGAGGTGGGTGTCCATTCCGATCAAGGCAGTGGAGCAGATCCTGGAGACCGCCGCGGGCTTCGGCCTGCAGGTGCTGCTGGACCTCCACGCCTTCCCGGGCGGCTCCAGCGCCGGGACCTTCAACGGGGTCTGGCCGGTGAATCCCCGGTTTTGGTCCGCGCACTACAAGGAGCCTGGCTTTGGAAATGAGAGGAGCAGATTGAGCTGGCGATTGCTCTCTCTTCACATTTGTGTTTGTCATCTGAAATTCGCTCCAGGGACAGGTCGGCTCGTAAGTTTGCGCTCCCTTCCGCAAGATTGAGGTTGCGCTGCTAGCTGTGGATGGTTAACTGCAACTCACACCACTGTTCAGAATCCCAACGGTTTCTGATTCGACACCCCAACGTAGATACAAACCAACATTATCGCTTCATGGATTCAAAGTGGCTTCCCCTACTAAATCCCTCTTTAATTGGTGGTTTTTTACAGCCCGCCGGTTTGGAGTGCGGTTTGGACGTTAGGAGAACTTCAGGACGATCATGGAGAAGCTGCTGGAGTGGATGAGCTCGCTGAGTCACCGAAACCCGAAAGCCTTTGCTGGACTCTACGGGCTTACGCCCATGAACGAGCCAGCTCACATGAAAGGCCAGACCATGGTTGCCTTGTTTTCCTGGTGAGCGGAAATCCGGCTCCCTGAGGGCTTGAGTTGCTCTCGGGTTTCCATTTAACCCACGAAAAGGTAAGCTTTCCGCAGGGGGATCTGAGGAGAGCCCAGTTCTTGGAGTCAGTTGCCACCATCAAAGCCATGTCCTTCATATCTCACCACCCTTGTGGACCCTTGTCATCATCTAACATAGGGTCCTTGCCATTATTGTATTTTGTGGGGGGTTTGATCCAGCATGTGCCACAGAGTGGTCGCTGTTTATTTTAGTTAGTGCATGGCTAGTGATGTGTGTTTCCTGGCGGCGCAGAGTTGATATGCGTGTCTGTTTTTGGGGACGCCCCCAAAACATGGTGGTATTCCTTTTGTGGTTTCCTTTCGGGACCAACCAAAAGGGGAACTCTCAAAAGAAGAAACGGCAAGCTCACCGCAATTTCGGCCACAGGTCTCTATGATGCTGCGGGTGCAGGGGTGCCAGTACCATACCAGGCTGTGATTCTGTTTTCTTGCCCGTCATAGGGGAACCCTGGGTTCAAACCACCATTTTCCCCAGCGCCTCAAAAATGGAATTGAGGGAGTCACCCCTTGAATTCCATGGCAACCAATTTTCCCTTGTATGGGGAATACTAGATAAATGCAATTGGGTCCCAGACCCCCCACCCCCCTTATTAGGTGGGGGGATAAGATCAGCATGGTGCATGGTGGAACCTTGACCACTCAATCGAGCAACGAAGCAGACGAGCTATGAATTTGTGGGGCTGGCCAAAGTCCGACAGACGCAATGTGCTCAACGTGGGACTTGAAACGGGAGCTAGGCGATGCTGGGTTGCCTGTTGTCCTTATGCCCTCATGCCATCCAAAGGAGTCCTAAGTTTGAGGTATGCCTGATCACTTCACTCACACCTGCTTTTGCCGACAGCTTTTGCTTGTCGGGACCTGGTGCTGGTAGGTGCTGCTTTTTAATGGGGATACCGAAAAGCGCTCCAACGTTTGACGCAACCTTCAAACAATTGGAGCTTGGGGTCTGGAGAGCAAAACCACGGCAGGCTGCCTACGATGCGCAGGGCATGAAGAGCTGGGCGCAAGTGCCCATGGCCGAGATTCTGGACACACTGGCCATCGGCACCCTGGCCGACTGAACTGGCTGAACAGAGATTCCTGACCCCAAATGGGTCTGGTCCAAAATCGTGGAACCCCAAAATGGGTTGCCCCGGTGAATGGACAACAAGGACTAGCACCTGCTGTCCCCTGGTGGTTTAATTTTGACGAACATCCACGTGCACCTGCCGCTGTTTGGCGTTTACTAGAGACTCAATAGAATATGTTTTCCATGTAGCAAATGATCTTGATAAGTAGGGATTCATTGTAATTGAAAAGCATCTTCTTGTGGGTGTGACTTTTTTAGGGGTCCCCAAAATGGTGGCTTTGCTTTTGGTTGCCCTTGCAAGAGTTGAACACAGGTGAACAGGCCCCGCCCTTTCAGACATTGGTGTCTTTTTTGAGGGTACCTTTTGGGGTTGGTTTTGAAGGGAACTAAAGAAACCACTTTTTTTGAGGTTCTCCTATTCTGAGACACCTCCAAATCCTTCCATTAGCTTGAGAATGGTTGTTAATATTCCCTTGTTGGTTTTACAAGGAATTTATCACTACTAGAACAGAAGCATTTTTATTTCTTCCAGGGGTCTTATCCAAATGGAAGAAAGAGGGTTCATTGTAAGAGTCACCCACCAAAGCTGCCTTGCTTTTGGGTAGGGCGACATGTGGGTCTGCCTTTGTTCAGGGAGCCCTTTCTGGGTGGGTTGTAAGAGGAAGACCAAAGGAAAATCAAAATCCATTTTTGGGAGTCCACTAAAAGAAGAGAGACCCATGTTTGTATCCGAAACATCGGACCATGTTTCAGCACGTGGCCTCTACAAACCCACACTGGATCTGTTAAACGAGTGTGCGTGGTGCAAAGAGGTCAGGTTTCCTTCGTGGTACCCACACCACTTACAAGGCGAAGCGCGGATGTGGGTATGGGTTTTTTAGGGGGGCCACACAAAATGGCGGTGTTCCTTTCTGGCTTCCCTATAAAGCCACCAAAAAACAGGTACCCCTAAACGGACACCCATGTTTCACAAGCTATTCATAATATTCCCTAAGTGCTGGGATCCTTTGCCATCTTTAGGTGTCACCCTCTCCTGATGAGTCAAGCCGACTCCGAGGTTTGTATTTGTGATACTTGGTTTCGTCCTTTATATGTGTGTGTCTTTTTTGAGGGTACCCATATTTGTGGTTTTTAAGGGAAGCGAAGAAGGAAAGCCACCATTTTGAGGGACCCGCAAAACAAGTCCTTGCGAGGAATCCCTACAACTTATCAGGATCATTTGGGATTAAAGTCACTATGCCGCAAATATAGAAACGAGTCTCTACGAAACGGCCCAACAGGCAACAGAGCAGCAGGCTAGGACTCAGTCGGGATATTACAATACAGAGCTGCATGGGATGTATTCTTGGCCGTTGGCCATTTAGAGGGAACACGCAATGAAGGAACACGCCGCTAGCATGGTCTTTGCCCACGAAAACCATCTCGGAGCAAAGCACGGGGCTAAGGACAGCCGCCGTTCTTGGGCTTGCTGTTCTTTGCTCATAGTAGTTTATGATCAGGGTCTTGATCGTAAACCTTTGCAATGAAAACCATTCTGCAGTTGGCAGAGACCATGGCCGTACCCTCAAATTTTACTTTTTCATGGGGCGTCATTCAAGGGAACGAGGCAGGAAGCACATTATGGGGGGCAGCATGTGGAACGTTGGTTGTGGTTGGTTGGTTGGTTGGTTGGTTGGTTGGTTGGTTGGTTGCCTTTTTCCCTTGACTACCCACAGCTGCCTGAAGCGGACGCCGTGCAGCTTGAGGTGTGGAGGAGTTCAGGAAGCATCCAGTCCTGTTGGAGGGGAAGAAGATGCTTCTGATGAACGTGCCTCAGCTAGAAAAAAATACGTGGCAAGAGGGGGTGTCACTTGCGATCCAAAATCACACATGCTGGAAGTTGAGTGGTTAAGTTCAATTTTCAAGCTGATATATGACCCGTAGAAAATTTGGGGCGCCGTGTGCAATGTTTAGCCAAGCTGCGGCCAATGACTATGTTTGCCGACATGTATAGCGGGATATTTGGAAAGTTGCCATCCACTTTAATGGCGTGACACCTGCAACCTGCCGGAAAGTTACGGCTGCATATGTGGCTCACAATCAGCGAGTCAAAAGTGCACATCGCTGACCGGGCAGTCACCCGTCGCGCCGTGCCTGCCATCGCATTTCTCAGTTTCAACTATCAAGCTTCAACCATAGGTGTCCTTTATGGGTGAGTTTGGTTAGAAGTAGATGGCACTGGTTTAGAGGGGTTTAGTTCCAGTTGCCAGGAAAATCCGTTCATTTTTCCCAAGAGGACACCTATGCCTTCAACACTCGTGAAGTCTTCGAATCCGAGACGTTCCGAGACTGGGGGCTTCGATCTAAGCTGGTACGCAAGCTGATACGCTTGTCAGGTATCTCTTGAGACCTTTCAAGGCCAACTGTGGATGGTGCAATGGTCCTTTGCCATTGTTAGCATATTTTTTTTAGGCTGTTGGGTTCTGTTCATGTTTTTACTGGGCTGCAAAAACAAACAGTTTGTTGCTACCATAGCGTTTGGGTTGCAAAGGGTTCCTACTGGACGAAATCCTGCACCACCTCAGAAAGCATGGGAAACCATTGTTGGTTGGTATTTACAGGGGAATCGACTCATTCCGTTGGGTTTCTCAGCTGGTGCAAATGGATTTCGTCCATCCACAGTTGGTTGAGTAAACTGTGTAGGAAAACACGGACCAACGACCAGCCCCGCTGAGGTCATCGAGACCTCCTTCGCCGGAACCTTTGGCGGTGAGGACGCTGGAGCATTTGCTGCGTCGCAGAAGGGCGAGGCAGGTCTTGGGTAGACTCAACTGGACACGGTTCAAAACCAATGGGATCCCATTTTGGGGTTTTCGGTGCACCGCCCATTATAGAACCTATTTTAGTGGGGATTTGGATGTTTACTGGGGGTAGGATTTGGGTTTTGACCCATGGCCAACTGTCAAGAGAGGGAACAGCAGGCTTCCAGGAGCCTCCTAGGAGCCTCCTTTCATTTCACTTTACGGATTTACATGTTGAAGCTCAACATTTCCTCTTGGGCAAGTAAGAGAACTCTTTGGTGGCGCGCTTGCTACTTTGCTCAATGGCGTTCAGTTTCACGTTTCCTTCGCTCTGGGTCTTTTTCATACCTCTTAAAAAACACAATTTTTCAACTTTTTGGGGGGAACATGGGCTATATGTCTGCAAAAGATTAACTTCCGCAGGGCTTGGAGTTATAAGGGGTAAGTTTTGGTTGTGTGCCCAGGTGCCAATATGTTGGAACCGCCTGCGAGGCCTTATGTGGTGTTTATCAGATGCTAGCGGCTTAGTGTTCTTAGGTTTTCTTCTGTGCGTCAATTTGCCGGTGTACGGGTGAGTTCTATGTGTAGTGCGTGCGTCGGTATACTCGAGATTATGGCTGTGCTGGTGTGTGGAGTCGGCTTGATTTGAGCCAAAATCAACCCCGGGTAGGTGAAGCTTAGTAACTTACCTCTTAAAAGCACAGCTTTTCAACTTTTTTGGGGGTAACATGGGCTATGTGGCTGTAAAAGATTAACTTCCCCAGGGCTTGGAGTTTTAAAGGGTAAGGTAAGGGAGGCCGCCGCTGTGGTGCTTTACATTTTGGGTACCTCATTTTAGTACCAGGTTTGGATTCTGACTCGTTTGACTCGATGTTTATTGAATCTAGGTCCCCCAGTGCCCTTTTACCCTTTGTTGGGGGAAGGTTCCCCTACTAAAATAGACAACAAAGAAAAACAAAGTCGGATATACCAACTTGTTCTAACCTCTCTACTGGAGGACCTAGGAAAAAAGTCGCGTCCACATGCCGTCTGAGCACATTTCTAGGAGACACTTCCCCATTCTTTCCAGGGATCCTTCTTTTCAGAAAGCTATCAGAACCCCAGGAGAAACAGCGACCGGTTTTTGAAAAGAACGATGCTGGGGTAGACTTAGGATTTTTTCCAGTGACTCCAAGTGAAGCAAACAATAAAATCCACATTCTATAACTGGTGGCCTAACTCTAATCATGGATGGTTGAAAAGAATGGACAAGGAATCAACCCCTAGAATAACAAACTCGAATTCCTTCCCCTCTCCCATAACCCTCACCTCCCTCCCACCTGGCAGCCGTGCGCCCAGCCCCGCCGGTCGACATCCGTCCATGCGCCAGGTGGCCTCTGTGACAGGTCAGCTAGGCCAGTGGTGGAGATCCGTGACATGTGCGGAGGAGCGCAGGACCTGGGCGGTGCTGGATCTCCACAACTACATCGCCTGGAACCCCGAGGCCAGCTGGCAGCTCTTGAAAAATTTGGCGGGATTTGAGAGGGGTTGATCAATATTTCCCAAGGCCCCCAGTTTTGATCAGGGGTGACTTTTCCCATGGACATCTGATCCTGTTGGGTGGTTTCCCTAATGGTCACCCCATGTAAAGGACCATTTCATCCGGTTTTCAGCCTGAAGACGTGCTTCAAGTAGATCAGGAAGCATCCCGCCGACCCGACGTCCAAAGCCCTTGCCCCCTTAGGTGAAGCACTTCGAAAGCATCAAAGACTTGGATGAGTTCCAGGCCGCTGAGCCACGTAGGGCTGTGTTTTGTGTGTCCCGGCAGCCACTTGGAGTGCCCTGAACAAAATGACCCCATTTTTTGGGGATGGCCGTTGTTTGTTCTTCTTTTTTCTTGCAGGTCGGACTTTTGTTTGGAATGGTGACCAAATCTTAGCATAGGCATGGCCGCGTGCCGCGCGCCAGTGACCCTTGGTTTCCATGTGACAGCAGCTGATTGCACGGCTTCCTTGTAAGAGGGCGAAAACGAAGAAAATTGCCAGGCCTTGCTGACGGACATGAGTCTCCCCTTCTTTCAGCAGCTGCGGGAGCGCTTGGGCATCAAGCAGCCAGAACTGCTGGCGTGCTCGGAGTACAGCGGCAGCACCAACCAGGATCCCACCGCGAGCTGCGAGCTGTGAGTTAAACATGTTCCGAAACGGAAGGTATACATACAGCCACAAACCCTGCGCAAATTCAAGCCTTCCCCGGCCCGTATTCCCGAAAACACCCAGTGATGACAAAGGACAACCATCTCCCACCTGTACAGTGAGCAAACATGGGATCTTGTTGAGGCATGTTCAAGTGATAGACTGCATATAACAGGCTGGTTTAACGTTCTCGTTTTGGCGTGTTGGCTCTGTGCCCTGCTCTTCCACTGGCAACTCTGCTTTGGAAGATCCGGCATCCCACCCTTGGCCTGAAAGCGACTCATCTGCATATCGCCGGGGTCTTGTTTACCTTCATGTTGACCCCGGATGAATCAAGCCCAGTGTATTGATATGGGGGGTGGGGGCTACTCCAAAAGTGATTCCCCGCAATAAACCCCGGGACGCCCCCCTATCAACAAACTGGGGTCAATACTGTGGATGGACAAAATGCGTTCGCACCACTTTGAAACCACGGGAAACGATTGTTTGCTTGGTATTTACAAGGGAATCATCAATCCAGGGTTTCTTAGGTGGTGCGAATTGGATTTCGTCCATCCACAGTATTAAACAGGACACCCTTCTCTCCACCACAAGCGGCGTGGGGCGGCGCTCTCCAAACCTGCCGCGTCACGTTGGCTGGCAGACGCTGAGAGATGCCTTCCTGCTGCTCCAGCACAGGGCGGCGAGGGTGCACCAAATCGAGACTCAAGCAGAGCACATGTTTTCTTCCTTTCGGTTAAGAATATTTTGGTTTTTCACTACTGTTTTTGTCCAGGGGACTTTAGCAAATGGAGCTTTTTTAGTCGCTTCCCAATGGAATTTCCTTTTGATTTTTGGAATGCTCAAGTACTTGTTTGTGTTGCTATCATGGATGAGGGCCACTCCGATTTGAGCAACACGCCAGTCCCTCACCAAGGAAATGTGGTTCTGGACGTATCACATCCGCAAGAACGTGAATTATCAGGGGGAGTGGTCATTGCAACACGCCTTGTCTCCATGGCCGAGACTAAAAGCGGAGGGCTTCGGGCTCTATGGATTCAGCAGGCCCGCTTTCCAGTTTTGTACTTGAGTCACAATCAACACCCGGAGAATTGGAGGGTAGTGAGGGACGATCCCAGCCATAAATGGGTGCGGACAGCCGCCTTCCCAACTCTTTACATGGTTCCGGGCCGGGTAGACCGTTTTAATACGTTTTTCATTGTGACTCACTTCCACTTGAAATGAGATGTGACACCACACATTTCAGGATTCACGTAAGGCATTAGCACACCCCAAAAGGACCCTCGCAAAGCTTGTGAGACCCTCCTACAAAGAAGGTTGTCAGAACCTTTGCTTTGGGCGGCCTTTGGTTTTGCCTATCCTTTCTATTTGGCATCGATTTGTGCGAGACGTGAAAAAACGTGGTCCTGAATGCTTCTTGGGTGTGGTATGCTCACCACCAAGCACGTTCTCGAATGGTGAGGGAGGCGAATGTGTTGGTTTGCCTCAGTTGGTTGCCTCAGTTGGTTGGTTCGCTTTCCATTTTGCGTGGAATCCACTGGACTGGACCGGGTTGGCCCAATGTCTCTCTCTCGTCAGGTGCCTGGTGCATCTGACCTGCACCGCTGGAAGGCTGGTGGCCTACCTGCTGAAATCACCCAGGAGACAGCCAGGGGCACCCGTGTTGACACCTTCCCCAGAAGTAGTTCCCCTTTTCTTATTTCCCCCCACCCTTTGGCTTGTTTTTGGGGGGTTTTCCACTTTTCGTTTTTCTTTTTTTGGTTCCCCCCCCCCCCCTTTTTGCATTGTCTTTTTCCACTACCAGGCAAGAACCATGTGTGTTTCTTGCGCCGGGGTCCGATTTTTTCCAGCCGCACCAGCTTCCTGGGCCCACGGGAGTTCACCAAACGGCGAGCTTGGCCCAGCCCGGTGGGACTTGAGCCACGTTTTGGGGCGGGACCGCTTCTTATGAAGTGAGATGTTCTCTTTTTGAAAACTTTTGGTTGAGCCAAGTCCCACTTTTGGGAGGCCACTTCTTGGGACTTGAGTCACTTTTTGGCCCACTTTGGTTGGATCGCAAGTGAGATGTTCTCTTTGGGTTTGAACAACAACTTTGAAAAAGGCCCTGTTTGGGCGTGGGAACACGCGAGCGATGTTTTAAGTGGGAGGTCCTGCTTTGTGGAGGATACATGTAGGGCAGGTAGGGAGATGTGGTTGTGGATCCGTTTTTTTGAGGGGATCCGCCAAAAGGCTAACTTTCCTTTTGGCTTCCCTTTAAAAGCACCAAAGTTGGGCTACCCTGAAAAAGACACACCCTTGTTGATTTACCCCATTCCGGCCATTCACTTCGCAGGAGTTTGTGGTTGCAAGGCCTCGGCAGCAGATTCGGCTTCTTCCAAGCAACGCTTCGGTAGCAGAGCTGCACAGCACGTGCTTCTCTGTCTTGATGGGCCCGGCGTTTTTTTGAGGCGAGCATTTTGTTTCAGCCAACGTGAAACCTTGTGTTCCAACGACTCCAGGCAGGGGTCCCGCGAGGTCCTTTTTGTTTGAACCAAACCTGAGTATCGTTTCAGTCACCATAGGGGGCACATCCTGTGACTGTAGAACTGTTAGACTTGGGGATCCACGCCGAAACCGTAGCTGGAATTGCAGTACTCAAGGTGCTGCCTGCAGCGATTTGTTCCAGAGACCATTGCACGGGATGAAGCTTAAATGCCGTGCGAGCCGCCCAGGTAACTGGAGTGATTGCCGTAAAATGCCACAAGTGCAACCTGTTGCCGCAAAAAATGAATCGATTGGATGCAGCAAATACTGCAGCTCAGCTGCATGTTTTCAACTCAACTAGCTTTAGAGGCGCACTTCCGTAGAGTCACATCAGAAACCACAAAGCAAGCCTTTTTTGTGTTGCCATGTGTTCGCAACTCTGTCACTGTGCGCTGCAAGAATCTCGCCAGCTCTTGTCCGAAAAAAACGCGCGTGCAGCAGGTTTGCAAGAGATGATGTCTCCCAGGGCAGATAAGGTCTCACCTGCTCCTTCATAATGAGCCAACAAGCCAAGTTTGCTTCTTTTTCACACACTGAACTCATCCACAATATGTTGGCATTCTTCCAACTGCTCCAGCCATTCTCAAGCCGACTTGCGCTTGGGCCGCAAGAGACAGCTGTTGCTATGTGGCTGTGGGTCAAAGCCAATGGTACCATTTTTGGGTAGGTGCAGCACCCATGTTAGTCTATTTTAGTGGGGATTGGGATGCTCACTGGGCCGGGGGTACGGGATTTTGACCCATGGCCATGTTTTGAAGCTTTGCCCTGGTCTTGGCCAGGTACGTATGCCTTTCCACTTCATGCAGCCAAAGTGAGCTGTGTACAAAAAGTGGAACAATGATCATGTTGCATATGGGTGGCTCAAAAAATCAGAGCCAGGGGACCACGCGTTTAGTCTGCGTTTCCATTTACCAGGGCAATCCGTTTTGGGCCGATTCGTATTTTTGAGCCGCACGCATATCGCACACGATTCCCAGTACTCTGATGGCTGAGGGCTTTGGCAAAATCATTGATTCATGGTCCTTGCCTCGAAGCCCAATGTCAGGGTCACTGGTTTGCTCGCAGACCCAAAGAGGCTCGCCATAGTCAACCACCCTCTGGGAAATCCACTGGACACACTGGCGCTGTGCAAGAAATTGGCGGGTTGCGGGCCAAGATCCCTGATTGTTTGAACCGCCTACTTTGTTTTTGGCACCGCAACTTTTGAGCTTCTGTCAGCAATTATTGGCATCTGGTTGGCTATTTCGACTATTTGATTGCAAGCCGACAGTCATGGCTTGTTTGCCAGAGCTCAGGCTGGTTCCAGTGTGCCGCTGTATAAAGCAAGCCACGCAAATCCACGTTTATATTCCATATGACAAGAGCTGTAGCAACATACGATTTCGATCGAACACCTGTAGTCTAAGAAACTGAACCAGTCACGCAATCCGTGCTCGAGTGTGTTGTTTAGTCTTCAAAATTGCTCCATGGAAATGAGGATTTTGTTCCTTTTTGTTTGGGAACCAACATCTCGAACGCAGTCCATCTTGTTGCAGCCTGCCCAGCCCCGTTTTGAAACGGGACCTCGCGAGGCACCGCCCGTGGCAAAGACAAAGGCTGTGCCATCAAAAAGCGATGGAGGTGGGGCCAGCAAGCTGAAACGGACAAGGATCAGACCTTCATAAACTTGCTACTGCGATAGGCAGCTGGGGTAGACTTAGGATACATTTTACAGTTTGCCAGTGGCTATCTGGGCCTAACTCTAATCATGGGCAGGGGAAGAGAAATGGAATGACCCCAAGAAAGACCATCCAACTGGTGGTTTCCTTTATTCGGGGACCCCCAGGCTCATTCCCTCATTCCGTACTGAGCACCAAGTAAAGGATCCTTGGGATCTGCCAGTAGATCGTATTGTCTTTGGATTACGTATACGTGAGTTTTGGATCGTGCTTGAATTCCAGTTTCATGGGCTTCCGTGACAACAGCGTCTTATGCGTTTATATTTCTGACAGGTCCTGTGAGCATTCCCATTCTTGACATGTCCCCGTCCGGGGCCGTAGTCTTTCACAAGTTGATGGTCCACAACTGGAATTCGGATAGCTTTGACCAGGCTGGTCCGATCCTTGACATGTGAGGGTTGATCAAAAGGTCTTGTACATGGGATGACCATTGGTTGGAAAGCCAAAGGGCCAAAGTTACCCATGATCATGTCAAAGTTTGATCCATCCCCATGTGCTTGCAGGATGATTTGCTGAAAAACGTGTACCCTCCGACCAATTAGCACAAAACCAAACCTGACAGGGTCCTGGAAGATCATCTTCCTTTTAAAGGCAGCCCCGCAGGGGCATGACGTGATCGATCGCAGCTGCACGGAACCCATCCGTCAACAACAAAAAGCGGGGACTTTTGAAGACTGGTAGCATACGGCGAAGTTCTGCACCTCAGAAACCCTGCAAATGCCAACAAATACCCTACAAACACCAAGTTTCTGATGATTCCCCTGCAAGAACCAACCAACGTTGTGGTTCCAACATGGATTCAACGTGGTGCGAGAGGCGGAGTTCGCAACCATCCACAGGTCAGGGTCCTGGTCCGGAGCCACGGCTCTTCGGGTTTACCTAAGGATCCATGGTTTCAATGGACACCAAGCAGATTGATATGGCTGCGGGTCAAAAATGGGTACCCAAAATCTAACCCTGGTAAATGGACATATGAACTAAAATCTGCGGTCCCCTGGTTGTTTAATTTTGACCCACAGCTTGCTTAAAATTCAAGAGCAAGGGTTACGCAGGTTTTAGTTTGTGTTTCCATTTACCCATTTCGAGTACCATTTTTTGAGCCACAGCCATATATCAACTTTTTGTGTTTCCAGCAGTTCGGTACACGACGATTCCAGCCGGTTCTGGCCGGAAACTCGTGCCGAGCCTGCAAAAATGGGTCACCAAGTCTTTTCAAAGGCGTTCGGGAGCTTCCATGTTGAATCGCCTGGGGAGGGTATCTGCCACCTCCAGAATCAGTTGCGGCTTTGCTCCTCATGTTAGTCTGGGGAGAAAGGTAATAATGCTAGTAACACTGCTAGTACTGAGAATGCCAATGCTGCTACAAATGCTAGTACCACTACCACCACCACCACCACTACTACTACCACCACCACCACCACGACTACTACCACCACCACCACCACGACTACTACTACTACTACTACTACTACTACTACTACTACTACTACTACTACCACCACTCCCACTACTACCACTGCTATCACACCTCCAGCATCGGTTTGCAGCTTTGTTCTTCACTGCCAGGCGAGAAGCTGGAGGCGCGGAAAGGGATGTCGCTTCCAATGCACTCAAGGCGGTGCGTTGCTATTCGCTTGTTTGGAAACACCCACTGGTACAGGCTTCGCTAGATTGTCCGAAATCGCTGGCGTTTATCATCACCTTTTGGGGCCATTTTGAAGTGAGGTGTCTTTTGGTGAGGTGATGTTGAAGGGGAAACTCTTGAGAACCCTGTTGCAAAGATTGGCTTAACAAGCAATCCAAAGAGCCCCCCCAATTCGCATGTGTTTGTGGTTTAGATTCGTGTTTAGCAGCTTGCATGCACCAAGAAGAACCTTCCTGTGCCATGAAGCTGGACAATCACTGGCAGCCAGGTGCCAGAGCAACTCAGGAACGTCCAGCACATCCAAGGTTATCTCACCATGGTGATTACCCACTTACGTGACGTCGGACGTACCATTCCTCTAAGTACCCTAAGTATCCTCCCACCGACCTCACATGGAAGTGCACGTAGAAAGAACAAGCTTTCCTCTTGGAAGGGGCTTTGTGCACAGTTCCATGTTAGTTGGGAGGGTAATGGGTCAAATCCAAATCCAAAATTCCATGCCAACTAAGGGGTGCCTGAAAGTAATTAGCTGATTCTGAGTCCAAAAGGGTCACCCTTCCCCCCCCCAAAAAAAAAGAGAGAAACAACAAAAAATAGAAACACAAAGAAAAAACACTTTCTCCCCCCCCCCCCCCCAACGAAAAATGAAGACGCAAACTCGGGGCTCCTTGACCCCGGGCTCCCTGAGGCGCGGCTGCGTCACCTGGAGGCCGAGAATGCCAAACTGCGCCAGGAGGCGCAGCTGGCATCGGTTTGGTTTCGATTCGGGCCGGGGTCATGCGCAAAAGGGGGGTATATTTTTATCACCGGTGGTGTGGGAAAAAGTTTGGGTTTAGGTTGTATTAGTTCGTTTGTTAGTTAGTTTTGTTGCCTTGTTAGTGTTTGTTTGTTGGTTTAGTCCCATTGTATGACTCGAGTGGTCACGATTGTAGTGCTGCGAACACGCCTTGGCTGCAAAAGGGTTTGTGAGAATGTCCTTTGTCCTGATTTGTCAAGGATGATACAGACACATGTTTCAGGTATTGCTTAGTGGGTGGGTTGGATTGGTGGTGAGATGTTGTGCGGTCAACTCCTACCTTTGCCATGTTTGCTTAAGAGGAGGTCGAAAATCGAGCAAGCCTCTTTTGCAAGGCAATGTTCAGTTTGACAGCTACAGCAGCTTAAAGGTATTCCGTGCTATTTGTCGACTTCTGATCATTATAGAGGGCAAATGGGAAGCCACCGCTTAACCACCAAACCACCAATCCAAACCTCCAATCATAGGGAAGCTGAATTATAACAAAAACAGTCATTGTGCTTGGCATCTCCATGAATCCCAGATGTTCTTTGTGCTGACGTAATTCAGCGGCGAACAACACTTCCTGTTCTGATCAAACCCCGTCGTCCTTTTCTGACGCTGTTGTGAAAGCGGCTATTCATGCATTTGAGTCGTCTGAAAGCCGATTCTATTTTCATGTCTTTTGCATTCGCCCAGCCTCGTCTTAGGCTCCGCAAGTGATTGCAGAGGGAAATCTTTTGCGCCAGCAGCTTTGAATAGGTGGGGACAACTGTGATTCGGGTGAGAAGGTGTTCTCAGAATAGTGCTTGCTTAGTGCCCATGTGTGTGCGTACCACCCATGCTGTACAAGTCAATGAAACAGAATAAAACTTCCACAGTCTTATGCTGAACTTGGTTTAAAATGTTAATCAAGAAGGTACTGTGGATGGTTGAGAGAAACCAACAAATGAAAACCATGGTTGAAACCATATTGTTGGGTATTTACAGGGAGAAAAATCGAATCAAACACCAGGATTTCGGGAGAACCATCCACAGTCTAACTCGGCTTCCGAGCCAAGGGCTGGCCAAAATGCTTCTCAGGCTTCGGAGCAGCGACAAGAACTGCTGGAGCAGCGGGAGTTGGCAGATGCGGCGGTCGAGGATGGGATGCTCTCGGTGCGAGAGATGGGAAGAGTTATGGAATGACCCC